TAACGCGCAACAAAACCACCACGCCTAGGTATAAACCGTGTCACATCGCGCTACCATCCGCAATCAATCCATGTTTCTGTTTTCTGGTTGTGTAGAGGCACAGTAATGCCACAATGGCATGGCACCAGAAGTACATGGCAACGGCTTTATCGCAAACGTGACCTCGGAGAAGGCGTGCAAGGAGTTGATATACACAGACGGCAAAAGCGCTACTCGCGATCATTACCATCCCACCACCATATTGCGCATCACGGTCGTTCTTGTTAGTCTCCTGTCGGCGCACCATGTCTCAGCCATCATCGTTCAGACATGTCATTGTGATTACAACCCATTTCCGAAGAGATCCTTGACAAGTGTCTCCACCTCAGCGATTCCCGGTGGGAGTTCTATTGTATGCTCTACATGGCAATCATGTTTCTGCTTTCCAGTGATCAAGACTAAGAAGTCATTACGGATGAACGGATGAAGGTGGGTTATGGTAAGATAGGGGGCTATCGAACTTTTTATGTCGGACAAAGTCGTTGTTTCATAATGCCGTCGTCGTGTTACAGCAATGGGGGAGATTAAGGTCAAGCAGCAGGATCAGTTGTCAGTGCGGTCAGTATGACTTGAACAAAATGCAGTTCAATAACACACATGCTTGAAACTTGGGAGAAACACGAACCCAGACGACAGGCGTAGTCACAGATCAACCAAGACCCGAACATCTTCTCCCATGCTATGCATTGAGGCTCTTGTGCTTTCTTTCTCATCCATGTTTGTTTCACGGCTCCTGCGCAACGGCCTCATTCTAGCGAACTGTCCGGTAAGTTTTTCACATGGTGCTGTTTCAAAGTCATCGCAGAAAGGTCCTGATTTGAATTACCCGTGATTGTGCTCTTTCCTTAGTTCCTCAACCGGTTTCGCGTTGCTGGACCATAAAAATAGCCAAGTTGGCACACACCTATCGGATGCACGCCAGCACGTCGCAAGCAGAGTCCTTAGTCTCGATCCCGTGCTTATCTGAAGTGTTTCTTCCGACAGGCTCGCTTGCACGAAATTAAGCTTTCGGATATATTGGCACCGATTACTAGCGCTGATGCAGGGTGCCGTCAATGCAAAACTAGATTCCCCGCGTGTCGAGGACAAGAAAGAACGGGATCTGCACTGAAATCAAGAAAAGTGATGGCTACAGTAGGCATTGATCAGCTGTCTCCTCAGATAACCATATGGTTCGCTATTGCAAGACCTCCAGGTAGCCTAGGTGTTGTGAGCGGTTATCTTCTTTTGCGGAGTCGAAACACGACAAAGCACCGAGACTCATGTCACTCAATGCGCCGGCACTTCTTCCTAGTCGCAGTAGCGGCGTTCTGGGTCCTTCTCCCGTGAAAGGGGCTGGAACCCAGCTCTTAATATCGCGTGCAAAGGCTGACATGTGAGGGAATAAATGTACACATGGGTTTCTACTCGCTGCGCGACATGCAACTGAGAAGAAGCAGAATTCTAAAGTCTTGATCATGATTTTCAGAACCACATGCTGTTTACGTACCATTCCGCATTTACCAGATTGAGCCCGGTAAACGAACCGACATCTTCCTTGCGTATCTTTACTGTATAGGGCTGTTTTTTTCTACGATACCAAGTTTCGATTATGCGCGTCCATCTACCGACAGCTGTCGATAATGTTACTACTATGGCGTGATAGGTGAGAACACGGGACGCGAAACGTTGATAGATAATAATCGGCCGGTAAACTGATATATAGCTGCCTGCCATAGGTTCGTCAAGCAGCAGCTATGGGTAGACCCAGGTCGAACAACGTGCACTGGAGCATGGTCTGATGCTTAACTCTTTCCATCCCGTCTGACGCACGGAGATTACCTTGCGATACGAACCGGGCCGGTAGCCTCTTATCTAGTCAAACGCGGGGTACCCCGGGAGGGTCTTACTATAACTGGAGCCCTGTGGAACCGTGATCGCCACTCTTAAGGCTTATTGTGCCTTCTTGTCCTCTGCCCAGCCAGAGACCATGGGTTCATCATCAGAAAGCGAAACCAAAATGGTCCCCATGACCGTGGATGATGGACACGACGGACGATTCCACGCCGAAGTTGGCACTATGGAACGCCCTCGTTCTAAGATGGCGACATTTTATCGCGGCGTCTTGTTCCAGATGATTTTGTTCGGAATGTAAGTGCCAAATCACCATTCCACAAAAAAACGACTAGCTAAATCATTGTTAAGGCTATCCCTGGTTGGACCAGCCATGTCAGATGCTATCACGAATCTGGGCGGCGGTGGATTGTCTACTCCTTGGCTTGCAAATCTTGGACAATCGTTGAGTTACGCGATGAGCTTCTTCAGTACAATCTTTGGCGGTCCCATCATCAACAAGATTGGCATCAAGTGGGCGTGTTTGATCGCAGCTGTAGCCATGCCGCTCCATGGATCTGCCTACTACGTGAATGCCAGATTCAAGAACGATGCGTATCTGCTTTCAGGCAGCGTATGTTTAAACTCTGATTATGTCGGAAATCTGCTCACATGGACAGTTGATCAAAGGATTTGCGTCCGGCTTCCTCTACGTTGGTGAAACGACAGCCATGTTGTCCTACCCGCATCCAGAAGAACGAGGATTTTACCTGGGTATGAATTACCCTACTGGACGTATAAAGGAATTTGCCGCTGACAGAGCATAGGAATCTGGTCCGCAATGCGAAACAGTGGTAGCGTAATTGGAGGTGCCATCAACTTCTCAAACAATCATAAAGACTCGAACGCAGGAGGAATCGCATGGTCTACATATTTGATCTTCGTTGGGTTGGGTATGTCAAAATCTCTGATGCAATCGCAGAGGTACTAACGATGATTAGAATGCACTGGTCTTGTATGGGCTCTTCTGCTCTCACAGACCAAGAAGGTCCGCCGCAGAGACAACACCAAAGTGAATATTGCTCCGGCGGAGTCCTGGATCAAGGAGCTCAAGGCTCTAGCCAGCTATCTGACGCAAGGGACTGTGAGTGAAGCCCGCTTCTCAAGTATCGTATGCTAACCCTGTAATCAGACATGGCTCATTTTTTTTCCCGCATTTTATTCTTTTTTCTATGGGGGTACCATGGGCACCTATCTATCACTTCACTTCTCCGTACGTGCACGCGCTCTGTCTTCCCTCCTAGTCCGTAAGTATCTCCCAAGATTGATCTTTCGTTTCGCGTACTAATAATTGCAGCTACCCTTACGATTCCAACTGTCATACTGTTCGGAAAACTTCTGGATACCAGTCGTTGGACGCAGCGGACCCGAGCATGGGTTGCAATGGGAGTATGGGGAGCATTGCAAATCACTTGCTTTGTCTGGGTTGCGGTAGAGTACCATACCCTACCTAAGAAGATTGCTCTTGACTACAGACTGTAAGCTACATGAACTTCATCCATTAGAAATCTTACTAACTGCAACAGGGAACCCACCCGATGGATCCGAGCCTATTTCCCTTACATCATTCTCTTCATCAGCGGATACTGGACACAGCTTACCCTGTACTGGATCCTCAGTACCCTTTCCGATGAAGTCGCCGTTGCTTCACGAGCGGGAGGTGTATTCCGCGCTTTTGAAGTTGCGGGTCAAGCAGTGTCGTACGGATTGAGTTCAGCAAAGAAGATCGACCACGCCGTACCGCTTTACGTCAATATCGCCATTCTGGTCTTTACGATCCCGAGCATGTCCATGTTGATCAGGAAGATGCCAAAGAGGCCGATCAGGGAAGCTATTATAGAAGATGACGGGAAAGATGACGATCTTGTATTCGATGGCTGGCCGAAAACGAAATGAAGAAGGGCGCGTGTTGAAGGGACATGCAGATAGCAGGACATGTAGTTTAGAGCTAAGTAGTATTAGAATGTTTATATTCGGTTGTCTTGTAATGATTTTCGTTCCATCAGAATGGCCCTATGTACATGCGACAACGTGCTCCAGATAAGGGTTGTGTGATCTCTGTCCATTGAGGGCTCCTTTTGCGATCTCCGCAGATCACTTTCGAAAACCCTCGGCCTAGCTCTACATCCTTCTGCTATGAACTGTCATATTATACAACAGCATTCCGACTACAATTATCCTTGTGGTTAAAAAGATTATAATATAACCTGTTGATCACGAACGTGAATTGCTCAAGATCACCCGCTAATCCGGGAGTAAATACAGAATATACAGTTAGCCAATGAGGTCCCCGGGAGCCATAGTGCAAAATGGACCTCTCGACAACTGGGGACAATCAAGTCCAGCTCCTAAAGGGCACCAAGCAGCGATGCAGCTACTACGACAAGTGCTACCCGCTAAGCAGTTTCTTGGGCAATTGCGTTGCTCACAAATTCTTGACTGTATTTTTGTTCATGGTAAGACTGGAGACATATGCTTGAAGTTTGTTGGATGCATTGTCAGGTTGTCTAGGAGCAGCAAATGTCACGCTGGCGAGAGTAGCAGCAAATGAGAGAAGAAGAAAGCGCATTATTTTTTGGGGAGTTTGGAATCAATAATTGCTTTACAAATATTGATATGGCAGGATGCAGAGGAACAACGATTGGCATCGAATACATCTATATCTAGTCGAGCAATTATAACCCCAAACAACACATTTGTCCAAACTTTTGCCTGAAACCACACGATCGTTGTGTATACTACATGCTGTGCAAACTTTACAATCTACTGATAAGTCAGCTCTACATATCGATCCCGATAGTATTGTCATCACCGTGCGGATCACCAGCATCGCGGAAGCCAAGTGTGTAAAGGTTGTCAACGCCCGACCCACACCGGCAATCGCCTGATGACCTCCAAGAACGCCCCAACGTCGCTACTAAACGCCGGGCCGGTCCCGCAAAAAAAAGCTCCCAATCGAATCACATCACGCAGCCCACCCGGTTAAAGGTTAACATGGTACATCGCCTGCTACGATATCTGCGCAGCCAGCCAAGGTACCAGACGTTACCATAATTTAACAAAACCCCTCTTCCTCCCCCAGGCCCATCATGTCATCATCTTCTCAGCGCAGTCCCAGCAGCCAATTTCCCGTGCCAAATTCCCTGCCGTCTTATTGGCGGAAACAACCTGCTGCAATCGATAATCATCGCAGTACCACCGGTCTTGTTCCCACGGCAGACATTGTAGTCATTGGCGCTGGATATTCCGGCGCATCGATTGTACATCATTTGGTGGAAGAAAGTTTGCGCGCGGGCAAGGTTATTCCTTCGATAATAATTCTCGAGGCGCGCGAGGCTTGTTCAGGGGCTACGGGGCGCAATGGTATGTGCTATGTATACTTCCTTGTAGTAAGAAATATGAAAACCTTATGGCAAGTTGCTGATGGCAGCGCACATAAACAGGTGGACATTTGAAACCAGACCCGCTATCACGGCCAGCCGGTCTGCTAGATAGTCATGGGGCAGCCGTCGCAGAGCATGTAGCATCGTTTGAGCAAAGACAGGTCGCCGCTATCAAGGAACTCGTTGAGCGTGAGCAGATTGATTGCGACTTTGAAGAGACGACTGTGATGGATATTTGCAAGTATGCCCAAGGACGGGATAAGATGAAGGCTAGTATCGACAACATTAGCAAAGCGGGTATTTCCACTGCAAAGATGATAAGGTTTTATACAGGGAAGGAGGCCGAAGAGGTTCGTGCATTTGAAGACATGACCGCAGGGGGATAGGCAAACTATTTCCGATGCTGACCGGTTAAACAGGTATCTGGTGTGAAAGGAGCATTGTCATGTCACACATACAGCGGCGCACGCCTGGCACCCTACCGCCTGGTAACGCATCTCTTGCAGAAAGCGGTGGTCCAAGGAGTCAACCTGCAAACGTCCACGCCTGTCGAGAACGTCCGGGCTATGGAGGATGACACGCAGGGTTACAAGTGGGTAGTTGAGACTGCACGCGGAACGGTCAAGACAAAGACAGTAATCTTTGCTACAAATGGGTACACATCTGCCTTGGTTCCCGAGATGAAAGGCAAAATCGTACCTGTCAGGGGCATGGTTGCACACATCACAGCGCCAAATGCACCGGAACTGAAGCACAGCTACATGATGCGGTTATCGGATCACGAGTACGATTATATGATTCCGCGGCCAGATGGCAGTGTTGTAGTGGGAGGTGGACGGCGGGATTTCTACAAGAACTTGGATGATTGGTTTGATGTTGTTGACGATAGCAAGTTGATTGAGGCTGGGAAAGAGTACTACGATGGGTATATGCAGCGGCATTTTTTCGCATGGGAGAGCAGTGATGCTCGCACGGAAGATTTGTGGACCGGAAGTAAGTAGTACAGCGAGCGCGCATAGTGACCAGATGACTTTGACTAACTCGTTTTTTACAACAGTCATGGGATATTCCAACGACGAGTACCCGTATGTCGGCCCTGCCTGCGGACGACCTGGCCAATACGTTTGCGCCGGCTTCACGGGACACGGCATGCCGCAGATTTTCCTATCGGCAAAAGCAGTAGCGGTGATGGCTCTCACTGGAGATACGGAGAATGTTGATCTGCCTTTGCCATATCGCATTACTCCAGAAAGATGGTCGGAGCGAAAAGAACATGCGGCTCGTGAGACGTGGGAACGAGTTCAAAAAGGTCAAACTGTCACAGCAGCAAAACTATAGACGGACGCCTGGTCGATATACCCTCTATTAATACAATTGTATTTGCTCAGCATGCAAGTATAGGAATTGCTTGCGTTAGGAAATTCGTATTCGTTCATTATTGTTGGCTAAAGGCTATGCCTTGGCACCCCATTTAGCAAGTTCTCAAACAATTCGCTTTCCACGTTGCCGCTGTTGTTGACACCGGAGGTAAAGAAAGCAATGTTGCCGTCCATATTGAAAAGGTCGAGATTAAAAGGATACTCATCGACGGGGCGACTCTCTAGAATGCCATCTGTTGGCATTTCCATACCATGGGCAGCAGGTTGCGGGCAAAACGGGACGCCCTGGGTCCTTATCCCTGACCCATCACTGGCCATTGGTATCGACGAACTAGCACGGGAACGGATGGCGCCAGCTGTTTTGGTGTACCAATCTCGTAAACCCTCGTAGCCATCCTGGACTATCTCTTCTCCAGTGTCAGATACACTCTGGTCACAGTCTACATCAAAAGCCTGAAGCCGATTCAGCGCGGCTTCCAGGGTTTCGAGAAGCAGTACCTCTGAGCGCGCGGAGTCACCCACTGAGGCCATTTCCCGTATCGCGTTGAGGCCCTTTTGTAAGTTGCTTGAGAATTCGTTGCTACGACGACAAATACTATACGCGATTAGGACCAGGAGTGATGCACGGCAGGCGCTGTATTCGGCATAGGACGCTTTTGAGAGGCCCATACTACCAATCTGCATGCCATGACAAATGTTGATGACTTCATTCGCAGCTGCGATACAATCTTCAACCAGGAAGTTCCAGCGCATATGTGGGGGAGCGGGCGTAGCTTCAGGTTTTGCTTCCGAATGCTCTGCGTCACTGTCGTCTTTTGGGTCTTCTTTTCGCACCTGGCGATGGGCCAGGATGAAAGGCCGCCCAATAAACATGTGTAGCAGACAACACTCCAAGTGGGCGTGAAGTCGCGCACGGGACTCTGACACCTCTATACGGTCTCCCATTAAAGGTGATGATATATCGCGGTAGCGAAACGCCCATGGCCGCGGCAGCTTAGTCTTCATTTGCTTGAGGCGGTCCATGATTAGCCAAGCTTCTTGTCTTGGACATGTTCGGAGTTGGGAGCTGGCAGTACCGTTAGCCATGTGCATCTTATCACGGCAGCTTTGTCGTATGATCAACTCACATCTGGTGCAGAAATGCCTCTGCCTGGCAAGTTAGGTCAATGGATTCGAGTAACCCAGTTGCATCGAACGTGTCGCCATCTATGCTGTTTGGAGTGGAACTGCTTGGAAGATCGCAGTCGATATCGGAGCGTGAGATGGAAGCGGGCCGGCCATGATATATGCCAATCTTCCTACACGTGCACAACTGTAAGCGGAAGTATTGCGATCATCCCCCGAACACACGGACCTTTCCATACAATACACCGTCCACCAGATGCGCCGTCTGATCTCCTTTGATCTTGCATCGAAAGCGCCCCGTGATATTCTTCGATGCATACCGTTCTGGATGGCCGCTTTAACGGCTAGGTTCAGATAAATGTAGCCCAGTCCAGATGCATCGAGCGGCAAGGAGTAAAAGCCGAGTAAAAGAAACGCCTGTACGCTCAGTAGAGAACCAGCATGTATGAGTTCAGAAATAGACTTGGCTACTTGACGGTAGAAGGTAGAGCCGACGTCCAGCTCCCAGTTAGCAGGAGCATCAGAATCGGCTGAAGATCTGCGTCCACGTCTGCCGTTTGAATTTGATGTTTCCAAGTGCACGTATTGAGTGCTTACTGCAAGTACCATCAACACTACGCAAGCGGCAGGGACGTGCTTGGAACGTAAGCGTGCCGAGTTTGTCTGAAGATCTTCTAGCGTTTCTTTGACCCAATGCTTGTCGACGCAATAGTAAAAGCTCGTAGCATGTCTGAAGAACACATTGACCAAAAAGGTAGCTACCGGGCGAGGAGGAATTAGGGCAATGATATCTGCAATAGATGTCGAACCAGGATCAGGTTCGGGAACGCGGAAGAAATCTGGAACGCGTTTGACCTCTTCCAAAGTCTGAGAATGCTATGAGCACATAGTTTTACGATGTAGGGTTGAAAGGTTGAATGAAGACGTACACTCACACCTACCTGGACACTAGATTTGGCGATTAGTTCATCAATGTTTCGTTTGATGTGCATGGAAAAGTTCCAGTGTGAGAATTCACCAGAGTAATCTGCCATCACGTACAAGCTTTGGATCAGTTTGGTGCATTTGGGTGGAGCTTGGTAGCGACATACGAGCTGTAGTATCATCAACATATTCAACGGTGCACTTCTCATCTTCAATGCCAGGACTATCGGCAGCTGACGGGTGTGCAGTATTTTCTACGGCCAAGCCAGATGTGCTATGTCGGTCGGACCCAGGTGACCAGGTAGGTAGTGACTCGCACGTGCGCCGTAAGGTGTCGATGTCCAAGGGCAGTTGCGGAAGGTGATGATGGAGAATGGCCTCCATGTACTTCACGCGCTCCTTAAGGTCCTTGGACGAGGTCATGGGCTCTTGTGCACGTTTGGCAGTTGGTGCAGAGGCATTGTTGAATTCACATGTCCGTCGTAAATGGCGACAACGTTTACATGGCATGCCACCCTCACATTTTTCTTTCAAGCGACGACATTCGTCACAACTAGTTAGAGCAAGTCAGCGCTGGTCTTGGGCGCAGCTGGGAACACTGGGCAATAGGCGGGTGTAGTCTCACGCTCGCACCGCCCGTTGTCGTTCTCCGGCCGCCAATTGACGCTTCTTAGTGGGCCTTGGGTTCTCGAGCTCCATACTGGACCGGAAGCGTTGTGAAGTGGATAGTGGAGGTTGGATGGTCGCGCAACCGGCACGGTCAGTGAATATAGCCGGCACGGTTGGATAGACATGGATGGCTGTTCTAACCGGCCCGGTTGCCCTGCGCACGTGACGGGCTCAAGTGCCGATGGTGTGTAGTACTCCATGCACATGAATGTGGTATTGATAGATAATACCCAACCACTGCGAGGGGTTACGACACCGCACCTGGATGATCGGAGGGTTACCCAATTTTTGGTTATCAGCACGTCCAATGGATTTACTATAGCCCCATCTTGTCAGTCAAACTAACCCTTCCGTATAAGAATGACAGCTGAGAAGACGTCCAAGCCTGGGCGAGTAGCATTAGTGACTAGCCGCGCATCCTCTCCTCTTATAAAGACTAAGAACTAGCTACCTTTGTCTTGGTCTTGCTTACCAGACCCGCAACCCCACCCTTTTCCACGATGGACCCTTGCAGCCATAGCTTTTTACCACTCGTCCCACCACCCGCAGTGTACACGTCCCATGTCGATGCTTGCGTCCTTTGACATTGATCGTGATGAGATTATTTAATCCTTGTTATCAAGTAACTATTTGACGTGACTGTTGTCCCTGTTGCCTGGAGCTTTCCCATTGCCACACCTATGCGCAAACACGCTGATGGTCCACAGTCATCAAGCCGTCTCTACTCAGAGACGGCACGGAATGCCCTGGTACTTGTTCAATCAGTGCAACCAGCTGGCCTCTTCCACGGCATCTGGAAAATTCTGGAGACGGGAAGTCAGCACTCGACAAATCTCAGCGTGGTTCCGTGCAAGCATGACCTGGTACGGAAAAGGGCCTATGCCGGGAACGCCACTATTGGAGGCTTGATCACAAGACATTGCAGGTCCGGCATCAAGAAGGCAACTACCCACAGCTTGCAACCAGAGTCTACGATGGAATTACTGACGACTCTATGGGGAGCCAAAAATTCGGAGGGGTAATTGAGAATCCCAAAGTCAAGAGTGATGCCCAGAAGCAGTCGTGATCAAAACAGGATCAGTTTAGTCGTATTTTCATAGTTGTCGGTAGATAAACCGTGAAAAACGCCCAAGTAGAAAACTCGACTATTCCCAAGTCATGATTAGAGACATCAATTAACTAAATCATGACGAAGGCGTTGGCAAAGGCTTTGCGACAAAAGAAGATCTGATAACGAAGACGAATACTTTGACACTAGCGCCTAGGCGGACGCGATACCCCATACGATTACTATTTTAGGCGAAGTCCGATGTTAGGAGCTTGCAGTAATGCAGTGACAGTGGTAGTGTATGCCCGAGTTTCAAACCTTGAGTTGAGCAAGATGTTTTGTTTAGAATACTTGAGTACCTAGATGGTTGTCGTTGACTGGGCATGAGAGAGCACTGTCAACATACTCACCGCCTCGTAGCAAGGGAATCTCGTCGTCATTGAGCGGTAAATCCAAGCGGTCAAGAAGTGTATGCTCGCATGATTACCAAACAATTACAAACACCATCGAGATGTACTTTTGATTTTATTTCCAAGATCATCTCACCCGGACTTCTCCACAATCGCCCTAGCCAGCCCCACCATGCTATCCTCCACAACCTCAATCTTGGCCTCTGTAAAAACATCCAAACAAGCATCCTTCTCATACACGGTCGTGAACGCGCCTCGAAACCCCACTTTGGTCGCGGCAGTCACATCCCACATGTGACCGGCCGCAAACCACTTGATATCGTTTTCGCCCAGCCGATCCCACATGACGCGGTAGGCCGCAAGCGCAGGCTTCGCTACACCAACGGAATCGCAGCTAACGAGGTTCTCAAGCGGCATGTGCAAGTTGGCACGCTCAAAGTATCCGCTTACGCGCTTGACGTCGCCGGTGGTAAGTGCCCAGATGGTGAATCCGTTATCCCGTAGTATCTGGAACATCTCGTGGCAACCTGGTCGCATCTTGAGCGCCGAGTAGCCCTCCACACATCTATCTCTTTCCTCATCCGTGAAGATGGATTTGGGGTCTTGGACGCCGCAGAGGCTGAGGGTGCGGTAGAAGAAGCCGGAGAGTAAGTCTTTGTAGGGCTTGTAGCCGCCGTGGATGGAGAAGAAGGTGAATTCGATTTCTGCGGATGTTTGCCAGGTGAAGCCAAAGTGCTGGGCGGTTATGGTGTGTTGGCGGAGTTTGGCGCCAATTGCGGAGTTGATTGCTTCGTAGAAGGCGTCGAAAGAGACGCAAGTACCTACAACGTCGAAGACGACGTGCTTTTTTGGTGAAGCCATTTTTCCTTTTGTTTCCTCCTTTTTCAAGATCTGTTTGGTCGTCTCTTGTAAAGCGGGGTTGATGACGAATTGGCAAGGGAGGGATAGCAATTGAGAGGTTGAAATGTGGGACTGAAGAGTTAGACTCGAGATAAATACGAATTTAATAATGCTGTAAACATGAGTCTACGCGTCCGAGTAACCTGATGCCGGCCACCCGGTCACAGCTCGTAGCACAGTGGTGCACGAGCTTTGGAGAAGAGACCCCGCCGCTTATCAGATGCCGGGCCGGTGATCGGACCATCATCTCCCCATGGTTGAACCGGTGCAATCACCGGCCGGTACAAGAGTACTACCATGGACATCTCTTTTGAAAGTCTTGAAATAAGTGAGACTAGCACCACGTGCATGTTCCCTGCCTGCAAGCCAAGTCTACAACGTCTTGTCTGAACCGTCCAACAATTTGAATACTGCTACGACGTAACAATGGTTCTGCCCAAACCCAACCCCACAAAATCATATTGGATTGAAGCCGCCGAGTCGCCTTTGCGCGACTACCGATCGAGCGAGACGCTCCCAGAAGAAACCGATGTTGCAATCATTGGCAGTGGCTACGCCGGAGTCTCAACTGCCTATTGGCTCCACAAAGTATGTCACGCATCCACACCCCACAGATGTTTCCCCAATCGCAGCAATTCCAAAGCCCCCTTGTCCTGACATATGCGGCCGCCGTTTTTTTAGTACACCGAACATGCATCTACACAGCCGCGAGTGACGATCCTAGAAGCACGCGATGTATGTGGCGCTGCTACTGGGCGAAATGGTAAGTCGGTTGCGCACGTGATATCAAAATCTACCCACTACATACTACACCTGGATACTGACAGAAGATTGAAAAAAAAAATAGGAGGACAACTACGCCCGCATCTTTACTCTCGATACCCCATATGGCGCGACCGCTTTGGCGCAGCAGGCGCCATGCACCTAATCCGGCACGAACACGCGCACCTGGCCGCATTCAAAGACCTCTGCGACGCCGAAGGCATCACAGAAGAAGTATGCCTGAAACTCGGTGAGACCTTCGACGCAGCCATGTCCGACGAAGCATGGAGCCGACTCAGCCACGCACTCGATGAAATGCGCAAAGATCACGGCGACGACCATGAAATCGTAAAGCTATGCCGTAAGATCGAAGACCAGGCCGAAGCAGAAGAAGTAACGCAGATGAAAGGAGCACTGAAAGCCATTGTGCATCCAACGGGACAAATGTATTCCTTACTCCTCCACCCCTTTTCCCTTGATCCACCCCCATCATCAGCAAATGTCCCGCTAACACGGTGTGAAGATGGCCCTACAAATTCATCCACGCCCTCCTCCGCATCCTCCTCACAACCCCAACTTTTACCCTGCACTCGCACACCCCCGTCACCAGCGTCTCCGACCGCGATTCAGCAGGCTACACTACGCTCAGCACGCCGCGCGGCACCCTCCGCGCGAAGACAGTCATCCACGCCACATGCCGCTGGGCCTCGCACCTCCTCCCCGAATTCGAACGCTTAATTCTCCCGCAACTAGGTGCCATCGCAGCCATCAAGGCACCCGAGGGCTTGTTGAAGCGGACGGGGGCGCAGCATTGGGATGGTATGGTGAATGTACGCTCCCCCCTCCCCCAATCCATAGATTCTAGAGAAATGCTAATGCAGATACAAGAACTACCACGTTCAACTACCACCCCCCTACAACGTCATCATCATAGGCGGGGCCCGCCAACTACTCAGTCATTACCCTGAAATCAGCATTTTGAACGATGAAGACGATAAGCAGGCACCTGGTGTACCGGAGTTTTACAAGACGTGGCCGGCGGCGGATATAGTGGGTTGGCCGGGACCGAAAATTGCAGAGTTGGGGTTTGATGTTGAGAAGGGGGGCAGTTGGACTGGTGGTGAGTTATGAGGAGAATACAAGAACATGTCGGGAAACTAATGGCATATGTTTTAGCACACGAAACAAGTGCAGATGGCTTCCCGTTTGTCGGCGCCCTCCCGAATCGCAGCAATCAGTTCATTAATGCTGGGTACACAGGACATGGTACGTCTCTATTTCTTCTACGCTACTTGACAAAAGACATTAGTCTAACTTGCAGTTCAAAGGAATGCCTCGCATCCTGCTATCTTCAGCATCCCTGGCGCCGCTTGTGCTAGACGCTCTGGGGCTGCAGTACAGCCCACCGCAGCTCACAGATTCGTATCCTGCGCTACCTCAGCCATTTCACGCTACTGAACACCGTATTACCAAGCTCCAGGATACCGATCCCGAAAAGGTGCTTGCCGATTACAGGGTCCAGTGTGAAGCCAGTGCGCGAAAGCCTTTTTGTAATATAGACAGGGTAAAGGGAGTCCAGTCTAGCCCTCATCTTTAGAAAGGCTAGCGGGGAGATGTAATATCAATCATGACGGTACTTACATCAACTTGTCCATGCTGAAGTAAGGCTGTGCCATGGTGTACTCTACCGAGAATCACGTGACTGTCTACTAGGTGCGAACGCGACATGTGATTTTCCGAAGCCGAGGTAGTGTGCTCGTAAATGGCTCCAGGTAGCTGCGATTGCGCTACTAACCTCGGTTTTGAAGGATGTACGTGATGACGCTGATGCCGGAACGTACTACTAGGAAGAAGATGCTGGCCGTTCATCCATCACCTTTGCTGGTGATTGGATTGTATCCTATGCACAGGAAGTACTGATGGAAGACATGTCACCAGTAGTATGCCGTTTCTCTCAAGTGCGAAAGGGCTTGCGGGCGTAGACAACGGTTCCAGGAAGGTAGGCGTGGGTTTTGTAGCTCTTGAGCTCCTTGCGCATCTGGGCTAAGTGGAGCTGGGCTCGCGCGACTGACCACTGTACACAGTTAGTAGGCAGTAGGAAGGCTATTGATACTGTGCAATACTTACGCCGCCGACTTGAGTCAGTAGCCGCAGCATGAAGCCCTCGACTCCGTCCATGAGGCGCAGCTGATTCCATCTGCCAATGTTCTTCAGTTTCTTGTCCGTAGGCCAACCATTCATTGGCCACTTGAAGTCGACGACGGTGACATCGACAAAGCCGGCCGTCCGTAACCTATCTGCACTCTCTTCCCAGATGGTAAAGCTCTTGCCAAACTTGTCACCCATCTCGACCACGACCTTGCCCCAGGTATGGTAAAAGTGATCCGGGCTCATGGAGTCGTCGTCGGCAATGGGACACACCGAGTGCTCTACGATCTCGATCCAGCCTCCGGGTTTGATATGGCGGTAGGCTTGGGCGAAGAAAAAGTCCCAGTCCGGGATGCAGCCAAACAGCTCGCGAATGTGGACAAAGTCAAAGTGGTTTGGGGGAAAGGTCCATTCTAAAGAAACATCGTCAATTTCAAAGTGGCAGTTTGGCGGGACCCACTCGGGCTGGATGGGTGAGAGATCCGTGCCGGTGACGGTGGCAGATGGATACTGGTCTGCCATGTCCTGGACGCGTTAGTGGGGATTCAGGCAAAGGGCGCGTGTGGTGTGGTGCTCACAATGGCCCATATGCCTGTGCCGGTGCCGCAGTCGAGAATGGCCTGGGGATTCTGCAGAGGGGCCAGGTGCAGTTTCTGGTCGAGGGTTAAGAGGTACATGTGGTGGGCAAAGTCGAGAATCTCTTTGGCGAGCTCGTCGTTGGGGCCCCAGTAGGCGCCGTCGCGGTAGGCATGGTACTGGCGGCCGTTTTCCATGCGGTGGTTGAGGATGGAGGAAGCGAGCGAGTCGGTGCCGTCGCCCAAGAGGCTGCCGCTGTCGAAGCCCGAGTCGGATGAGGAGCCGGCCAGTGCTTCGTCGTCGTCGGTGACGGTGTCGGACGTGTGCGACGTGGGGTATGGCGAGGCAGGGGCAGTTTGCGGGGGATGGGGCGTGTCTTGCAAATGCATGGCGCTGTCCTGAGGGTGGAGATGGATGCCGGCAGCCTGCGCGGGCTTGTGCGGGCTGGACGGTTCCATTGCCAGAGGGGGGAGGGTGAGATGAGGATGGTGATGGAGGGAGAGAAAGTGTGTGTGTGTGTGTGTGTGTGTCCTGGGGGATGGCGGGCCGAGGGGTGTGGTTACATATTAGTAAAGGCAGCAAGTAGTATGACTAGTCAATTGAGCAGCAGGGGGCGTATTTGTCGTGTCGTGGTGCTCGAGTCGAGGGAAATGCACTTGATCCAACGCAATGGCATTGGTCCGTTTTTTTTTTGCTCATGAACAGTCGTGTCTTTGGCCGAGGCGTGGGACATGGGGTATGCGTGTGTGTCGAGGGCTGGATGATGGAGGGCGAGGGTCCGGATTGGCGTAGAAACCCCCCGGGGCGATCCTGCGCCGGACTCGCCCTCCGCCGCGTGTGAATGGGTGAAGGGCAAGCCAACAGACGCCGTGCGTATATTGCACCTCCAACTCCTTCTCCAAACACGGCCAAACTAGTCCAGGTTGCCCCGGGCAAAGCTTGTTAGCCGCGGAATGCAATGGCTGCTGGTCCATTCGGTCCGCGCGGCTGTTGCAGGCAATGATGGTGGTGGTGGTGGTGGTGGCCTGATAGCGTTGGCGTGGAGCTTGCCGGTGCCGGTGCAGAAGTTTATTCTCGTCGTTCTGGAACTGCTGCGCATTGGACGAGACATCATCATCAGACGATATCATGGGGGAAGCATACTCCGGCAGTACTACAGCAGCAGCAGTAGCAGCAGTAGCAGAAGCACCAGCAGACGCAGCACACGGCGATGCGCACAACCGAGTCCTTATAATTGGTGCCGGTACGCCTCATGACGCCGCCTCAACGGCAGTGCAGCAACAGCAGCGGGCCACACATGTAAAAGCGCCTATTCTTACTGATTCGCAGGAATAACGGGCCTGGCGCTTGCCCAAGGCCTGACCAAGGTACGTAGAGTAGAGTACTGTACTCAGACACATACTTGTGGTGTTCGCAGCCAGCCTGTCGCACTACTTGGTACTACTATACACGCGAACATACTATATAGCACATGCCCACAGTGTTATTAGTGCTGACAGCACCCACCAGGCCGGCATCGCGTGCACCGTCTTCGAGAAGACCAGCGCTGCTCATGGCGATCGCGACTGGAACATGGGCCTGCATTGGGCGGCCCCGGTGCTGCAGAGCCTCATGCCACGTGGCTGGTGGGAGCAGCACGTCCAGAGTCTCCAGGTCGACCCCAACCATCCCACAAAGCCCCTCGACACGCTCAAATGGCTCCGCGGTGACACCGGCGAGCTCGTCGCCGCAATCACCTTTGGGCCCTTCTACCGCCTGCGACGGAGCAAGCTGCGTCAGCTCCTGTCCCACGGCATCGACATCCGCTACAACCTTCCGCTCCACGCCATCTCGCATCCCCCACACGGCCGTTCCGTCACCGCCCACTTCGCCGACGGTTCCACTGCCACGGGTTCCATCCTCGTCGGCGCCGACGGCGCTCACTCTGTCACCCGCAGCCTCCTGCTCGGCCCCCAGCTGGGCGCCATCAACCCCATTCCCTATGCCGCCACCTTTGTCCAGTCCACCTTCACCAAGGAGCAGGCCCTTTACCTGAGGTCCTTTCACCCCCTCTACCTGGCCTCGGCCCACCCCAACAACTACTTTGCCTTTTTCGGCATGCAACATGCCCCAGATGCAAATGACCCCTCGACTTGGACCTTCTTCTACTACATCTCGTGGCGCAGCAGCCTAGAAGAGCAAGAGGCCACCAAGCACTGGACCAGCGCTCAACGCCTCGCCCAGCAAAAGGAACTTGCCAAGCAGTTCTGCGACCCCTGGAAGAGCGCCCTGGAATGGACCCCCGACGACACACCCGTATGGTATCTTGGCCTTACCGAGTGGGATCCTAGCCTGGATGCTCATCGCTGGGACAATCACAACGGACGCGTCACCATGGTCGGCGACGCTGTTCACCCCATGACGTACCAACGCGGACAGGGCCTCAACCACTCCGTCACAGACGCAGGGAAGCTGTGTGACGCCATCACCAGAATACACGCTGGCCAAGATCGGAAAGCTGCCATCACTGCCTATGAAGACGAAGTCATCAAGCGCGGGGGTGCAGAGGTTCGCGACTGCACAGCAAATACTGTCATGTTGCACGACTGGGAGCGTGTCCGCCAGAGCCCTCTTTTCACAAAGGGTTTGAATAAGACACACATTTAGACCGTCACCCATCCATTTCCTTGTCTTCTCTTGCTACCGACATTGCACTTTTGTACCCGTCACATGAACGCCATGTAAACACCTTAGCAACACAAACATTCTGGTTTGTCATACGACCGAGCGACATGCGTCAGTCTCCTAGCAGCGGCTACTGCCTAATCTATTTCCCGATAATCAAACTATTCGACCCACTCTGCAGTATCAAGCAACTTGGGCGCTACTCCCTTCTCCATTATTATTGTGAACATGCATCCCTGATCTAAGTGTTCTCCTAACAACAAGGGAGCATATATCTCAACGACTCCAGCAGTCACTGTCTCACCCTACCAGTGGCGGTATGTCATGGCTTTCGCAAGGCCAAAGTCAAAGCCACTCACATCAGCCGCACGGCAATCTGTCACACATGCTCATCAGCGCACACGCGTCAGAAGGGTGCGCTAATGCTCATTCATCTCTAGTGCGCGCAATGGTATCAATCAGTTTTAGAAAATTCTATCCACCACAGTATCCAGTCAACCGCTGCATATAGACTGACAGCGTCGGGAGGGGGTTATGCTCGCAATTTCTTCAGCTGTGAGCGCCGGGAGAAGCGCCATGTGCGAAAATCCTTCAATGGTTACTGTATTGTATATTTATATATCTTGCGCTCAGGCATCCGAGTACTTAGGCTAGGCCGTGTGTTGCTGATGGCTTTGCTAAGGTAAGCTTGGTTCAAAGATCAATGTCGTAGTGGGGAGTTTATATGTGTGACGGTATCTACTAGATATTTGCGCACACGTCGTTCTTATGCGGAAATGCAAGGACAAACGGGACCTATCGGCTTCACAAGCTCCTCCAGTGGGACTGCTTTGCCCTTGGGCAAGTATGATACCACAATATCCTGCTCCAGATGGCTAGTGTGTCTCTGTGCCATACCAAGTCCGTCGAAGAGACCAGTGGACGAGGCTGTCTTGGGTGATATCTTTGGGCGAAGCGCGAGACATCGAGGCATGCAGCTTCCCATAGCAGGAAACTCTCCGATTTGCTGATGGCATGACAGTTGTCAGCAAGCTGACGGTAAATGCATCCCAGTTCATCATGGTGATGATGATGATTCCTCAGTACTAGGCTGCCTCTGATCTGGACGACTTTATATTCCGACGTCACTAGACTACAGTTTGGCTTAGATTGTAGTCTTCATTCCTATCTCAGTTCAGGTATATCTGTTTTACACAAACATGTCTCAGTGAACCCTCCAAAAAAAGGCAATGGACCCTAACTTATCCCCAAAATTGATATCACGCAACCCGCAATGAACGGAAAATTGCGCTTTCCCAATATCGTCCAAAGACGAACAACTTCCTTACCGACTCAGGCAATGTACAACAAATCTTACAATCAATTTTTTCATTTTGGCAAATGAGGAACTGCCCACGCCATCTACTTAAATGGTGCCGCACACGTGTTTCGCCCGCCCAAGTGTGCTTCCAAGCCCTGGTTGGACAGTATCGACTGCTTCACCCTTACTAACATCTTTTAGAAGGGAAAAGAATGATATGGCGAGCATAGACACAGTTCAATGTGAAGTTGATGATGTAAAACTTAGATTGTTCCTATTCAGCGTCATGTTACCACCCCGGAGAGTGCAGCTGGAAATCCTGACAAGCCCACATGTCAATAACACAATCTCTCCAGCGGCAAGAACGGCAAATATTCAATGTTACAAAGCTAACGAATTCTTTCCTAGATCTAGGCTATGACCAAACCCCACAAGTGTCATCGTTGGGACCTGCAGGGCCTTGTTAACCCCCATAAATCGGGCCGTAGTTGTGGGTTTCCCCGTGCATGGCACCGTCAGATCAGGGATCCCGCCATCATGAGGCTTGCATTTGTGTTTTTCCGCCATACCGCGTTTTCCTATGGATGGAAAATAGTCTGGGCTGACTTCGGAGGGCTACAGCGTCCCACTCCAAAACCAGTTGGATCGATTATCAAACGAGGTACTTCAACTTGTCTTTTTGCTCAAGCTTTTGCTACACACCTTCGTTCGCCCTAGGCAATAACTGCCGACTTGGATTCTCCAAAATGCTATCTTTCATTGCTGTTACGCTGGGGCTCCTCCTATGTGTTCAGCTCTGGAGGAAGCTGCGAGACAATAACAGCAATCTTCCACCTGGACCAAAAGGCTTCCCCATCGTTGGGAATATCACAGATGGGCCTCCTGGCAATATTCCTGAATATGAACACTGGCTCAAGTTCAAGGACGCTTACGGCCCCGTAAGCTCCGTGAGCATGCTTGGACAGCCCATCATTCTTCTCCACGATCGTGATGCGATACGCGACATCTTGACCAAATCCTCGAAAATAACGTCATCTCGACCCTCGTTCGCTTTTGCAGACATGTGCGGATTCGGGGGGCTACTGAACCTTTTGTCGTTCAATTCCACCTACCTGCAACACCGTAAAATGATCCACAAACATTTCGGCACAAAGCTCGTGGCCGAACGTTTCAAGCAAGTAGAGAACCTTGAATCCCACCGTTTTCTTTGGAACATTCTCAACGATCCAGCCGGCTTGTTCAAGCATGTCAAGTCGTAAGTCTAGCCAGCCGCACATCACTGCTCTGATCTCTGCTGACCAGCCCCGCCTCTACAGTGAAGCGAGCGCCGTCATTCTTCGCATCACGTATGGTTATTCCATCACTCCCGACTCCCCCGATCCATTGGTTCATATGATCGAAGAGACAATGGATATATTCGGTCAGGCATCCGATCTGTTGGCATGGGCAGTCAATGCATTTCCCTTTCTCAAACATCTTCCCGAGGGCCTTCCAGGCACGTCGTTCAAGCAGACAGCTCGAGACTGGAACAAGCAGCTTAACAAAACGCTCAACACTCCCTACGAATATGTGAGCAAGGAGATGGCCAGAGGGACTCACAAACCATCCTATGTCTCATCACTCATTGAGCAGGAGAAGGAAGGGGCAGAGAAGTCAGGCAACATCCAAGCAAGCACAGAAGATGTCATCAAGAAGACAGCTGTTGTCATGTATGGCGGTGGTTCAGATACCACTGTTGCTTCCCTCTATGCTTTCATCCTGGCCATGATACTTTACCCAGATGTCCAGAAGAAGGCGCAACAGGAAATTGACACCGTCGTCGGCAACGGCAGACTACCGCAGTTTGAAGACCGAGACCAGCTGCCGTACGTCAACGCCATAGTCAGTGAAGTCTTTCGATGGCATCCTGTTGCACCGCTAGCCATACCGCACAAGGCCGACGAACAAATGAGCTATGGCGGCTTCCGAATCCCCAAAGGAGCGTACCTCATAGCATCTGTATGGTGGCTTCTGAACGACCCGCAGACGTATTCGAATCCCTCCTCTTTTGATCCTGAACGCTTTCTTGCGCCTCGCAACGAGCCGGATCCCACCGACGCAAATTTTGGCTTCGGTCGTAGGGTTTGCCCCGGGCGCTTCGTAGCCGATCAAACCGTTTTCATTACCGTCGCTCGCCTCTTGGCTGCGTTCAACATGACGAATGCCATAGATGAAAAGGGTAACAAGATTGTACCGCAACGAATCGGCACCCCTGGCTTGATCATGCGGCTGCACGACTTTTCGTATAGCATCAAGCCGAGAAGTGAAGGGCATGTCCGCTTGATTGAGAATTTTAAAGTGGAATACCCACTGCAAGACCAGATAGGCGAGACCCTGGTTGATGTGTAGAACATAGTACATCGTGCAAGTCATTAGTGTAATCGGATCTAGATTCTCCACCCGGCAGAGTTTCCTTTGGCATTGCATGCGTGACGAGTTACTGCGTTGAGTGGATCACACAGCCAATCAGCTGTCATCTGCAACTGCGGATCTTCGCATCAGTTGCCAAGAAGGGGTTTCAGCCGCAACGGTGCGGGTCCTTAAGTGATGTTGTATTCTACTACTATTGTTCTCCACCTATAATAAATACTATCTTCATATACAGCATGGGCACTACAACAATAGCTATCAGATATCACTTACAGCATGCCATGCAACAAACTTGCAAAACAACCAGCGTGTATCAAGCCCCGATGGCGAAACCACAATATAGTTTTGTCTCATGGTTGTGAAAAGCTTTTGGGCGTTCACTAAATTTAACCGCCCGCGGCCTGTTCCCGTGTCGATCAACCGTATGATGTACAGGCCCGACGGCACGCTACGTCTTCATCAAAATGCCGAATACGACGACAATAACAAGGCTGGCGATGAAAGTAGGTAGTTGGTAAGTAGAACCGACTAGGCACACCGCTGTTTGACACGACGAGATAGAATTGGGAGACAGTACATACGACTCCACATGTCATCGTCGCCAGATACGGTACGACAGTAGATTTGCTGCACAGAATGGTTTTGTGAGACAGAATCGGTCCGCATATACGTATCTTCATGACACTGCATCAGCATCTTTCCACTACCTCGTATTCGCAATCCATCATCTTAGATCAAGGGGCCATGTACGCGCGGTCAGGTATAGCAACAAAGCACGTGGCACACAAAGACAATGCTAGACCCGCTGACCAGGAATCCGTTTCCCAAATTACTGTAGAACGATTCATTACACATGAGGCTATACCCAACACTGACTCACCACCCTCATTCTACACATGATACGGCGGTTCAGCCCCATCAACCATACTGTACACTTCAGCAATCGCCTCTGCAAGCTCCACAGGAAGCGGTCCAGCCTCCAGGGCATCCAGCGTCTTATGCAGTTGCTCCACACTGGAAACGCTGAAAATGAGACCATCCCCACACTCTGCATCCAGCAAGCTATGAAATGCTGTCCACCGTATCGCAGCCGCATGCCCCTTTATCCCATGTTCTTCTGCAAGCTCGAGAATCGTCGCTACCGCTGCGTGCACTGGCGGCTTCCCGTACATGACATTGTACGGCTTGCCAATGAAATTCTGTTTTTTTTTTCCAATTAGACCACATAGGAAAGAAAATCCGGAAGAAGAAGAAGAGAAAATTTGTCGGGAGAGAGAGAGAGAAAATATATCCACTTACATCATCTTTCCACCGTCTCGACGTCTCAGCATGCTCGGAGAATAATCCTCCAGCAGCAGGACTATTCGCACATTGCACGTCAGCCTCACGCTTCCCCACCTCCCCAAAAAAAATCACAACTCAAACTTACCTATACGCATAAAACGCCATACCATTTTTCCGCAACAGCGGAAAAAGCTCTCTCTCACACCCCCTAGCAACAGCATTATAATGTCCCTCATACACCCCCGGCTTCTCGCACCCCGCCTCCTCACACGCGCCCAAAAACCGCTCCACCTGCTCCGCCGAATAATTCGACAACCCATACTTGTCCATCTTTCCCTGCGCAAGCGCCTCGCCCATGGCCCGCGCCGAGTCCGCAAACGGCGTCGTGCGGTCCGGGAAGTGCAGGAACATGGTTTCTACTGTGGAAACGCCGAGGGATTGCAGCGACGCCGTGATGCTCTCGTGAAGCGCCGAGGCCGCGTGCGCGCCGGCCGTGCTGCTGTGGACTTTGCTGTGCAGTGTGAAGCGTGTGCCGGCGATGGAGCGGCCCAGACGCCATTCTGAGGCTCCTTGGTCTGAGGGCGAGTAGTCGCGCGCTGTGTCGAGGTGTGTGTAGCCTCGTGAGTGGAAGGCGGTTAGCAGGGCTTCGACTTCTGATTTGGTGTCGAAGCGGACGGTGCCTGGGTCTTTGGTTGCGTCTCCGATCTGGGCTTCTGTTAGGAGTGCGGGATGGGGGGGTTGTAGATTGTTTGCGCACCATGTGAGTTCCTAAGATGATTTTGGGGAGGGATTGGGAAACCATGGTTGATTTGGGGGTTGATAGATACAAAAGTGATTTTAGAGTTTGTAATTTTGTATGCTCAAGGATTGCAATTCTCGTAGGGAGTCTGTCACTATTCACGCTCGACTTTTGTAGTTGCAGTCTACAGTGCCCTTGTCCTATCGGTCCGGTCTGTCATGGTCACTATTTACGCCCACATCTCAAGTGGACTTCCAAGAAATTCACGGCATGTTTTCCGATACAATTTTTCGTTCTCGTAGTCCAGGGTGGTGGGGCCTACTACCAGGCAGTGTAGTGCTTGCTTGCTTCTACTTCAAAACTACCACTTTTGTTGTACGTCTACTATCCTGCCATGCCCTCCATTACAATTGTTTAATCTGGATAGAGAAACACGTATTGTAGTAAGTCTGTTGACGGAGCGTTGTTGCACTGACTAGAGACACTCCACTACGGCCGTAAAGTGTACCTCCGGTCCGATATCTCCACTAGGAACATTGTGCAGTGTCCATTACATCGATGTACCCAGATAATCTAAGGAGAAGGAGCTATGGTTGATCCATAGAAATAGTTTCAGGAGTACTGACTTGCGCATTATGTCAGGGTGAATAGTGTTAGGCAACGGTCTAGGCGTGTCTGTGGTTTTGTCTATTACAATCCTCTTTGGGTATAATGATGGGCCTTTACGTAGAAGCAGATACGCTGGAAAATCCACGATGAACAAAAGCACTTAATGATTCAAAGTATGAAGCCTTAGCAACGATCACGTATGATGAAAGTAAAACGTTGTACTACGATCAATACCAAGCACAGCCTTGCAAGAAGACTTTTGAAAAAATCAGATTGCGTACACCATGTCCACAATGAAAATGTGCCTGGCCTATGAAATCAAGCGGACAAGCACTCCCTTTGCTAAACAAAAGGGTTCCCTCGCTGTAGTAAAGCCATTTTTCTTTTTTAGGTCTGCGGTCTAGGTCGCAATCTTCAGAAAAGTGGACAGAAGCTGAGGCCAGCTCGACTCTACTTCTTCTCCGAATTTATGGGTCCAAAGAACGCCAAATGGCTGAATAAGACGTGATTGCAGACATTGTGGAGTTTCTTGACATGGAACTAGTGCTACACTGACACTACTTACCCCATATCTGTCCGTAGTTGGCGCATGCACCACCTCGCGACCTAAATCTTCCTTCATCCTCACCCGCACTTGCCGCCCGTTCAAGCACGGCCCGAACCCATTACTCACATATCCCCCAGCATGATCCACCATAATTGGCGCATAACGCGATATTGAATACAATCAACCATTATCTTGGCAGTGGGTTTCTTCAGCCTCAGCCTGCGCCTATCGCGAAATTTTCCAAGACTGACGATACTGCCACACTATACGCAACTCAAGTTGATCAGGGTCCGCAGAATCTTGGAAGACTCTAGATGGCTTTCCTAGCCGGTGTTGTGATAGGAGGGATAACCTGGGTAGCTCTATCTCCCTGGTCACAATATTGGTATATAAACTGTCAGCAAGCGCCAACAACATTGAACCAAGATATTCAACTCTTCGCCTTTGATTGTCTGCCAGCAAAGAAAGAACTGGTGGTTGAACCAGCAATTCAAACTTTCTCATTTGCTCTCATACCAACCCATTACGAACTTTTTCCGTTATCACGACTTTTTTCACAATGGCAGAGCCAATTGCAGTTATCGGGCTAGACGCAAAGTTGCCCTGTGACGGTGACAGCGTACAACAATTTTTCGAATTCCTCGTCGCTGGACGATCAGCTCGGAAACCCGTGCCGAGTGATAGATACAATGCAGATGCATTTTGGCATCCGGATCACCACCGGGATGGAATTGTATGAACCCCCTCCTCTCCCAGAAACGTTCATTTTGAGTATGTTCGAAATCGTGGTTGATGCTAATACAAAGAGAACAGATTGCAAGTAAAGAAGGCCACTTCATGAGCGGCAGCGTCAAAGCCTTCGACGCCCCCTTCTTCGGCATCACACCCGCCGAAGCCGCAGCGCTGGACCCTCAACAGCGACTTCTCCTCGAGTCCTCATACGCAGCCCTAGAAAACGCTGGATACACATTAAACGATATCCTAGGCTCCAACACGGGCGTGTACACGGGCTCGTTTGTGTACGATTACCGTGATGTGACGATCAAAGATACGGATGTCGCGTTGACGTATTCGGGTACGGGAAGTGTGCCGAGTACGCTTGCGGGGCGTGTAGCGTGGTTTTATGATTTTAGGGGGCCCGCATTTACGGTGGATACGGCGTGCTCGAGTAGTATGGTGGCGCTGCATCAGGCGGTTATTGGGTTGAAGTCGAGGGAGTGTAATCTTGTATGTTGCCACTTGCGTGATCACTTCTCTTTTTTTTTGTGGAAAGGGCTAACCAGCTGCGATCGGCAGGCACTTGCGTGTGGTACCAATGTTATCCTCTCACCAGAGTTTGGACAGCAGCTGAATGGGCTGGGTGTCTTGTCGCCGCAGGGTGCTTCGAAAAGTTTTGATAAAGAGGCTAATGGGTATGGTAGAGGTGAAGGTATTTCGGTAGTTGTGCTCAAACGCATGTCGGATGCGATTCGCGATGGAGACAGTGAGTATCCGATTTTTCAGTTTTCGTCCAAGAAAAAGAAATCGAATATGCTAACTGAACTGCTTCAGCTATTCGAGCTGTCATTCGTAACAGTGGAATCGGCCACGACGGAAAGGGTGCCCCTCTACCGGCACCAGTAAGAGAGTCTCAAGCGAACCTTGTGCGAAGGTGCTATGCACAAGCAAAGGTTGATCCTTCGGAAACGCGCATGTTTGAGGCACACGGAACAGGTAATGTGAAAAGCTGAACTCATAGAAAGGCAAGCAACCTAACCATTACAGGCACAAACGCGGGAGATCCAACTGAGGCAGGCGCCATCAGTGACATCTTCAGCCGCTATCGGTCAGAAGAAGAGCCCATCTATATTGGCGCCCTTAAGAGTAACATCGGACACACTGAAGGGAACTCTGGTATTGCGTCTTTCATCAAGGCAGTGCTGACCTTGGAGAGCGGCATCATCCCAGCAAATGCACACTTCAAAGAAGTCAACCACGCGATTCCGAAGAAGTGGCATTTCAAGTTCCCAATAGCTGCAACTCCGTTTCCCAAGACTGCCTCAGGCGTTCGCCGGATCTCTATCAATTCTTTTGGTATTTCGGGTACCAACGCTCATGTGGTCCTGGAGGATGCGCGTCACTTCTTGAAGTCACATGGTTGTGATGCGCCCCACCGGACTATTGCCGAACCTCGACTAGCCGGTACAACTGGTAAGTTTAAGGACATACCCAACCTGATTCCTCCATGTAGAAGGGATATGCTGATCAAGATTATGTATAGCGGAAATACCAGCAGTCATCAACGGTACCGCCTTTACTCCGCAACTCTTTGTCTTCAGTGCCTTCGATCAAGATGGTGTTTCCAGGATGTGCAAGGCATACGCAGAGTACCTACCCAAGATGACGGATTCACTTTACAACTTGAGTTACACACTCGCAAGCAAGAGGTCCAGATTCTCGTGGAGGGCAGCCGTCGTAGCAAGCTCGGGCCAGTCATTAGAAGACAGGCTGTCTGAAGGGCAACCAGCCACACGTTCTCTTGATCAGCCTGGCCTTGGATTTGTTTTCACTGGTCAGGGCGCTCAGTGGGCTCTCATGGGCACGGAATTGATGCAGTATCTGGCCTACCGACAAAGTGTTGAATGCGCGGATGCCTACTTGAAGACACTGGGCTGCGAATGGTCTGTGATCGGTAAGTCGACCCAGTTTCAACTCCATATTCGAGACGAAAGATTTGTGGCACAGTTCGCTAATTGATTTACAGATGAACTTTCGAAGCACGAGGGTGAATCTCGCATCAACAACGCCGAGTTCTCGCAAGCACTGTGCACAGTCGTTCAAGTTGCACTTGTCGATCTCCTGGCTGATTGGGGAGTGAAAGCGCAAGCTGCCGCTGGTCATTCTTCGGGTGAAATTGCGGCTGCATACTCAGCCGGTGCCATTGATCAAGAGAGTGCATGGAGAATTGCATACTGGCGTGGTAAGTGTTCTCAGAGATATCCTGCTATCCCGGTTCAAAAATCCTTCTTGGATAATCAGCTGACCACTTGTTACGTATAGGCAAGCTTTCCGTCCAACTAGCTGCCTCCAAGGACCAACCTAAGGGGGCTATGGCTGCTGTTGGTCTGGACTCTAAAAAGACACTAGAAGCTATCGACAAGGTCAATGAGTCTGGATTCCAGACTGTCGGCAAACTGACAATTGCTTGCATGAACAGCGAGAATAACCACACTGTGAGCGGAGATGTTGAACAAATTGACGCTCTTGTTCAGATGCTCGGTAACGAGAGCGTCTTCGCGCGCAAGTTGAAGGTCGAAATGGCATACCACTCGAGATACATGGAGCCCATTGTTGGACAGTACACCAAATGTATGGGCAAGATTATCCCCCGTCCGTGGAATGGCCAACAGGTTGATGTGCAGTTCTTCTCATCAACATATGGCACGAAGATCGATCACTCCAAGCTACGGGAGCCCGCATACTGGACTACGAATCTTGTCTCGACAGTGAGATTCAATGATTCGCAGACAGAGATGCTCAAAGCCTCGTCCGATGTCAAGTTAGAGGGCCGCTCATTTAGCCTCGTCACTGATGTCATCGAGATTGGTCCTCATTCCGCCTTACAAGGTCCGCTCCGCAACATCATCGACGGGGTGAACAGGGGAGGCAGTGGTATCAAGTATCACCATACACTGAAACGAGGAGATTCGGATGTGGAAGTGATCATGCAGGCCGCTGGAACCCTGTTCACTCGGGGCATCGAAGCGGATCTGCTGAAGATCAACCATGTCGAAGGAACAAATCCCATTTTGATGACCGATCTCCCCCGGTACCAGTTCAACCACTCTCGTGAATACTGGAGCGAGTCTCGACTAAGCAGGAACTTCCGATTCCGCACCGCTGCTCGCCACGAGCTCCTCGGTGCGCCTGTTACTGATTGGGATGCAAAGCACGATGCTATCTGGCGCAACTGGATCCGTCTTTCAGAGAACCCATGGGTCGAACATCATGCTGTCTCGGGGGCCGTCTTGTATCCAGCTGCCGGTATGCTTGTGATGGCCATTGAGGCATGCAAGCAACTTGCTGAGATCTCGAACCCTGGAAAGGTGATCAAAGCTATCCGTTTCCGTGAGGTGTCTTTCCATTCTGCACTGCAGGTTCCCGACAACAATCTTGGTGTCGAGTCACATCTGCACCTGCGCCCGGTGAAGCAGGCAGCTCGGGAGACAAAGACTTCTCCTTGGCGTGAATTCCAGGTACTTACAGCTCAGGAAGATGACCAGTTTCGAGAGCATTGCTGTGGTCAGGTTCTTGTTGAGTATGAAGAATCAACGACTGCCGTCGATGCTGGTCGAGAAGATCAAGCCCTCAGGGATCATGCTCAAGTCCGGATTTCGGACGCTCAGCAAAAATGCAAGACTCAGGTCACACCTGACCAAATTTACCAGGCCTGGAAGGACGTCGGTCTGTTGTTTGGTCCGACATTCCAAACCCTGTCGGAGTCCGCTGTCGACCACGAATCGGGTGTGACGTTTGCTACCATCAAACCGACCGTACCACTTCTGAAGTCCTTGATGCCCCTGAACTACCTGCAACCACATCTCATCCACCCTACAACATTGGATGGTGCACTACAGGCGTGTCTTGTGCCTCTGGTTTCCAACCCTACCAGGAAGCAAAACAAGCCCATTGTTCTCTCATTCATAGAAGAACTTTGGATCTCCGCAAGCACGCATCCTGAAGAGGGCTACCAAGTCTTTGCTGACTACGACGCCTGCAACCGCAACGAACACACCTTATCCTGCACTGCAATCGACACTAACACCAAAGTGCCCATGATCCGAGCATCTGGCTGCAGAGTCACCGAAGTCGATGGCGGTGCCAGCACATCAAGCTCCGAGTTGGACCCTAAACACAAAGCATGGCACATCACATGGAAGGCAGACACAGATTTCGCCGATTTTGGTGCGGAAACTGAAGGTTTCCAGAAATATCTAGATGCACTGGCGCACAAGAACCCGCATATGAAGTTCCTCGATGTCAGCAATGGCGCATATACTTTCACCAACGAGGTCCTCACTACACTGGCCCAGCGTTATGGCGACTACGACTTGACGGATAGCTCTATCTCGTCTCTCAATGAGATACAGAAGAACGTCACAGCAGGTTTTGTGCAGCCCAAGGTCCTGGATATCATGTCTGAGCCGATGCACCAGGGCTTCAAATACGAGTCATATGACGTTCTTGTAGCGCCTGTGGGCGCGATTCCCAACGCGCATATGGATATCGTTCTCCGCAGGTTCTACAGTCTTCTTAAGCCTGGCGGCAAGATCGTTCTTACGGTACCATTCGGTAAGGCTGTAGCGAAGAGCTGGGCCAAGTATCTTGCTCAGCAGGGGTTCAGTGAACGAGGCGCTTTGTTTGGGGACAAGAAGTCTTCGGTTCTGATTGCTAGTGTTCCTGCCACTGACAGCAAGGAATCGGTAGTAAAGCCTAAGACTTATTATGTTGTAGCCGATCAGGCGTCTGAGAAACAGCGAAAGGTGGCTGAGAAGCTGGAGTCGTCGTTGAAAGAGAACGGCGTGGCTGTCAAGATCATTGCTCTCGCCGAATACGAGAAACTAGCGACGACAGCTAACCAGGAGGCAATCGCTGATAGCGCTTGCATCATGCTTCCAGAACTAGAGAAACCACTGCTCGCTACCGCCGACCAAGCTGTACTATCAGCACTGAAGAAGATGGTAGGCGGAAAGCGGCTGCTATGGGCCAACAAGGAGTCTCCCGACACGGATCTCGTCACTGGCTTCGCTGGAAGTATCCGTCTTGATCTTCCAAAACTGGAATTCGTCACTCTTGCCTTCCAACCCGAGGAAGGTGATGAGAACATCGCAAGCAAGATCTTGGAGGTCGATACACGCTTGTCTTCGCACCGCACAGGTGCATACGAGACATCGTACAAGGTCATCGACGGCTCTATCATGATTCCACGACTCGTCGAAGCTCCCGCATTGACAAAGCACGTCGGCCAGATCTCTGATAACAGCCTGACTGAAATGGCATTCGGGGCGGACCCAACGTGTCCCCTGCGCCTCAAGGTCCAGCAAATCGGATCCTTGAACTCATCGTGCTTCGTTACTGATCATTTATACGCTGCTCCTCTGGATGCAGACCAAGTAGAATTCAAAGTCAAAGCTACCGGTATGAATTTTAAGGATCTAGCTATTCAGCTTGGCATGATCTCAGAGTCAGCCATGGGTCTCGAGGCTGCGGGAATAGTCACTCGCGTAGGATCAGGAGTGACGCGGTTTAAACCAGGTGACCGGGTCTTTGGTTTTACGTACGATGGCTCGTTCACTACTTACGCGCGGACTGGCGAGAGTATTCTCGCCAAGATCCCTGACAACTTGTCTTTTGCTCAGACTGCCATCATTCCAGTTGTGTACTTGACAGCTTGGATCTGTCTCTACGAAATTGGCGGTCTCTCCAGACGTGCGAAACGAGGCAAGAAGCCAACTGTACTCATTCATGTTGCTGCTGGTGGTGTTGGCCAAGCTGCTATCCAGCTGGCGCAGCGTGAGGGAGCAGAAATCTTTGTCACGGTTGGAAGTATTGAGAAGCGTGATCTCCTTGAAAAAGTGTACGGGATCCAGCGCGACCACATCTTCTCAAGCCGCGATTTGACCTTCAAGACTGGTGTGCTGCGTATGACAGCCAACCGTGGAGTCGACATCGTAATCAACAGTCTTGCTGGCGATGCCCTTCGCGCCAGCTGGGAACTCGTTGCGCCATTCGGAGCCTTTGCTGAGATTGGGCTAACCGACATCGAATCTAGGGCTCGCATCTCCATGGCCACTTTTGCCCGAGGCGTGAGATTCGAATCACTCGAGTTGGCGTACATGTGGAGGACCGACCCAGAGCGACTTGGTAACCTCTGGGCAGACATGATTGAAGATACGCTTGGTCGTAATCTCAAGATTAAGACGCTTATCACGAGTTACCCCGTCTCGCAGATGGAAGAGGCAATGCGTCTGATTCAGTCTGCCAAGCATATTGGAAAGCTGGTGATTGAGTATCATGACGAGGATGTCGTTCGGGTTATTCAGCCGCCCAAGCAGGCTGCTAAGCTTCAGACTGACGCTACATATGTTATCTCTGGTGGCTTTGGAGGGCTGGGCTTGGAAATCATCCGCTGGCTTGTGCAGGCTGGTGCTAAGAATCTGATCGTTCCTTCGAGGAGAGGTCCTTCGGATGAGGCAAGCAAGGCACTTGTGGCTGAATTGCAGGACAATGGTATTCAGATTGCTACTCCTTCGTGTGATATCACGGATAAGGCTGGGTTGGAGAAGGTTATCTCCAAGGCTCTGGCTAAGATGCCACCAGTTCGTGGATGCATTCAGTCGTCTGCTGTTTTTGCTGTAAGTTCTCATTCCTTCTGATCAGCATCGCCAAATGCATATTGAAAGATCTTTTACTAACATGTCTTGACTTATAGGACAACGCTTTTGACAAGATGACAGCGGAACAATGGCACCAGGCTGTCGATGTCAAAGTAAAAGGAAGTCAAAACCTTTGGGACATCTTCACTTCAACCAGCAAAACCCTCGATTTCTTCATCATGCTATCCTCCCTCGTCGGCAACATCGGCATGAGCGGCCAAGCAAACTACTGCGCAGGAAACTCTTACCAAAACGCCATGGCCAGGTCTTTGGCATCCCAAGGCCACAACGTCGTCGCGCTCGCCGCTCCAGTCCTCGACGACGCCGGCATGGTCGCCGAGAGACCAGCACTAAGATCATACCTCCTCTCGACCGGTCTCGCCTTCATGTCCTCTGAGCAACTCGTCAAAACGCTCGATTACTACTGCCACCCCGGGACGAAACTCAGCGTCGAGGAAGCCCAATCAATCCCAAGATTCTGGCTCCCGAGGTACACTGCAGATGAAGGCGCTGAGCAACCAGCCTGGCAGCACGAACCAATGTATAACCACATGGTCCTTCGCAACGGCGCAGACAATAGTAATGGATCGTCTGGAAACGGGGGCTCATCTACACGATCGACACCCGATCTGATTGCTGCAGTGACATCGCTCGAGGAAGCAGAGCAGACAGTGCTCAAGGCGTTGCTGAACCAACTTACCAAGACGCTCAGCTACGACTTGGAAGAATTGGACGCTGATAGGTCACTCAATGCGTATGGTGTGGACTCCCTTGTTGCTGTAGAACTCAGGTTGTGGATGACAAAGGAAATTGGAGCTGATGTTTCGGTTTTCGATTTTACGAATGGGCAGTCTATTGGGCAGCTTGCTGCAAAGGCGGCGGCGAAGTCGAGGTTTTTGCCAGAGGTGAAGGGGGCGGAGAAGGCGGAGGGAGCGTAGATTTGAGTGGTATTTCTTCTCGATATATTTCCTAGGGAGTTGGAATGTGTAACGAAAATCGATTAATGTTCACAATGTGCTTGTGCCTTTCCAGCGACAGTGAAAACAGTATCACGTGCAATGCTACGGAGTTAACGCTAAGCCCGGGGACCCCTCAATTGCGACGCGCTGCGCTACGAAAGATGCCTCGGATGTCGTTCTCCAGCACAATGACGCGGGCGATGCTCGGTTCGGAGTGCGTTGGCGTTGCGACAACGATTGCCGAAGCCCAGCAATCTCCTTTGTCTTTACCAATCAACGTTTTTCCATACTTGTCAAATATTTCATTGTCGCAATTACGCACATATCACGCCAAATTCTCCCAAACCTCCACGCGACCGCCATGACGTCTCCCGCTGAATTCACAGGATGGCTGGGTCATGACAAGAGCGCCGCTCAAGGAAAAATGACATGGTCTTCTTTCAAGCCGAAGCCCTTCAGTGACATCGATGTCGACATCAAGGTCTCGCATTGTGGTATATGTGGTAGCGATATTCACACGCTGCGATCTGGCTGGGGCACTACGCACTATCCTACATGCGTCGGACACGAGATTGTCGGTCATGTTGTTCGCGTTGGAGAAAAAGTCAAGAATGTGAATCTGGGCGACCGGGTCGGTGTAGGCGCCCAGGCCTTTAGCTGTCTAAGAGACGAATGCGAAGAATGCAGCGCAGGCATCGAGCAACATTGTACCAAGATGGTAGCCACGTACAACTCAAAGTACCCGGACGGTAGCTGGAGCATGGGCGGTTACGCCGATTACGTTCGTGTACCTGCGCATTTTGCCATCAAGATACCCGCAGGGCTTAGGAGTGAGGACGCAGCGCCCATGATGTGTGGAGGCATCACTGTGTATGCGCCGCTCAAAAACAATGGCGCAGGACCTGGCAAGAGAGTCGGAATCATTGGTATTGGTGGGCTTGGTCACTTTGGTATATTGTTTGCAAAAGCGATGGGCTGTGAAGAAGTTGTCGCCATCAGCAGGAAGAGGAACAAGGTTGAAGATGCAAAGGCAATGGGCGCAACAAATTATATCGCGACTTCTGAAGATGAAAAATGGGCAAGGAAGCATAGCAGAACTCTCGATCTCATCATCAGTACCGTCTCATCTCCAGATATGCCTTTAGAATCCTATCTGCGACTTCTGCGTACAGGTGGCTCTTTCATCCAAGTCGGCGCGCCAGAAGACAAGCTTCCTGCAATCACTGCATTTGGCTTGATTGGTAAAGGCTGCAAGATTGGTGGAAGCCAGATTGGCAGTCCCAGGGATATTGAAGAGATGCTGAAGTTTGCTGCGGAGAAGGGAATCAAGCCGTGGGTGCAGAAGCGGAACATGAAGGATGCGAACCAGGCCGTAGTCGATATGGAGGACGGTCATGCTAGGTACCGATATGTCCTGGTGAATGCTGATCACGGGGATCGCGCAAAGATATGAAAGTCATCTTCGCGTTTTTGAGGGTGGTTTAATGGCACTCTAGTTCCACATTACATTGACATTTTGAATGTACCGATTTTGTAAATTCCTGTCTGATCATTCACACGGTTCATTGTCACAGTGTATGCATCTCTCGGAAATCCTTGTATAAATACTGCCTTACTCGACCTTTATTCAGCTTGAACGCCAGACACTCGCCTATGATCTACTAAATCATCTAGTTACAAAGTCCTACTGCTACACTCGACGATTGAAATTAAAGAGGTTCTCAATCACTATGCCACTGTTCTCGAAGAAGCCAGGTCCACCCCTTGCCGAAGGCCTTAAACCAGCATATGACGCTTTCCGTGAGAGCTTTTGTGACACAAAGGAAATTATAGAATTAATCCACCTTTAGCAAAAGCTACTCCTAAAAGAAATCCCCGTAGCCGAACTCCGCTGGGGACAAAACGGTCTCGCATGGAGACTCCGGCGCTGCATCACCATGGAGACACACTTTTACGACATCGGCAGCCGTAACCCTGGTGAGCCATGGCTCAACGGGTTCATCGAATGCTGAGAGGCGTTTGAAAAGCTCAAGGAGGAGGAGTACTCTGTCAACGGCGACGGCCACCCCGACGAAGCCATTGAGCGCATATACTTGAACATGCACGTCCCGATCTATGAACGCCTGATTTCCCTCCTAGAACATCTCTCCAACGAAATTGGCGTCTGGAAGTTTGGCGGTGAAGCGGAGTGGGCGGCCCAGAAAAAGGCTGAGGATAACGAGAAGTAGCCAATGGGGGTGGCGTTTAGGGAGAAGTTTGCGAGGCATGGGTGGTTGCAGGATATGAAGCAGAGGGTCCGGGAGAAGAAGGCTATGGAGTTGTTGAGTGATATGGCGGAGAATCTGGAAGAGGGCGATGACCAGGACGACGAAGAGGTCAACGAAGAGAACGACAAATAGAACGACAAAGAGGAGGAAGAAATGCAGGCGTTGAAAACTGCGGTGCAAGAGTGGAATTTGCTTGATTAAATTCACTTCGAAGATGACATAATTGTAAAATTAGGAATGTTTGGGTATTATGATTGAAGATCAACTGTTAGAAATGGGAATATAGAAAATTATTCAGGGGGGTCCTTGGAAGATTACATCTCTGCATCGTATCATCGTGTACACTTTACTTGGCTTGTTAAACCAGTAATTCCGTGTTTCCCATTCTCTGTCCGGTTGTGAAAGTTGTAGGTCGAACGAGCGAAGAAGCGATGGAATGACTTTGTACATTTCGCAGAGCGAAATCTATCCGAATTAGCAGAATCACTTGAATTTCTACAAAAGTAAAACTTACGTTCTTGCCAATACACGTTCTCGAGCCACCACCAAACTATTCACAATGTCAGCCTATAATGTTCGCAACCGCAAAGAAAGGGAGAAAACTAACCTGGAACATACACCTCTCCATCTTCGCCGCATTAGGCCTAAACCACCTCTCTGGCACAAACTCATCCGCATCGTGCCCAAAAACACCCTGGTCACGCTGCACGACTGCCGCGTTGACACCAACCCGCGTCCCCTCGGGAAACCATTGGCCCGAAATAACGCAACCACCCCGAGGGACACGACGAGGCAACGTCATACCAACACTAGGATGCAATCGCATCCCCTCCTTGCAACAAGCCATGAGATACGACAGCCCAACCGCCTCGTGGTATTGGATATCCTGGCTGAGCAACCCAGCTTGCTCCGCCTCATCGATTTCAGCAGTGAGCTTAGCGTATGCTGACGGCGTGCGCATGAGGTGGTATAGAATCGACGTTATCGCTGCAGCGGTGGTGTCGGAGCCCGCAATACTATTTCCAATTAGTCCCTTTCCCATCTTACACTACAACAAAACATTTAGTAAATAGGGAGATGAACTCACAAAGCCCCATACGCCTCCATCTTCACCTCTGTAATCCCAAAATCCTTTTCCTGTCCTTTCTCCTGCATAATGGTAAAGAAACTCTGTAGCATATCCTCGCACTCCTCTGCTTTGCCGTTCGCAATGAGACGCTCGCGCTGATCCACGCACGCTTCGGATGCAGATTCGATATGCTTGAGGGCCTTGAGTGATTGAAGTACGCGCGGAATGGCGGCGCCGCTGAGGAGGACGAGGGGGCGTAGGTATGTAGGAGCGACACAGGCAACTGTGATAAAGGGGATGAGGAGATCGAGGGCGTGAATGTAGCCTGCATGATCGTGGGCATTTTGTAGGAAGCCGAAGGGGTTACTGAAGAAGAGTTTGCCGATCACGTCGAAGGCGTACCTTTTTGTTTTGCTGTGAGTTTCGGGGGTTTCAAGTGGGGAGGAGGAGGTGAGCGTACCATTGTACCCATTCAGACATGTCGATAATTGAACCTTTCATGGCGCGGTCTGTGAATTTGGCTATAAGGAGCTGCACACATTTGTCGATGTCTTCTTCGAGCTGGATGATGTTTGACATGGAGTAGACTGAATTGACGATTCTGCGTCTCTCGGAATGTTGGCGCTCATCTAAGTTGGTAAAGGCGTCTGGGTATCTGGCCCAGTCTGCTCGAAAAGGAAGGTAGAAGTCGGTCTATATGATTTAGTATTGTTTCCATGTGATAAGATGAAGCAGGGGTGTTTACCTTGGTAAAGCCTGATTGCGCAGAATAGATAGTCCGGATGGCTTCTGGGTCCGCTATAGCAACTTCATTTGGGGCTATCCGAACAATCGGTCCTACGACTGTCAGTCTTTATGATGTCTTTGAGAATTGGTGATGCGAAGTTACCATATTTCTCGTGGAGTTGCCGTTGTGTCTTATCTGAACTGCCCGAAGCCACATCGATGATGTGCCAAAGACGAGTTATGGAGGCAAAGAACGGTCCTGGATATTTAGCCAATGGATGAAAAAACCTAGCATAGACTACCCAAGCCACAAGAGATGTGAAGGAGAGCATTGGGATCAAAACTAATAAGTTGAGCGGGGGAACGAAATTTTGTATTGTCGGAGACATGATGGAGATGCTCGAATATGAACTAAAAGACAAGGCGATTGTAGACAGCAAAATCAGAGACCTCTCTTTGATCTCGCAAACTTTTGCAAGCAGCCAATAATATAAATGAACAAAATCCCTTTGATATTTCTCTGATCTTATATCTGGAATCTATACCAAGAAATATAGCCCCAACGGGGCCACTGGGGCTGAGAAAGCCCGGTGTTGGTGGTCAGGCTGCCACTTCTCACCACCACCACCAAACCATTCCCAAATCTTACACAGTCATCCTGGTTCTCGGCCAATCCCTCAATAGGCTACTCGCGGGCGGGAGCGTATGATGCGAAGTAAGGTTCAGCTATCGAAAACGCAAGGGATCCCTTGTTGGGAATTGATGCAGCAGCTAGTGATCCTTGAATAGAATGATCGACTCCCGCGATCTAATGCATAATGCGGCGTAGATTCGCGAGCACGTGGCATCTCTTCTTTCCGTTTCCGACCTCTTGGGCTGTTTTGTGCATGTTAGCTGCGAGGGCGAGGGCGGGGTGGGCCCACGGAGCCGATGACTCGTCGTTCGTCTGCCTTTTATCTACCCGTCTACTGTGAGGTTCCCGTCTGACATCAGCAACACCATGTCAGAGAATCATCGATGTATTTTACGATCATGCTCGTGAGTCATGTAGGGTATCATGTAGCGAGAAACTCGATTAGTATCTGACAAGCAAGATGTATCCTAGATCTGCTTATGTGGCCCATTCCCGCCTCGATCAGATGTTGGATTTAACCTTGATTGGATATGAATTTCTTAAGATAGAAGCTCCTTTCGGTCACCGACATACACTGCCGCAGCGGCATGCTTACGGCCCATCAGGCTGGATTACGGACAGGATTGGGGCTGAGACGTTGTGGAACCAAGTTAAAAGTGCCGATCCTCGCCCCTTGCAATCAAGGTGTTGCCTGTTGCCTTTTTTCACTGAAAATATCTAGGCAGACTTCGATACCCGAAAGAGCCAACAACAATGCTTCCTTGAGTGAAGAAAAGACATACGATGGGGTGGTCGAACAGCCTCGCGCTAGCCCCAATATAGTTTAACCTATCCCATCTCTAGCGCCCTTGGACGATATACTCCGCTACTCTTCTCCGCGGGCGCTGATGCTTTTCCGCGTTTACATCACCAACCTTCCACCGCAACCCAGTAAAGAATCTCCAACCTGGTGACTTGTAAAGCACAGGAAAATAACTCACCAAATGTCTCAATGCGTCCTCCCACTGAGGCAAACTCTGCACATCACGGCCTCCTATCCGGCAAGTCGGATACTTTTCCGCCGCAGCATCTCGGTAACATCAACATCACAGCAACTATATAACAAAGTAAAGGCACAACACAACAGCACCAGATCAAAGACGCCAATCCAAAACACTATTCAAGCACGTCAATTAACTACTACACCACCCACAATGTCTGCCGCACCTCCTACAACCCAAGACCAGGCAAATTCCAAGGACTGGTCTGCATCCCAATACCTAAAGTTCAACAACGAGCGCACCCGCCCCGTCTACGACCTCATCACCCAAATCATCCCTCACATCACCTCGCCCAACCCCCGCATCTACGACCTAGGCTGCGGCCCAGGAAACAGCACTCGCGTGCTGACCTCCTCCTTCCCCTCCGCCCACGTGACAGGCATGGACTCCTCCCCGGACATGCTGCGCCGCGCCAACGACGAATTCCGCACCTCCGCCTCCCACGTAGATTTCGTGCCCGGCGACATATCCAACTTTGAAGTAGCGCAAAACACCGATCTCGTCTTTAGCAACGCAGTCTTCCACTGGCTGCGCTCTCCGCTCCGCATCCCCGCTCTACAACGCCTTTTCGCGTCCTTGAAATCCGGCGCGGTACTCGCGTTCCAAATGCCAGATAACTACCATGAACCGTCTCACGCGCTCATGCGCGATATCGCTTTACTCCCCTCGCAACCTTGGTCTTCTTACTTTGCAGACGCACACGTGGGCGAGCTGGGCGATGAACACCGGCCCGACCTCGATCCTATCGAGCGGCCCCCAGAGTTCTACAATGCCTTTGTCGAAAATGCAAGCTTGGTTAATATCTGGCGCACGAATTATCACCACGTGCTCGCTGATGCCCCCGCGATTGTAGAGTGGGTCAAGGGAACGGGGTTGCTGCCGTATTTAAATCGCATCGAGGATGAAGGGGCTAAAGCGGCGTTTCTCAAGGAATACGAGAGAAGGCTTGAAGAGGCGTATCCGAAGTTGAAGGATGGAAAGGTTATACTGGTTTACCCCCGCTTTTTCGTTCTTGTTGTGCGCAAGTAGATGGATAGCGGGGGAGGAATGGGGTGCATGGATATAAAGTAGAGATTTATATTACATTATTACGTATCAACGAATTCTAAGCACAGCGAACCCAAGAAAAAGAACTCAAATGTAAAAGATGAGCAAGAAGTGTTGTTATCATCGGGATAATTGCTCAAGTAAAAAGCTTTCATCTATGTATCAACAGTTGGGGGAAACGAGGGAAAAACACAAAAAGTTTGAGTACTACGCTTTTCCGTGGCTTTCCCCTCTTCACTCGCAACACGATGCTCAACACTTCCCCCAACCCCAATTGCCCTCCCCCCCCCTGTTTCGCATACCCTTCTACCCCTTTCCTCCAAGCTGGATAAGCCTTTCTTTTGTTCAAGCGCCGCCAGCAAAAAAAACGTATGTTTGTACGTTTTGAATTTACCCAGAAAAAACTCCTATACCAATGCTACAAAAACTCTCTCTCCCTTCGAAAGTAAAAGAGGCGTGCCGCAAAAGATGCAACACGGACACAGACACACAATGGACACAGAGAGATCAACACACGCACGATGCAACCGAATGCAATCAAAAAGAAAAAAAGAACAAGTCATCATCAAACTTTGTACCAAAAAAACCAATGCATAAAAGAGGATTTCTGGCGCCAGTCTAGATGTTCATGACGTAGACTGTGGGGGGACCAGGGGGTATAGAATAGTATCGCCGCTCAGTTGAGTATGCTTTTTCGCTCAAAGCCGTAAAATAAAGGTGGAGAGAACCAACGCCCACGTACTCCGGGTAGGAAGCTTTAAAGAGAAGTCATTGAGTCTTATCCGGCACCTGCTGTGCCGACTTGTGTGTGTTTTTGGAAGCCCGGCGGGCGGTAGCTGTTCCGGTGGGGCGAAGCAGTCCGGTGGCTGTTTGTTGATGCTTGTGGGCTTGGCCCGTAGCCAGCGTTGGGTTGGCCTCTATCAGGCCCTGGGGCTGGGCTGTGTTGATTGCGAACCTGGCCGCCTGCTCCTGCGATTGGGCGGACGGCCTCGCCTGCTTGGACCGAGGGATTGTTATCTGCTGTAGTGATCTGAGGTGCATTGCGTTGGTCCTTTCTTGACGCTGTGCCGTTTTGGTCTCTTGGTGCTTGGTTAGGAGCGGCGATTGGATTCTTTCCACGCTGCTCCCACTGGCGCATAATCTCTTTTGCGCTCATATCCGATGTTTCATCGCTTAGCAGTTCCATAATTTCTGGAGGTACCTGCATGGAGTTAGAAAGGCGGAATGGCCGGGCAGCTAGAGCTACTTACCTCGGAAAACTCGTCATTGTTCTCAATGAGATCAAACACCACCTTAACCGCGCCTTGGTCTACACTCTTCACCTCTCTATCGTTACTCTCGCGCAGAATGTTGGGTGCCATGACAGTGGCAATGTTCCAGGTATCCATCTTGTTACCCGTCTCCTCGTCGACAGTGTGGAAGGACGAGACCCAGTTCAGGAAGCAAAACAGTACCTCCATGGTATCGCGATGGGCCTTGGGTAGTAAGCAGAGCACGAGGTGTAATACCTTCTTTCTTTGAGCTTCATCTTCGATGTCTATTCGAGTTAGTGAGTGTTAGAATATACTCCTAGCGCCAGTACTTACCATTGGCTACCATGAACAATCTGTACAACTTCAATGTCAGGACAGGCTCTGGCATTAGTCGAAGGAAGCGCTTCAGAAGATTCGCGAGAATGACCGGGTTCTTGTTATTCAGGTCAACCTTTTGCACTCCATTGGCATCAATCTCCTCCTCAAGCTCGCGCAGAGCCTTGAGGTTGCCGTTCTTTCGGAACACACCCTCGATAGACATGTCCATGTTTCGCATCGCAGTGATGCAGTCTTGTAGTAAAGCTGGGACCTTGAGAGCACCTGGTCCAACACCCTCTGTGCACTCATCACCAAACTTTTCCACCAGATATTCGAGAGACTGTCTAAACGTCGCCTTGTCCGAAACGGGCTTCTCGACGGCGCTGTTGACGTTCTTCTTTGGTTTGGCCTTGTCGCCTTTGAAAGCTTTACCAAACCCAATTTTGCCCCAAAAGTTGTTCTTTTTCGATTCAATCAGGTCGAGCAGTTCGCCTTGGTTGTACTGGCTGTCATCAAGCAAGAGTCCGAGCTGAAGGACAGCCAGACCTTTGAGCTTGAAATACTCTAATGGCGAAAGCTCCGAAAAGTATGTTCGCGAGCGGCCTTCACTCATTTGCTGTAGTTCTTGACCACCGGAAAAGTCTCGGCGATGGCCGGTCTGCAGTCTGCCTTGCTCGCCTTGACCGAGTAGCGCACTGCCACCAGCACGGAAAGCATTGGGTCGCTGTTCTCGCTGCTGTTCCAGGGCAGCCATACGCGCAATGTCGTCCAAGGCAAGGGAATTGACGGCGAGGGTCACAGCATCAGTTTCGTTTCCTTGACCCTCTTGGACAATGTGCATTCCACCCCTTAATTGACCCTCGCCGCCAGCTGAATCAAGTCCTTCGGGACCGTCAATGATGCGCGACGCACGTGCACGCTTCATGGTGTTGGAGAGGTGCTTGTCGAGACGCGTCGACCTAAGACGCTTGATGTCCGACATTGATTGTTCGTAGGCGGCATTTTGGCTGACCTGGCTTTCTGCGGTCGGGGTTCCACCATAGGATTTGGAGCGTGTGTCTGATCGCAAGTGGGCCGGTTGGGAATCCGCATCGGCGTCTCCCAGACGGTGGCCTTGTGAAGAGTCATAGCCGGCTAGGTTGGGGTCATCTACAAGTCATTAGTGGGACGAACGTAATCTCGATAGCGGCTCCAGAAATCTGAGTCGAGGTGTCAAGATGAGTGGTGACGAGGTGGTCGGTCGCGGAGAGGCTTTTCTTACCTGAGGTGTGAGGCAATGCGCCGCTCGAACGCAGAGTAGCCATGAGGCGGGCATGCGCCACATTTAGTAGATGAACGTACTGGCGCAGTTTGGTGACTTGCTCGAATCCCTTTTCCGCGTCCGCACTCGCGGCAGCGCAAGCGGGACAGAGGATGCTTCGCTTGGATTGAATCCAATAAGCATTGCGAGGGTCATGTCGGAGGTCAGCGTTGCAGCCACGGCAGACCATGCAACTGTAGTTGAACGACATGTTGTTTAGGTGGAGACATTTGTCTTCGACCTGGGCGTCGCAGATGGGACACGCGTCAGCCCATCTTGGGACCAGACGCGCAGACTCGGCCGCCTGATCTTTTTGGGACTCTTCCTCTAGTCGTGCGTCAAGAGAATTAACTTGGGTGAGAAAGTTGGTCAGGCCAGTAGAGGTGCGGGTTTCGCGCTCTAATTTTAGAGCTCCCTGCAGACAAATACGGATCAGGAGCTTCAGATAGTGGGCGAGACCAGTCACCAGGGACAGCAATTCTTGGGTCACACCCAGCCGACGTACACCGGTACCCTGGGACTGGGTAAGGAGCGCGAAAAAAGCAACCACCTTCTTACAGAGAAGTTTTGATTCGCGCGAGTATGTCAGACCTTTCGGGGTTCGGACGACCAATTGCGAGTCGAGCGTGTCGGCAGCAGCAAATAGCAACTCGATGTGGACAATAAACTTTTTCGCTGCCATGACGCCGTCTACGTAGGCTCCGTTGCTCACGTGGAGAAGCATGTCGGAGATGCACGTGGCCGACTTCTCCTCAAAAGCCGACAAGGTCTTCCAGATCCAGTTGACCTTTGCTTCAATTTCCTCCTCTTGTTGGCGCACAGTCTCTCGCACTTCATCCGTGGCATCTTTATCGGCCTCGTGGAGATGCTCAATGACAGGCTGACCGGTGGAGTGGAGTCGCACGTTCCAGTACTTGTGGATCATGTAGCATTCCGGATGCCAATGCTGATTCTGGCCGTTTCTGAAAATCTCGACAAACTGCTTGAGGATGGACGTCTGGCAGCCATTGCAACGCTGGGCAAATTTGGTTGAGTAGTGGTAGTGGCAATAGACACTGCCCTCGTGCTCGTAGTAGCTGTCGGACGCGCCAAAGACGGTGGGGCAGACGGAGCAGGTGAAATGCTCAATGTGGTATTTGCGGTCGAGCGCAGTAATGTAGGAGCCACGCAGAGCCTGTCCGCACTCGAAGCAGAGCAAGTCGAGTCGGCGAAAATAGTCGGTCTCGCACAGCGGGTACTGACCAGGGGGCTTTTCGGGGACGGGGAAGAATTTAGATGCGACAATCTTGTTGCAGTCCTGCGGGGACGGTCAGTCAATGCGTTGGGGGGAGTGAGTTGTGGATAGTGGTTGTGAGTATGCGAGACGGGCGAGTCCACGGTTAGGTAGCATGACGGCGACTACGTAATGCGCTGTTGATTTGGGAGGGGGGAACAAAACGAAACGGGCGTCTTACATGACAGGTGAAGCATTCGAGGTGGTAAGTGTCGCCCAAGGCTCGCACAAATTGGCCGGTCAGGCCTTCTCCGCACTTTCCACAAATCTTGCCGCTGCGCTTGGGTTTGGAGACGGGCTGGTTCTGGTCGCCGGGGTCGGTGGCAGAGCGCGAGGGATAGCCCATGCCGTGGGGCGCGAGCGAGGTGGACGACGAGGCGCCGTCGTCTGTGGCGCGGCGCATGAGGCCGTTGGAGTGGGGATCATTGTTGTGCTGGTGGTGGGCGCCCTGGTTGTCCATCGGAGGCGGTCCCTCCGCTGGTGTGCCCATGTCCGGTTACGCCAGTTTCGAGGATGGGCAGTATGCAGCGTCGGGAGGGAGACGAGATCTTGGCAGGAGCCGAGGGGTCAAAGGGGGTGGGTGAGTTGGAGGCGGTGACGGTCAGGGGCTTGGACGACGACGGTACGTGTCGCGACGAGTGCAGTGGGCGACGAGAGTGCGTGAGAGGTGGGGGGTATATGGGGTGTGGGGAGTGCGAGGCGGTGATTGTGGGCTGGGAGGGCAGGTGACTGGCGGCAGCAGGGCGGCGCTGGAGGGCAGTCGGGCGGGTGGATCGTGGGATGCGCAGCGTCTAGCAACGGGCAGGGCGTGGCAGTCGGGAGGAGATTATGTACAATGGGCGTGGCGGAGAGGTGGACGGCGACATGCGGCCGCAGCGGGATGGGAGGGAGGCGGCGTGCGGTGGGATTAGGTTGGCCGGGGGTGGTTGTGTAGAGGAGGACCCAAGACCCTGAGCGATTGGGTGAAACGCAGTATGTAGGCAGGGCGGGCGGGCGATGGAAGCAGGCAGACGAGCGCAGGCAGATGTGAGGCTGCAGACGGGGCAATGGTGGTGATGGTGTTGGAGGAGGAGGAGGAGGGGGGGGAGAGGAAGGGAGTGGGTGGCAGGATGGGAGGGGGTGGTGGTGGTGTTGTTGGAGTGGGTGGACGTTCCTGTTGTCGCTGAGGCCGCCAGAGAGCTTGTCGAGCGAGAGAGGAGAGGCATGGCGGCCGTGGAGAGAGGGGACGCTAGCCCGATTGGGGCCCGGCTTGATTGGGATATTGGGATCCACGCCGGCAGCAGCACCGGCGCCAGAGGGTTTCGAGGGCTCTCGAGGGGCACAGTATCGCTATGTACGGCTATGTAAGTCTATGTAAGTATCTGTGCAAGTGCGCCGCTATTAATATAGGCTATATGCACGTAAAGGTACATGCGTCTACGCCCGTGATACGAGCTGTGTTATTGCGACTTGTGTCGTCTGCACACACTCACACACATTCACATATGCACACATACACATACTTACGTACACACGCACCCCACAGCCAAAAGGATGGCAAGCGTCATTGTCGAGGGTCGAACCGGGGGGCCAGGGCAGGCTATTCCTGGCACATGGCGCACTGCAAGCCTGTTCTGCGCCTCTGCAGGCGAACCAGCAGCGCGCAGGGCGGGGAAGGCCGTGACAATACGCCCGAGCATGCCATGGCCTAGTCCCAAATTCACGCCTTGGCACAAGCCCGCTAAACACCAACGCGACTCGCTCACACCTCTTTGACCTTTGGCACTGCTACCACCGCCCTGCCTTCACCGCTAACACCACCGCCCTCCCCCGACTCCCTCCCATCGCAACAACAACAACAACAACAACCCCCATCACCACCACCACCATGGAAGGAGACGGCGAGCACAACGCCCCCCAGAGGCCCGAGCCGCCCGTCTTCAAAGCACCCAGGCTCGTCTCGCGCCCCAAGCCACCAGTTCAGCAAGAGGAAGAAATGGGCTCCGAGATCAAGCTCGGCGACTTCGAAGACGTCCATGCCCTCTCCGTCTCAGAGGCCCGCGCCGTCGTCACCGCCGTTCACGAGGCGCGCAAGAAGAAGGACCCCGAGAACAACCCGCTGCGCGACCGCATCTACAACGATAGCATGTGAGTCTAAGCTTCATGCCATACAGTCACCACGACTGACCCTGCACCAGCACAATCACCCAGTTCCTCGACTACCTCGACAACTTTGCCCGCTACAAGGAAGAAGACAGCCTGCACTCCATCGCCGCCCTCTTTGACGCTCACCCCGAAATCTCCGTCGTCGAAAAGGCACTGCTGGGTAAGGAAATGTCTAGATCAAAGCCGTTGATGGGAGCTGCTGACAGCCCCGCTAGGAACCCTTACCCCCGATACCGCCGAGGAAGCCACTACCCTCATCCCTTCCCTTAAGATGGACGAGGACGAGCTGCAGCTAATTCTCGATGAACTGAACAAGATGCGTGAGTTGGAAAAGATCAAGAACACCGTTACGGGCACCTGAAGCTGACTTCTCGGACAGAGGATCGACTTCGATAATGCTCCGACTAATCGACTGCCACGACCAACCAAACAAACACCTTGTACCCACTAACGATTACCAAAACGACCTTCAAACATGCTCTTGGCCTCGCGCATGGTTGACCCTGCCACTCAAAATCTAGGCGAGCAATGACCAAGACATGATGACTACAGCATAAAAATGGGCCCATTGACGGCCTCCACTTCACATGTACCAACACCATCCTCCCAACACCAAGGGACTTATCTAAAAATAGTTGCGCAGCCATTGGATTACTCACATGTTTTGACGCCATCAAATTCAGAACAGCCTCCTTGCTCGTATAACTCGTTTCCCCACTTATCACCGGTCCATGTCATGTACTTGTCTACGCACTGGCAGCCCCTTGGCCAAGATTGACAAACCGAGACAGGGCGCAGCCACTCATGTACATATCTGCGTACCATCCAAGTATCCACCTTGGCCTTCCAAATCTTAAATAGATACCAATCACGTGCTTTCTTTGCCCACTTGCAAAGTACTCGTGTTCAGATGATTCTGCACTAACTGCAGTCTGATATCACCTGGAATTAACCATTTTACTTCCCAGTCATACATGAACCATCAGTCCGACTTACTCCTGGTTTGGAAACATGATAATTGAACAGTAATGAATTTGCAGTGCGGATAACTGGCAATGTTTATCCTCCAATGACACCTTTTACGCCAGCAGCAGAAACCCTCAGCGCACATCTACCTTCTCCCTTATAATCCCCGGGTAGCTACGCACAATCTCCGTATACTCAATCGGCTTGCTTTTATCCACCGGCACCCTTGCCTCCGTACCAACCAACGTGACATTCACCGCTCCATCTTTCAGCTTCGTGATTCTCTTACCAGCATCCTACTCGTATCAGCACAACCTCCACCACCTGAAATAAAGAAAGAGAAGGGGAGAAACTCACGTCCAACACCCACCACCTCAACGCCCGCTCAAGAAACGGCACCACAATCTCCTCATTCAACCCCCGCAACGTCCCATTATTCACACACTCAACCAGCACCCCCGTCAAACTCGTCGTCCCCACCATCTCCTTCCCCTCCCCTCTCTCAACCTCATCCCGCCGCACACCAGGCATAAGCACCATCCAGCTCCCGACATCCCTCTCCCCCAGCTCAAACTGCACCCGGAACGTGCCCCTCCCCATCCTCCCTCTCACCCTCGTTTCAACAACCCAATCCGTATACACACCCCCACTCCTCTCCAACAACCCCCCAAACAAACTACTCTGCTGCACCACAACCGGCACAACCGCCATCTCGCGCACCCTCCCCGCATACAATTTCGCCACCACGGCTTCCACATGCGCAGCGAACGACTCGTCCGAAGCAAACTTCCAGCGTTGCGTCTCCGGGTACGCGTAGCCTAGCACGGCAGTGTCGCGGCACTCGTGCGTGGTCCAGAAGCTGTCTGGGGTGCGGCGGAAGGGCAGGAGCGGGGTGGATGCGTCGATGAGTGCGTTGTCTGGGAGGAAAAGGTTGGAGTTTGTGGAGATGTTTGAGGGGAGCATTACGGTGGCGGGGTGGGAGAGGGTGTAGAGCGTGAAGAGGCGGTCGACGTTTCTGCTCCTTCGTCCCCAATTAGCCATGTCTTTTTTCTGCTTGAAGTATGGGGGTTTCATGTAGGGAAGGGGGTTTTTTTTGCGGAGAAAGGAGAGACGCACGCATGATGCAATGTGAATAATGGGTCAAACGCTGAATATTCCAATGGCCACATGTGGCCCCAGTACGGTGAGTCGCGTAGATAGCCCCCGCCGATGACGCCGTGGATCCAGCCGTGGGCGTCTTCGAGGGCAGAGGAGAAGCGCGAGAAGGTGCTTGAGCGGAAGGCGATGCCCACTTGAGCGATGAGGTTGTTGGATTGGTTTTTAAAGGCTGAAGCGAAGAGTTGGGGCTGCGAGGGCGAGAAGGGGTCGTCTGAGGCGGGCCAGCGGATGGTTGAGTTTATCTTGCGCCACTGTCGTACTGTTAGTTTTCAATTTGTATGGAGGATGTAAACGTACTTTGCCGTGGAAGCCGGTGGGTAGAGGGTGGAATTTGTATGAGAATAATGGGTTGTCCATTACTAGCAGTTCACCCCTTAGATCTGTGATTGTGATTGTAGGGGATAAAAACACGTCAGGAACTGGGCCGAGTTTGGTGCCTTGAGCCCAGTCCCAGTATGGGATCCGGAACTCACGGGCGGCAGTGAGGTAGCGTTGAGATTGATATGCTGGCGCGTTTGCAGCGATGTCGTGGACGTGGTTGGAAACGACTTGCTATGCACAGTCAGCGTCCATCTGTTGGTACACCTTGTAAAGAGACCAAAAGATAAGAGACTCACCTCGAACAGAGCGAGATACGGTCGATGCCATCCCAAGAATAACTCGTTATCGTGCGGACAGTAGCCTACCTTGCCAATCTTCTCTGGTAACCCAGGCACGTCTCCCCATGTCTTGTATGGTCTTCCGTGGATGGCTGCAACAAAAGGTCAGCCTTGGGTCCCCATACCGTAACAATCATACCTACACGCCAGACCGTAGAAGGAAAACGGATCGCTCTGATCAGCATGATGCAGACTATCCAATGCCAAAATGTACAGACTCCATTGATCGGGGTAGTTTTCCATCAAATCCCTAATCTCGCGGCGCATGTAGACATTTCCTAGGTTCTGTCAGTATGCCACTCTCCATAGACATCCACATGTCATTACCGTTATCATCCCGTGAAGTAGCACCAGTGACTACATTCATCTCAGACTGCCGTCTCACATAGCCCCCCTCATCCACCAGCGCCGTACACGCCATGCTCGAACCAAGCACCGAAAGCGAAAGTCGTAAGATCCAAAATCCACGCATCGTAATCAAGAAAGAACCGTAGAGAGTCGTGTGTGTGTTATCAACTGGAGATAAGTCAGCGCGGATACACAGCTATTCATTACCCCCAACCCATATCCGTGAAATACAAAATCAGCACGTTAGTACCCCTGACTAACTCACTACGTGGCGTAGACAAGCAGTTTGCAAATCCGTGACGTGTAGACACTACTCCCACCAACCCAGTAGTAAATGTCCTCTAGACAGACCCACGTCCAACTCCCCCCACACAACCATCCTTACCATCAAGCCAACGCCCCCGCGCCACCCCATCCCATCACTACATCGAACGCAAACGCACCAGCCGCTATGGCTTTCCTCCTCCTCCTACAATCGCCTTTCGCCAAACAGAGCAGACACACCACTTACCCTCTGCCACCCACACCAACTCTCTCCGTAACGATCTCTCCACGCACCTTTCAAAAGGCGTTCGTATCCGCGCCGTCCGGGTATCAGCGAAGCGCAAGCGTCACGAAGTGCAAACGTACAGCAGTGCTATTCCGATTGCAACGCGAAAACGACCGAAAAGAAACACGCAAGCGCTGAGGCGTTGGTGGAAGGAAGGGTAGGGAAGGGGGGGGGTTAGTAGGTTTGGCGATGGTGGGTTAGGACTGTTGCTTGGTGCTTTTCTTGGTGGGTGGTTCCCGTTAGGTGTGGGGATACGGGTGTATGTGGTACAAGGGGGCTTTTTTTTTCAGGGGAGAGGTTGTGGAACTTGGGATGGGGGGGGTGGGTTGAGGGATACGCGGACTAAGGGGTTTTTTGGCTGTTGGATGGGGACGGGGGCGGTGATTTGATTTTGTTGAATGTTTTGAGGTTAGAGTCTTGTTGGCATTTGTCGTAGTCGGGAATTCGTTGGCTTAGAGGAAGAAAACGAGGGGTGCGTCATGAGAGAAGACTGCTAGAGTTAGTGTTGTACAAGGGATTTGGAAGTATTCCTAGTAAGATGATTTGGTTGTAGCGACGTGTCTGGTAGAGAACACGTGCTCGTAATAGGAACAATCAGATACTGTTATGGGAGCTGCTATCTTCAGTCTCCGACGTTTGTTTTTCATTGCCGTGCTGTTCTTACCTGGTGAGGCATTGATTCGCTTCGATTGATCTTCACGACTGGGACACGAAAAAGAACAGGTATACTATATTTATGGTATCTGATCTCCATCAAAAGATGCTCAAAAGGTCCGTCGTACAACTATGAGATGCCGAGAAAAGAGACCACCCGTACATGAGCGCATGGAAAGATGCCTTGACTAGGAAAAATACCGTGATGGAAAAAATGAGTCGTCTGATTTGGATTAGCGTCATGAAATTCGTTAAAAGCGTACCGAATGCGGTTTCGGCGCAACCATAGCACAGCCTTAAATATCGTTGTAACCAAGCAGCCGCTTATCCAGGTTCATGTCCGCAACCGCCCAAGCCCAAGCACGACCAGCTTCGCCACACCATAGGGCTGATGGATCATCAGACTTCTCAAGCATGCCATCCTTTGCCATGGACTTGATTTCGTGGCCGGTGGTATAAGTCATAAAGTGTTCAAACTGTTTGCCATCCAACGCAAGAGCATTTCCTGTGATGCCGTGGCAGATACAAGGCTCCTTTGTTAGAAGACCTCGTTCCCAGATACATTCTCTCGCCTTGGCAACAACTCTGTCAATCCGGTCATGGAGTCCAGGGAAATATTTTCGGATTGAGAGAAGCGAAGTAACGACACCAGGCGCTCCATGGCAAACTTGTACGAGCCTATCGCGCCCCGGTGGCAGCGATGACGGAAAGTTTCCACTTTCGTACTGATAACTCAGCAAGGCGCCTAGCTCGGCATCCAGTTTGGGTGCCCATGCAGGATCAGTGAGGACAATCTGTGTAATGATGCCGATGGCCCCGTGAACAGCACCAACGTACGCCTTGCCGTGCCATTTCCAAGGACGCGGGCTATCCATGATGTTTTCGATAATTTCATCCGCGGTGTCCTCGATGAGTTCGGTGATTTCCTTGTTGTCGGTAAAGGCCTTGCGGACCAGTCGGAGAAGGTACAGGTAACCTGCACGGCCATAGAGCCACTCGTTGGAAGTACCGTCCTCAAGCATGACTGCCGCGTGATCACAGAGTTCCTTGACAGTGTCTGGGTCTTTTGCTGTAATGGCGTACAGCGCAAGAAGCGACATGATGTCGTTTGAGACGCCGCATTTCTTGGGAGATGGTGGCGGGAATTCCTTGATGTGAGTCTGGGCCTGTTCAATGTAGGCTGCCGACCAAGTATTCAAGGGATAGCCGTCCAGTTTCAAGTCCGGGTAGAGGTCGTGCAAGGCATAGAAGAGGAAGGCAACCGAGATGGGACCATAGTACAAGCCTCCGCCTGGGGGGATGTGGTGCGGAGGGTAGTCGGTGATCAGCCGGTCCAAAGACGCTAGTAGCTGTTTGTGAGGGTCTCGTCGCGCGAGCGGTGCATCGTTCCGGAAATAGCGGGGTATTGAAGGCGGCGTTGCTTTTTCCGCAGTAGCAGCAGACGGAGCACCTTCGTCAGACATGGCGACAATGGATTCGGAATTAGATGAGGCAAGTTCTTTGTTGGAAATGAAACGGGCAAATGCTGGCGCAAGTTCAGGATTGCTGCGACTGATCCATTTGCAGCAACGCCTTTCACGCGTACGTAGCGTAGCGGCCCAAGCGTGACGTCAGTGGGGTCCGCAATACTATTCCATGATTGGCCTTGCACCACGTCAAATCTGCCAACCCCCGGCGAACAACCCACTATCTTCCATGGAATTTTGCATCTTCTCATCTTTCCTTTCGGTCCGATTCATTCTACGTATGGCATTTCTCTTCTTAACGTGTTCACGACATTTTTCATCCATGTCGGATACGTGTACGGCGGCAGTGGTGAATGAGGGGTTGCATCTCTTCCATCTCACCCAACATGCCGACTACGGTACCTACGCACGTGTGCTGTTCAGATGACTGCCCGAAAAATCATATGATCATACCCATCTTTCCATTTTCATCTCTTGCTACATATCTAGTGTACAGGTCATTACAGTGCGTTGCTGGGGTATACTCTGCTTTCTCAACTGCAGTTCGTCCGTAATCAACATCATTGCATCCGCCTCATTTCATAAAATAGTCCAAAAGGTAAAACGCTCTATCAATTCGCGGAGTGACCAGGCCACGGCAGCGGCTCCGCTGGAAGTTCTGCGAATCGTCCCATCGAGTCACGTCGCCGAAACTGGGGTAGAATCTCTCGACTGTCCAGTTGTGGGGGTTCGCGTGTTTCCATCGTATCAGCTCTGTATAACTCCGCCACCTTCTTTTGAAATTGTGACGATGCTTTGCCTGGAAAAATATTAGATTCTTTGGTACCTGACATTGCGACGTGGGATAACATACTCGAGAGCTGTGGTGTCATGTCACCGCCAACATATGGCGAGGGATATGCTGGCGCTTTGTACACTTTTGTAAGTTTACGTTTGCGAATAAAAAACAAGATGGCTAGCAAGAGAGTGCAGAGGATGACGGAACCGAGAACTGCGCCGACAATTGCTGCTACTGGCACTGAACTCCCACGACTTGGCATTGATGGTGCTGCAGTAAACGTCCCTGTCACGTGCTCTGTGACTGTCCGGTATGGTGGCTCCGCAAGGCTGACAGTAAATCTCGATTCATATGATGGACTCGCGGTAACTGACGAAGCTGTTCCCGTAATTGGGGTCATTGAGGAAGATGGAGTCGGTTTTGTGATTGAAGAAACCGTGGTCTTGGATGGGCTAGCGATACTGCTCGAGATATCATTCGAAGCTATGCCATGTCAGTTGAAACTCCCAAATCAACAGCACATCCACTTGCATTGGCCTGGAGTGAGGTCCTGATCCGCTGGACAAGTACTACCTGGCATGCAAGGATCCATGGTGCAGCAACCACGAAATCCATTACACACGTAGTAGACACCGCCTGCCGGGCAATCACCCACACGAGGTAAAAGTATCGATGCCATTGCTAGACTTTGGGATTTTGGATCGTCGAGTTACAGTGATGTCGTCGAGGACGACGAGATATGAGTATATCATGGTGGCCATGGCTACGCCTCACAGGCATGTTTGCAGCAGTTAGTGAGCACAGCACAGAGGCAGTGCTGCTGCCAGCCGGCGCGCGTGCGCAAACAAAGCAGCGCAGAGCAAGGGCGTGCCTTGGCTTGACTCCTGATCGGACCCGAAACGCCATTCCTGATGCGGATACTTGATCAAAGAAACTACCAGGCTATTCCCTGCGCACTTGTTGTGTTGCTGCAGGAACTTCAAAAAGTATTCTATTATAGTATGCAGCCTCGTTGTTGGGGTGTTATTATGGGGTCAAAGACGTCTTTAGATCAAATCTCCACACCTTCGCTTCATGCACCAATCGAACGGAGTCTTGTAATCTCCAAAGGCTGTCTAGACCTGGCGCATGGGTCTGGCCAACTTACATGAGATGTATTGCACTTCAGCGGCCTCAAATTTGGGACGATGCGACGTGTCACTAGAGCGCTGTAGTTAGTGGACTTGCTCTAGAGCCAAACGCCGGCAACCTTGGTGCGTTCGTTCCGCTCCCGCAAATAACCTACTTGGCGATCGCCCCATAACAGGAAATTCGTATCGTCATGTCAAGTCTGCTACAGCTGTGTCATGCGAATGAACGCACTGGTGTTATTCTAGGCTCAAGACATATGTCTGCAACTACAGTGAAGTAGCACGCGTCAGTGTAGTGAGATGGAGAGTACATCAAGTGTGTCGTGGACGCCAATATGATTCAAGCGCCTCTTTTGTTGAACAACTGTCTTATTTCCCTTCTGAACCTTTTTCGACATGTTGTTTGGCAAGGTTGGACATCACCGCTTTGCTACGCGGATGCATTGACAGCATATACAAGTCGTACAGTACTGCGTTACTAGTCGCTTTTTTCTACCTATCAGGCATCATAGCGACTAAGTACTGCCAGTGCCAACATCGGCAAAGCGATGATGAAGCTTCCAGCGCCAAATGCTACCTCCCAACTGCCCCAGAAAAATCTTCCTCCAATTACTATGGAAGGGAGGAGAATACTTAGAAATGCAATGCCGGATTTCACAGGGCACCACGCAGTCTCAACGTATAAGCCAGTTAGTTCTAGATATCTATTCTGGAATCGGAACTCGTCAACTGGGAAATAGATGCTCCTAGTGATATTGATGTTAGTTGGATCTCATGGCATGTGTATCAAATACTTGCCTATATCGATGGATAAAGCGATGGCTATTCAAGCCACTAAGTATTCTTTGAGACTTTGCACCGGCTGGATTTCGGAAGTAGCAAGAAAGGAAAGGCGCAGTTTGAATCCAATTTATATGATCATTGACCCAATCCCATTCTTCGAAAGGACAGCTTGAATCATCAGAGTCTTCTGAAGTGTGGGTTGGACAGTCAACGTTGCAGTGATTGTATTCCCCATCCTTATCGCGATAGCAGTGTTCCGGAAAATCGTTCGAATAGGAATATGCTATTAGTTTAATAGCTTTCATCGCATTTTTCTGTTGCTCAGTGTAGCTCTTGTGCAAGCCGTCTAAGTCTATCGGTTGAACAAAGGCTAGGAACCTTTCTGAGTCACGGCAAATCAACCGGAACTATATCTAATATTAGCACGACCAAGCACGCTACAGGACGGTAAGAACATACTGTAACGGGCTTGAGTCTCCTAAATTTTCGGAATGGAAGGAAAATCTGGGAGAGGCCAAGTTGTTTATGATACTTCTTCTGTAACAAGTCGAAGATTTCATCCTCATTGTCCTCAACATCGGTGATTGGAATGTCCACAGCCCAGGTTTTGAAGCTTTCAGAGTTCTCAGAACCCCATAGCAAGAATACACAGCTTGCACCGTCTTTCTTCTCAGCTTCTTCCTGAAAGTAAACGGAGATGGGGTCTTTGGGCAATTCGGACGGTTTTGATAAAGCGGGCTTTAATACACCTTCTTGCATCGTCTGTTGCCTTCTTCTTTCCTTAGCTCTCTTCAGACAACGACGTCGAACATATTGGAACCCAGTTTCTGTCACTGCAATTGTTTCTGAGTTTCTAATGCAGGCTCTTTCTGGTCGCGATGGAAGGTTTACTAGCGGTGACGACATAGTAAATCAAGGTTGGTGAAGACAGTTGTAGATGAAAGAAATTCTTGCATTTTTGGAGTATTGCAAGATACAGCAAATTATACAAATGAACTTCAAGCAAATTTGCTCTCTAAGGCCGCTACTTTTGTGCCAGCGCAGCGGATCCAGGCAGAAGCACTGCCCGTTTGTGGCGGAGTAAGGCTGAATTCGCCATAATCTACATGTAGCGCATTGATTGGTTGATCCATTTTCCTGTTATTTCTATTCTATCAACTTGGGTGGTATATGTATGTCACAACTGGAGTGGAGGATTTCTCCATGACGACGGCCGCATGAAAAGTGACCTTTAGGCGCCATGTCAGAAGGTGAGCAATGATCTCCGCGGGGCGAGGATCGCGAGGCTGGCTTCACGCCAAGAACAGAGCCGCACACTTTGTAACAACCATTTTCCTTACGTATTCATTTTTCTAAAATATCTGTTTGAAAATAAATAAAAAAAAGCATTTATAAAATGCTAGACGAAAAAGAAACCTTACCGTTCTCAAAGCACGCCCTTCGATTTCCTAACTCCAGAGGGATACTCCTTAGGACAGATCACATTCCAATGTTGAATCAGTCCTGCAGCCATTGCTCGCTGTCTAGACGTCATCAATCCACCTGTAACCACATTATACAATTTCCGTGCGATCACACCCTCATCCCCTAACGCCATATTGACGTACTCCTGCGACGCCGTACTCAGGAACGCAGCCTTCAGCGCCTTACCTAACTGATCAGAAGGCACCTTCGCCACCTTGTTCTCATCAGCCTCATCGTGATGAATGCCCTTCCAAGCCCAGAACGGGCTCCGGAGCGCAATGATCTTTGGTACGAAACATGCCATGTCCCAGTCGACGATGCCAGTGATCTTGACCGATGTGCGGCTGTTGACTTCCACCATGACGTTGCGCGCGAAAAGGTCGCCATGCATCAGGTGGAAGCGGTCGCCGAGCCAGCCCATATCGTCGATTACGTGAATGATCTCGATGATGCTGAACCAGAGTGACTCTTTGAAGCCATCGGTTGGGCCGATCAGGGATTCGTACCTCATCCAGCGGTTGCAGCAGTCGATCAGGAATTGGCATGGCGTCTGTTGCGGCGCCTCACGCTTCTCAACGGTGTTGAGGTTCGGTTTGTTATACGTGAATTCCTTAGTGGGAATGAGGATTTGATCCAGCTTGATCTCTGAGCTGGGCGAAGTGATGTTGTTGAAGGAAATTTGACCGGCTGCTGGGGAGGTGATGGACGCGATGGTCTCTACGATGCGAGTCAGTTGGCGAACCGCTGACGCCTTTTGATCAAGGTTCAATTCATGCCAAACCCTCATAAGGCTTTCACCTGGCACGAAGCTCTGCAGCATGTATGGCCGACGGAGGGCGTTGATATCTGTGACGTCGAACTCTTTGATAGTAGGAATAGGCACCGCGAGGCGCTGACCTAGAACACAAAGAGTTGCTACATCTTGGTGTATATCGCTCCTTATGAGGCTTCCCGATGGACCGTTCAAGTCAAACCACGACTCCACCGGAATCCTTAACGCGAAAGTTAGTGGCTTGGGCGGTGAACCAAGCAGTCTTATGATTCGGGGACTGTAGGTTGAATCGTTCTTCTGTGCGTGAATCCTGGGCGTCACAGATACCCCAATGACCATGTTATATGAGCCTTGTCCAAGACGTCGAATAATAGGCCGCTTAATCTCTGTGGGAGGGAATAGGTTGGCTAACAGATGCATGATCTTAGCTTTGAGTTCGGCAATTTTCTCGCCATCATGGTAGTATCCCCCATCTGGCCCGTAGATGTTGCCCTCTGCAAAGAAGTCCAAGTGGATGTCTTCTTTTTGGAAGCTGTCATGTCTATCGGTGCTCTGAGAATCCATTGACAGGCCATCTACGCCCCTTTCGATCTCGAACAAGACCATGGTTTGGCAAAGGTTCGTGGCTACCATGGTGGATATCCCTGGATTGTCGTAGTCTTTAAATTTATCTTGTGAGTTTCTGATGTATCGATGATCCAAATTGTTGGTGCGTTTCTTCGGAGAAATACAATATGTGAGTTTTATAGTTCCTGAGTGCAACATAGTGAATCTAGCACTAGATGTTGTGTATGCACTGCCCTCAATATATATATGCACAATGCGCCAAAAGCTCTACAACTATATTGGTGAATTGTCTGAATACTGTATTTCGGTCGATATACAAGATTTGAAGTACTGTCAATGTCTCACAATGTCCACTTGTGGAGTGATTGGCACACACCATCCATTAGAAGGTGATTTGTACAAGAGTAGATACAATGGTTGCTCGGCACATATCATCTCATTTGCAGCATATAGCAGCATATCGTGCATTCCAGATCATATATCACCTGATCAAGTCAATTTGAGACTTGCAATACTATGCTGCAGCGGAGTTTGCCTTACCACAAAGTCACATGATGAACCTACTATACATTTGGGAAACGATTGTTTACGCGAAAAAAATCGTTATTCGTGTTACTAAAAGATAGATAGTTCTCCTTACTCTAGTAGCGCACTATCCTACTTTCACTCAAAAATTTGCTGAGTGATTATGACTTCCGTGGGTGAACGTTCACCTGAACACATTTGAAATTCTGGAAAGACACCGCAGAAGGGACATCTCTGTCCCAATTAAGAGAAGTGTTGACCATTTTATAGTCATAGCGATAGAGAATATGTCCAAGAGAAATGCAGAGTGTCTGGTATGCCATTTCCTTTCCGATGCAGCCTCTAGTTCCTGAAAGAAAGGGCTTGCAAGCTTCCCTGTTGTCATGTTCAAACAGGGTACCCGGTCCATTGTCAAACCATCGATCGGGCCTGAAGGACAATGGTTCGGCCCAATACTCGAGCATCCTTTGCATGGAGAAGACTTTGGCGGAGACTGTCGTGCCTTTTGGAATGTACATGCCGTTGATCTCTATTCCAGGACATGTTCGGTCGGCAAAGCGGGTATTGATCGGCGGCATCAACCTAAGCGTCTCATAAATTACACTTGGGAGGTAGCGGAGCTTTGCGAGGCCATCCGCAGTGATGGACTCTTGGTTGGGAAAGGCGTTTCGGAGTTCTGACTGTACAGCAGCCATATATTGTGGGTTACGGAGAAGCTGATAAAATGCACCAGTCATCGTCATGGCCGACGTTCCATAATCAGCGAGGCTTCAATCAGTTAACCATCACTCGCTGGTGAGATATTAGATTACTGACAACAAGATGGAGGAGTTTTGAATCAGTTCATTGTCGCTCAGATGGAATCCCGTCTGTGCACAATGGGGAAGAGGTAGTCGTATAAACCATATAATGCTATGACCGTGTTCGTATTGTTGATAAAATAACCGATCATGACTAGATCCAAGTTAGTGATCAGAAGCAGAGCATATCCGGAATTTGTAGACATTGAATTTCTGACTTCTTCCATTTCCTGTCAGTATATCGCCGAAGCTCAGATCTGAAACAAGATCCCATGTACTCTCAGAAACAACCTCGCCGATATTCGTTGCCTGGCCTGGCTTTTCGACAATCTTGTGCAGTCGACCAACCAAGCCTTGCACATGGTGTTGGATTAACGCTTCTTAATCTTTAAGAGCATTTGGGGTAAACGCTGGTCGAATGCCTTTTTTTCAGCTTCTTGTGCAGCTCTTTGTCATGTATTGTAATGATGTTTTTCCCGACTAGCAATAGGTTTCCAGCTTGCTCCTGTACAGTCCCTTGTTTAGTAAAGTATGTATTTCTGTTGTTTTTGGAGCTGTTGTAGATCTGCTTTTGTGCAACGACTGTGCTAAGAGAAAGTTCGTTGGGGCCCATGCGAACCACTGGGCCTGTTGGATGTCCATTAGATATGTCTTTTGGCATTCAAGACACAACCTTAACCTACCAAAGGTCGCGTGTAAGTCTGTCATTCTGGTGTCCAACCTTCTGCGCTGCATAACGTAAAGCATAAAAATCTTTTTTTTCCATGAACTGTTAATAAAACCTCTTATGAAATTCTATTGCCAATGAAGCGGATGACTTACTGGCGAACACCGAGCAAGAAATGGACTAGGGATTTTCTTCAGCGGATAGAAAAAATGATTTTAGATGATATTTCCGAGTTGCCACGACGAAAGCTTTTTTAGTTAGTTTAATCTAAGGATTGTCTCTACAAGAATAGATGGGAGGACTCACAAGGCCAAAGAACACAACTGTGATAGACACTCGGTCTATCGCATTCATTGACGAGAGCGTAGCTCCCATTCTGTTGCAACACGCAAGGGATCAGATTCAGGTAGATTTAGCGTAAAGTGAGATTTCTCGCGACGAGTGCAAAGGGAGATCTGTTTCACAAAACAGGTGGCATTGGCAGGCGAGAGTATCTATAGGTCTTCCTGGATGGTTCAGTATTCTCAAGCTTTTGTTCCGATTGCTTGACTAGTAGGCTATGTTAAAGACACCGTCTCTACACGACTGTTTCCCTTTACAGGGTTCAAGATAGGACCACGCGTAGCGCTAGTCGCCTGTAGTCAGCATACATGCCTCTTCACCCAGCATTTGTCTTTACTTTTCGGCTACTTAATCACCTTGCACATCTTTGTGGATTCTCTCATATCTAACAATTTCCCTGAAAATTTACGTCCATTCGATTGACCAAACACTTGTCCTTCGGTCACTATATGTTTAGCACATTCTCGGGGCTTGGCTTCTATTAGTGAGGTTGTTGGAATTCGCCGTTGACGGATTAGATAAGAGCTGACTGTTCGGTCACGTATCTGCTTCGTGCATTTTCGGCGTTTCCTCTCTATTTTCTAGCCTCGCCAGATCTGCCTTTGATGATTGGCTAGATGGGCAAGTAGATCCGAATAGGTCATACGTGCCCTTATCGTTACACATAACTTCAGATTTCAGGTCTGGAGCAGAATCTATATAAGAGTATCATGCATTATATTTACTAGTATTAATCTTGTTATTCTTGCATCTGTTCATCCTTATCAGAAAGCTTTGAAATTTCTGTATTGAACGTCATGAAGGCTATTTTCCAACACTGTTCCCCTGTTGATCCTAAGGAGTTGTCAAAACATGGCCATTTTTCCAAACTAATGCCCCGTATAAACCACAGAGACAATTTGGCAAATGCTGCAACTCGAAAGCTCTTATTAGACTGGGCAGAAATGGTTGGAGATGGATGGGAGAGCGAATCTCATAGCTCACTGAGTAAAGTTGGCAATTGGTGTTCGCTAGTTTTCCCTGAAACAAAGCCGGAGAGGTTAGGAACTCTGACCTATCTCACCGATCTCGGGTTGATACACGATGGTATGTCAATGAGTTCCTGCTTATTTTTATTAGTTTACTGATATTGGAGATAGATAATACGGAAGCGATATCTTCTGATTGAGCTAATCAGGAGCATCAAGTACTCTGTGCCGCTTTGAATGATTCCGATAATTCAAACATACCTGGAGGTTCCCGTTCTCAAAAGATTAAGAATCTAGCGGCTCAATTTTTGTTCCAAGCAATGAGCATTCATTACGAAAAGGGTTCGATGATGATCAAAGCTTATCGAAAGAAGTGGCTCGAGGTGATGGACAGCCCACCATCGAATGCCTTCAAAATTATCTCATCTTACTTGAAGTTTCGAATGAGCAACGGCGGCATGGAGTAAGTAATTCCACTTCTCTGTGCGGTTCTCGCAGATTACTAATTTTGTCTACTAGTCCTTTTTGGAATGGACATAACATTGGCAGCGGACAAAACCAAGGCCACACAACACGTTATGGATGCCGTGGATTGTGCACTCGTCCTGACCAACGACTACTACAGTTTCGATCGGGAGTACGCAGCAGTCAAATCCAACCCCGAGGCTCGTATCGTGAACGGGGTATTCCTCCTCATGCTAAACGACGGTATCGATGAGGCTGAGGCAAGATCATCAATACGCGATCTAATCGTCGAGTATGAGTTGCAGTTCCTTGTTCGATGGAAAAAATACCAGGAGAAAAATATCAAAATGTCGATGAATCTCCGACGCTTCATAGAAAGAGCAGGTGCTATCGTGGCCGGTAACCACTGGTGGTGTACCGTGTGCCCTAGGCATCGTTCTTTCAAGACCCAAGCAGCGAAAGCGCCGCAAACACATGTCGCTCCTTCAAAACCCCTACCTGCTGGTGGACCGAAAAGAACCGACTCTGCGACATCCATTGACACGGTTTTCATCACCCCTCAACTCTCTCAAGAAGCACTAGTAGAACCTATTGATTATCTCAAATTAATGTCATCGAAAGACGTTCGGAAAGCGCTTATCGATTCATCGAATGTTTGATTCGATATTCCTACAAGAAAGGTGAAGAGCATCGAAGAGATCATAGATACCCTTCACCAATCATCATTGATCCTGGACGACATCGAAGACAACTCCGGTATCCGACGTGACCTACCGTCCGTCCACACAATATATGACCAGGCCCAGGCAATCAACAGTGCAACATACATGTTTTTTCGGGCCGTGAACCTAACCTCTTCAGGGTTAAGTCCCAAAGGGCTATCACGCCTGCTGGAAGGTCTTGAGCGTCTATTCGTTGGCCAGAGCTGGGATTTGTATTGGAAACACAATCTGATCTGCCCCTCGAAAGAGGAGTACTTGCAGATGGTGGATGGAAAGACAATGAGCATGTTCAGAGCGCTGGTTGAGCTGATGGAAGTCGAAAGCCTCACACCGTGTCCTCCCAAGACTGAAAATCTCATTTTCCTCTTGGGGAGGTATTTCCAGATCAGGGACAACTACATGAACTTGGTATCTAAAGGATACGCAGCGCAGAAGGGTACTTGTGAGGATCTCGAAGAGGGCAAATTTTCCTTCCCGATCATCGCTTGCATACAGGATTGCCCGGCCTCCAAGGGCAAGATCCTTGGTTTGTTTCGCCAGCATGCGGCTGGTCAGAAGCAGCAGTCGATCGGGATGGGTGACGAGTGTAAGCGTCTTATCATGCAGATCTTGAACGATGGAGGGGCTCTTGCTACAACTAAGAGCTATCTTTTAGAACTAGAAGATAGCCTCAAGGAGGAGATCGGGTGCCTGGAAGCAAAGACAGGAAAGACTAATAGCCTGTTGACGCTTTTGATTGAGACTCTGAGTCTTAATCAATAGCAGATCAATAAAAATTTAGTCGCGCTGGTCACTTTCTGAAAAGAAGGGCATTAATTCTTTTGTCTAAGTTCTAATAACGATACGTGTAGTTATTCTAAAAAATTCCAACCCCAAGCTACTGAAAGATGAGCAATACAACGAAACAAACCCATCACCAATATCGCGACCATGTGCGCCTCTTGCAATGCCCAAGCCCCAGAAACAATTCACAATGCTAAAAAAATTCTTCAGAGTCTCATTCACGTAACGACTTCATCATCATTGTGCGCGCGATTATAGGGAATAGAGCCAGGATATAGCTCTGGAAGCTCAATCCCATCGTCCGGATGTAGCAAATGCCAGTCGCGAACAATATCCCACGCTTCATTCATGTGCCAATCAGAGGCAATGCCCTCTTTAATGATCACGTACATGCGCCGAGCAAGTATAGCCTCGGGCGAGAACGCGAATCGCTTAAACTTCTCCGACGCATTGTCCAGAAAAAACTGCTGGAGAATTTTGCATGTTTCAGAGCGAGGGGAGATGTTTACTGTGACTTCGTCGTCAGCAATAGCACTTTCGATATGATCCTCCGTCCACAGCCAAAAAGGAGCTCGGTAGGCGACGAACTCTGGCACGATGAGAGCGGAGTCCCAATCTATAACGCCGGTGATTTCGACTTCGGTGTCGCTGCCAATTTCTGCGAGTAAGTTGTATGCCATGAGATCTCGGTGAGCCAGCACACAGGGTCCCTCAAGAAAGCCGCGCTCATCCAGCGATTGGGCGATCCGACCGAAGTTGCACCAGATTTCACCGAAAGTGAAGTAGCTGTTTTTCCTATGATACTCGCTCCATCGTCGACACTGCTCAAAGAGGTGCTCGAATGTATCCTGAGGTTCTTCGGGCAGCTTGAATGACTTGTCTCCCAACTTCTCGTGCTGCAAGTGGAGGCTTTCTACATGAAGTCGTGTCGAGTCTGAGGAAAGTGCATCTAGTGAAATAGCACCGCCCGGTCCCTCTACTGCGGCAATGGTAGGGACAAGTTCAATGACTTGTTTGGCGATGGACTTGAGCTGCTCTAAGCTTAGAGTCTTCTCTGTCATAAGGGCCGCCAGGTTTTTGCCTGGGAGACGAGATTGGATCATGTATGGTTTTCCCACGGCGTTATTGGAAGTTGGGTCGTAGCTCACTACGGTTGGAATCGGCAAATCGAGAAGCGCACCGACAGTCTTGAGAATGGCGACGTCGCGATTCACAACAAGGTTGTCGTCCTCTCCGTCTGTACGAGGGATTCGAACAATATAAGAATTGGAATCTGGAGTCTCTGATGTTTGGAGCGCCCCTTGAAACCAGGATGGAAAAAGGATCTGTAATAATGCGTGAAACCAGGTCACAAGGGTGCGCTTGGGTCGTGGCGAGATTGTAAGAGCTGCGACTCGATTGTAGCTGCCCCCCTTCATGTACTCGACTTTGATGTTAGAAACATCTTTTCCGAAGCAAAGAGCAGCCATGGTAGCGATCTTGTGTTGAAGTGTTTCGAAGGGTTCGTAAGACGGGTCATCGTTGTAACTGGAGGTGGACAACTCTGATCGTGCATCCACAAAGTCAGATTGTGTTGAGTTGGACGTCATGATGTGGGACAAACTTTTGCTAGATCTAGTTGTTGTTCTTCAAGTCAAGAATCTGGATGAGTGGCTTAGGTTCAGTTTCGCAAAGACAATTGAGAGGTTCTTATATGTTGCAAGCGGAGTGCACATTGTTTGCAAACAAATGGGGCTCCTTTGTCCAGTGCCTCAAAATAGGGTTAGTTCGTACCTGCAGTGAGACTTTCAGAGCGTTCCACCACCAGGTGAATCATTTTTCATAGTACGATTAGAGACAGCTATGTGATGCAATAGAGGAGAGACATTGTATTCTCACTATTTGTTTAAACCATGATATAAAATGTTCGCTACAATAATGCCTAGAAACGATCTACAGAATCACAACTCTCAATTACAATACCTCAACTGACTTAGACACTTGTTCAACCAACTTAACCGAACATCTAGAAAACCGGACCCTTGTACATCATGCCACACAAGACTAAGACCCGACACCATTGCCCGGGCCAGAACGGATGGGTTGGCGATATAAGCCCCGGAAATTGCAACAAATCCGGTAATGGCTCTCACTGCACGAAGCATCAAATGCTTTGTGAGGGTGGGTGTGGGGCGTGGCATTTGAAAAATCAATCTGGATGCCAACAGTGCATCGCGAGGAAGGAAGCCGAGGAGCGTCGGCAGCGAGCCGAGCGCCAGCGTCTGAAGGAAGAGGAGGAAAAGAGTAAACATGGGGATTTTTTCAATCCAGGTAAGGAACGAAAGAAACCTAGAAAAAAGGACTCTGACACTAATGCTGGCGCCGCAGCAGCTTAATTTCAACTTTTGCTTTGGATACAGGCGGATAGAAGGCTCTGGTAAAGAAATTGTAATAAAATTAGAAATGATATATTGCAGGAATTGAAATGCTCGTGATGTGAAGGCGGTAGAGTGAAGCCCCAAGACGAGGGCTGAGCGATAAAAGCTCAAAGACGAAGAAGCGGAGAGGGAGGAGGATGACTTCTTCAAAGTGGGTAAAGACTGGAAAAACCCCTAAGAAGAATGATGTCGAACCAAACGATGAAGAAGCCCAAGACTGACACTCCTAGACACACAGGGCTGTGGAAAATATCATCTGGCAAGCCAAAAGGCATACCGAAAGTGCCTAGTCAAATTGAGAGCCGACGAGCGCCGGGAAAGGGCTCTGAGACAAAAGGCTAAAGATGATGAGTCTAAAACAAAAGGACGATCGAGTTCTCTAAGCCAGGTAAAGAGCGCAAAAGGCCGAAAAAGCCCCCAAACCAGACCCTGAACACGACTCTGGCGAAGCTTGATGCCGACACTTCCAGACACCCAAGGTTGTGGAAGGTACCACTCGGCAAGCCTCCTAGCTTACAGGAAATGTATCGGAAAAATGCGGGCAAATGAGCGTCAGGAGCGGGCTGAACGCCAGAAGGCAAAGGATCAGGAGGCTAAGAGCAAAGACGACGACTTCTTCAACCCGGGCAAGAAGCGTACGAAGCCCAAAGAGAAGGATTCGGATGCTGAACCTGATGCTGGCGCGGCTTAATGCTGACATGTGCAGACATACAGACGGATGGCAGGTTACAGCAGAGAAAAATAGGAAGGATATATAGCTGGGAAGAGAGGCGTCCTGCCATCCGACGAATAAACTGAATATGAAATGATTCGTGAACTATGCATCGCAACGTGACACTAGTGTGGTGGTTGTCGCCTGAGGAGAGAGATATCGGACTTGATGCGGTGCTGGTCTGGCATCTCCAGGCGCATCTGGTGTTTCCATGGTGTTTCCATCGGGCTCGCCAGGTGTTGCGGTGGGCTGATGGATGGGGACCTTGCGGATATAGCGGGAATGATATAGAAATAGTAATTGAGCTTGATGCTTTAGATTGTGGTTGTATATAGAGTGTGATGGAGTTTGAAGGGGATGAGGAGTTTTGGATGATTTATATGGGTTTGAAGTATGGAGGGTTAAGTTACTGAAAGACATGCTGATTCGTCAACGGGTTTATCTTTCAAGGCTTGGACTGTGTTGCGAGACAGAATGCTAGACATGGCAGTTTGGATGAATGAAGAAAGAAGAGACAAGGCAAACTATCTTGATGCGGACTGTTTTGATGATGGCCAAGGTTATACGCGTTATCCGTCTGTTGTAGTGATGGATGATACCCCGGCGTTGAAGCAGCCAATCACAGCTCTCGCAAGCGACTGCAAGAATGCTCTACGTCATTGACAATGCCATCGACACCGGGTGTCGTGACTTCGCGTTCTTTCCTCCCCAAACGTGGCAAATGTCGTCCTTATCGCGTAGCAAGCCAGTCTTACATTTAGAAACGCGCTCGTTCAACCGTACGTTTGCACGTTTTACAACCCCGTTGCATCGCAGCAATCATTTTCCCTGACAATTCACGGTACCCTTTCAAGCGAGACATCATACAACCATGAAGCGTGGAGCAATCGACTCGTTCTTCACGCGCCCGTCGCCCAAGAAACCAAAGTATGAAGTCAGTAAGGCCAAGTCGAGTCATGCTTCCTATCCCTTTGCGATTCCACACCTACCGGAGGACTTTGCAGAACAGCTGGGTTTCGCGCCTGCCGAGGAGGGCAAAATCATGAACGACCAACTTGACCTGGATCTCATCTACTACCAACCATACATCCCTTCCTCGATTGCTAGTGGCGTGTTTGAGTTTCTCCGGCAAGAGCTGCCCTTTTACCGCGTCATCTACAACATTACGCGCGGAGGAGTGCAGACACAAATCAACACTCCTAGATACACTACCGTTTTCGGTGTTGACGATACATCTCGCTTTTCTCCCGACGGAAAGATTATAGATGCCAAGACAAGCAAGCCGGTGGAGAAGACCAGATATAAATGCGCACCAAGACCTATTCCGCAATGTCTCGACGAGCTGAGAAAAGTGACCGAAGGAACAACAGGGGAGACGTTCAACTTCTGTCTCGTCAACTACTACGCCGATGGCAAGGACAGCATATCCTACCATTCAGACGACGAACGGTTTCTCGGCCCCAACCCAGCCATTGCGTCCTTCAGCCTCGGTGCAAAGCGCGATTTCCTCATGAAGCACAAACCCATGCCGCCGAAGGATGGTGAGAAGATCGAAGAGCCCAAGGGACTGAAGTTGCCGCTGGGCTCCGGGGATATGATCCTAATGCGCGGTACGACGCAGGCGAATTGGCTGCATAGTATACCAAAGCGTGCGGGGCCGGAGGCTGGCAAGGGGAGGATCAATATTACGTTTAGAAAAGCGATGGTGAAAGGGGGAACGGAGAATTACTATCAGTACAATGTTGGGTCTGGTGGGGTGTATAGATGGGATGCGAAGGCTGAGAAGATGGTGCAGCAGGAGATTGAGAAAGGAAACGATGAATGATTCGTCTGCTAGTAAGGGGTTCGTCTGGGTTAGGCGTTGGTGTAGTGTGGAAGCAGACCTTGATGGGCCTGTCATCCACTCGAACTAATCGCTCTGTTCCATGACAATTACTTATCCGTCTCTTATCCGCTCGATATGATTGCACCTGGATGGATTGACGTGCTGCTGGGGCTTTTGGGATTACGCAGCAGCCTAACCTGGGGCGGCGTTGGTGGACAAGCAAGAAATGGCTCGAGCATGAGCCAAGTCAACCCCGCTCTCGGGACTGTCGCGGCCACAGAAAGTATAAATTATGGACGTGAAAGGAGATTTGTGGTATCGCTGCGGAAAAGGACTGCATTATGAGTGAGTCAGAGCCGCGCATCAAGTAATCATGTCATGCGCATGGATGCCTGAGGGTGCGGTGGCGACCATGGCGCATCGTGCAGGCTCCCTTGGCGGGCATTGAATGAGGGTGGTCGGAGTTAAAGGCCGCCTAATTCTCCCAATGCCCTGGACAGGTTTCCCGCCTGCGACAGCACAACACAACACTCACCACTTATCTCTTGCTAGCCCGGTATTATCCACGCCAAACGAGTTGCCCAAGCAGGCCTGTAGTCGCAATCGTACAGCCGGGCGCTCTGGATAAGTGCAGCGCGCCATCTCGTCGTGGGTGCGACCAAAGGGAGCTCTCGTAGGGCGCAACAGGAGCTGGTTGAGAAGGGTACGAATCGGTGCAATGCTTCGTCACGATACGTCTGCTGAGAGAATATAGACAGTATTAGCAACAACATTTCGATACACTGCTGCCTTGCGATACCTCGACCATCAGTGCTCTAGCCGACAGCTTGCACACGCTTCGTCCATCTAGTCTGCAAACAAGAGCCCTGCACGCTGTGGCTCGACACGAGACGCATCCACCCCGCGACGGATGTTCATGGTCTCTGGGCATACATATTCGACCTAGAGGAGGTGGACTTTGGGGTGGAAAGTATAGACTGTGTTGTGCTTGATACGCAAAATCAGCTGGAAAAGACTCAGACAGTCTCAAAGAGGACACCGCCAGGGCATCAAGCCATTTGAATCCCGGACTGCAGTCGTCACATCCCTTGGCGTCTGGAGATAGGCTCACCTCCGAAAGATTTAAGACCTGGCTAGCCCGCGCTCGCATAATTCTCCACCTGGGCACTCTTTCACACCCTCCTATCTGTGCAGTGCTTACTCGCGACAACGCCAATCTGCACGACACGATCCAGAACCTCATCTCTGCAGCTCAGGCGACCCACGAAAACGTGAGATTTCATCATACCTTCACCTCGGCGATAAGCCCTTAACTCCGCTCTCTCCACCCAACACCACACGTGCGACTGCAGCCCAGCATGCCGCCCACACCACCCTCCACAAACTCTTCGAGCGCAGGCCATTCGCCGCCGGATCCACAGTTTCGGGTCGTACGAAAGAGGAACCGAGTCCCGTTGTCATGCGGCGCCTGTAGACATAGGAAGTAGGCATACCTCTACGAAGCCACTGCGCTGTACCCCCCAACGCTGACGCTTGCAGGTTGAAATGCAACCGTGGCCACCCCTGCGACAACTGCACCAAGCGCGGAGATACGGCATCATGTACGTATGCTGCTCCAAGCAACCGCAAGAAGAGCTCCTCGAGCACTGGCTCTGCGACGACCCCTGATGACATGCAAAACCGCATTGACCGTCTAGAAGGACTTGTCCTCTCTTTGATGACCAATGGCGCACAAAGCGCTGGCCCAGCTGCCGCTCATGCTGCCATCGCCGGTAGTCTCAACGGTGGAGCCTCGGATCCGCAATTCAATGTTAGTCAATATAACACTGCCATGAGCACTGGCGCGTCCGAGTCGATTCCTGAAGAAGATGTGGAAGAAGAAAGCGAAATGGAGAATGTCACAAAATCGATTGGCGTCATGAAGGTACACAACAACCAAACCGTGTTTGCTTCAGAGGCACATTGGTATGCCATCCTGGGGGAGCTATCCGAAGTCAAGAACTACTTTGCAGAACACAAGAAACAGTACGAAGATCAGCTCAAGAGGTATAGGGCAACACATATCGGAGACCGACCCCCAGGAACATCTTTCCTCATGGGCGGCCAGAAGCCCTGCTCTAAAGCTGAAGTTTTGTCACGCTTTCCTCCGAAACCGACGGCCGACCTTCTTGTGTCACGATTCTTCAACACCTACGACCCTGGCATGCACATCATCCATGGACCATCTTTTCAAAAAGAATACGATCGGCATTGGTTGCAGCCAGAAGAGACGCCGGTCATCTGGCTGGGTCTTGTCTTCTCCATGATGTGCATCGCACTGCAGTCTTACACTCGGGCTGGGGACGAGCCACCAGAGTACCATAATAAATCTTGGGAAATGTCAAGAGAGTATGGTGATCTAACTGCGCAGTGTCTCACTTTGGCCGACATCACACAGCCCATTACTGGCATGATGGAGACGTTAATATTACATGTACACGCTGAGTACGCTCGAAGCAGAGACGCCGAAGTAGGCATTCTTATCGGTACTGGCATAATTGTACGGCTGGCCATGCGCATGGGACTTCATCGGGATCCTGGGCCATATCCTGGCATTCCAGTATTCCAAGGCGAGATGCGAAGACGTGTTTGGGCAGTCGTGCGTTCGATCGATTTGCTGTTTTCTGCCCAGGCAGGTCTACCCCCCATTGTCAGACCACGAGACACCAATACGGAGATTCCGAGAAATCTCTACGACGACGAGCTCCATGAAGATATGAAGGTTCTTCCGCCGTCGCGACCTGAGACGGAAGCGACCCCCACTCTTTTCCTCATCAACCGAACCCGTCTCATCTACAAGCTCGGCGAAGCTGTCGAGTGCACGGATACCTTGACCTGCGCATCTTATGACGAGATAATGAGGCTGGATTCAGAGGCTCGTGAATTGCACGAAAACATCTCGCCCCATCTCAAGATGCGCGGCATGGACGAGTCAGCACGAGATCCTTCAACTTTGATCATGCAACGCTTTACACTAGACCTGCTCTTCCTGAAGATCATTTGTGTACTGCATCGGAAGTATCTCGCTTACGGCAGAGTACAGTCGCGATTCTGCTATTCAAGAAAGGCCGTTATTGAAGCATCGTTGATGCTCCTAAAGCACCAAGCAACCCTGCACAGAGAGTGTCAGGCTGGTGGCCGGCTAAGGAACGTGAAATGGTTCATTTCATCACTGACAACTGTCGACTTCCTCCTCGCTGCGATGATTGTATCGTCGGATCTCTACCACACCACAGCACAATCTACTCCTCGGTCTCCATCGACCGATACAATGTGTTGGAGTTCAGATCGGGTTGATGAGATGCTAGACGCGATCGAGATAGCAGTTGGCATTTGGGATGGACTCAAGGACGGCTCCATGGAAGCATACAAAGCGCATGCAACGCTCAGCGTCATGTTGGAACAGCTGAAGAAACATCGAGCGACGAAGCAAGCACCAAATGGATTTCAGGCAGCTTCGTCAACATACCCGATCACACAAATGGAGGACGCAAACGTTGCTCCGGAACATTCAGCAGCGATGACATTGGGCTTACTCAGCACAGGTGGCATGACACCTAATGCGAACATGTTCGATCAACGATACCCAGCAGGCATGGCCAATCTCTTGAACGACCCAGTTTCTCAGCCATCCACAGGCTTGACACCCCAGTACAACCAGTCTATGGGCGGTCCCACAGGGACTGAGAACGTCCCAAGTCCATTTTCCAACTTGTTTGGAGCGAACCTATTCCACAATTTGGACCTACCACCAACCGACAATATAAACTGGGTACGCTAGACTAATCACTGGAGATGTTTACAGTGGCTAACAGTCAACAGGACGCATGGGACTCGTACATTCAAGGCCCTGGCATCGAAACTACTAACAACTTTTTCCAAATGGATCTCGGCAACATGCCAATGCAGACGGAGCAGAATGGAGCGCCCACAGGACAGTCGCTCAACCAACAATCTACTGCAGCAGGTCAGACAAACATGTTTGCTCAAGATGTCTACATGGGTGTGAGTATGACCGAGTAGATATTCGTGATTGAGATCAAGCACTAACAGCAGCGTAGGCTGACGCGAAACCGGGGACTGGCGAAGGCTACGTCAGCGGCTTCAGAATGCCAAAATCGACTAATTAAAAACAAAACCAATGTACATGAACTAGCACATTCTTAACGCGCCACGACCTTTGTTGTACAACGTATGTTAGCCTTTTCGTATTCTGTCCAACTAAGCTCATTCGGTGGTTTTTTGCGCGCAAGGGCGGCCGTGGGGGCCAAAATCTTTCCATAGTAGTTAGTAGCTGTATTTAGAAACCCATGTATGGATGTCCAGCTGAGGTTTTGGAAGGAAGGGGGCGCAGCAAATGCTCTTGTGCCCGAATGCTGACTACCTTGTTCTTCATCTCATCAGCCTTTCTTTTCGTGACAAGGCTACTCACCTGCCTTCTTCCACTCTCCTCTTTTTTGCTTGTTTCCCAGTTGGAAACGCGCAACTTCCTTAGGTCGCTACGTATCGAGTCTTCTATCCGTGTAGTTCGCATACACACTTCTGTGCCCCGCCCACCTGCTGCGCCACGCTACGCTCCACCCCCGCATCCCACCTTCCCCCCCTAGTACCTATCGGACCCCGAGCATTGCCATCTTGGCTCTTCTCACAACTGCTGCCTACCTCCCTACCCTTTCCATCCACCCTCCCCCCTTCCCACAAACTCAGATTCGAACTCGAGAAATACATATACATCTACATCTGCGCCATCCCTATAACCAAACTACCGTTGGAAAAACGATGGCAACGAGTACATCGCAAGCTTCGCCGACAGTAGTATCGCAAACCACGGCATCGACGCTTGTTCCGAGCGATGCCCCGGCTATCAACGCGCAACCTGTTGAGTTGGATGCTAGTGCGAGTGTGACGCCTGAGGAGGTGAGGAGGCGACGAGGGAGTGAGATTCGTGGGGGGAGTGAGGTATGAGTTTATCCCCTTTTCTCTTTTCTTTCTTAGTTTCTGGGCATAAGCCGATTTTATTTTTTCTTCCTCGGTTCTATCTTTTTTGGTGGCTGGGTGGGGGGATGTGGGTGGGGGGGGAATGGAAGGGGGGAAAGGAAGAGGCTGACGCGGTGAATTAGAAGAGAGACGAGATTGTTGCGCAGAGAAAAAGGGATCCGGGGGTTATTGTTGATGTGCCGGGGGGATTGACGGCGGAGGAGGTGGAGGCGGTGGGGAAGGTGGTGAGGTAGTTTGTCGTGTAGGGTTTTGATGAAGACTGTGGTGTTGGGTAATAGTACAGTGGGAGATATATTTAATATTTACAATACAGCTCGAGGCTATGAGGAGGATAGGGAGGGGTTTTTGTTTTATTTACAATTAGTACCCCCATATACAAACTTTCCATCACTGCTATTCTCGCACCCACACGTGCCATCGACGGGACTCCGGATACATCCCATTCCCTCGCCCTCATCCTCACCTTGCACACCCGCTGCGTCCCAGAAAAACGTAAATGTATCTTTACGACTTGCCATTTTGGAACCGGGGGAGCAGTTGTAGGCTTCGCAGGTGCCGTAGGGGGCGCCGTGCGACTTGTCGTATTGGTGGTCGATGGTGAAGACGGCAAAGGTTTGCTTGCCGAGACGCGTGTTGTGGCTGCATTCTGCGGCTTGGATTGCTTTGCTTGTTTTCGCGGCTGGGAGGGGAGTGGGTTAGTTGAATGGTATGAAGGGGTGAGGAAGAGAAGGCGTACGTTTGCAGGCTGGGGCGGCAGGGTATGTAGCGTTCGAGTGGGAAGTTGCTGGGTCGAGGGTTGCTGTTATGCCGGTTGCGAGGGCGAGGAGGGTGAGGAGAGTTGGCTTGAACATGGTGTGGATTTTCGTCTTGTTCCTTTTTTTTACTGCGAGATATTGGCGGTTGAATGAGTGCGGTGGTATGGATACAACGAAACGTCGTCGTACTCTAGATATAAGTACACGACCCCTTGAGCAATGACCCTGCCATTTTCCCCGATCTCTTTTTATACACATCTCATCAGAAGGGCTGTCATTGATCCACATGGAACCCGCAAACAAGGTGTGCACGTTGCGCAAATGGCATGTTTCGAAACGATGAAACAGCGCTAGACAGGGTGGGGTGGGTGGAGGTTGCGGGTGGAGTGTTTTGATATACGAGCTTCTAGAGCGGTACAAAGATGGCTTGCGTCAGCGTGGTCCCTGCGGATATTACGATGAATTAAGCTTTTTTGATTGGGACGGGGGCATCAACGGAGTTGGGAGCAACCATTGTGCTTACCTACAATAGCAAGGTCGATACCGGCCCGATCCTTACCTTGTAGAGTATACAACCATGTCTTCTCGGTCCTACTCGGCTGTCAAGTAGATCAAATCTAGGCTCTGAGATGTTCAAAGTAAAGGGAAATCAAGTAAGGCATTGAGATGGAGCAAAATCACGTTGTATGGAGAACCTAAGGTTTCGGTAATATGATAGGTCGTTCCCACCTCGTCCCGTGAGTAGAAATGCAGTGCTACGTACTACGTAAGCCAGACCCCGCACAACCAGCCGCCAGCAGTTACACTACTCATACGCAGTCTCTACCTATCTCATATCCCCAACCACCTGCTTAGTGGACACGGCAATCATGCTCAATGAAACACCATCAACAAACCAGGGTCAAGCATTTGGACCTCTACCTCCTGAGCTGCTTCTCAACGTCTTAGACCAGCTCGTGGAAGCATGCAACCATCACCGCCCTGTGGTACGCTCACGATTCGACATAATAACCAGGACACTGCACTCGCTCACCTTAGTCTCGCGCAGCGTTCATCCGATAGCTACCGAATATCTTTACTCAAATTGCTTGTGGCTGGATTGTCCAGGGACCTTGGGCCGCTTTTGCTCGACAGCAGGACTAGATCATCAGCATCAAACCACCATACAAAAGACCAGAGAACCCCCGAAACCTACTTTCTTGCGATACATTACCTCGATACACATGTCACCCATAATGACAAGAGACCTATGGCAGGATGATTGGGAAACCTCTATCGGACTACCGGTAATCATCAGCTTACTCAACACTATTGGTTCTAATTTGAAGAGACTGCATCTCAACTTGGTTCAGTTCATATTTGATTGGGGAGGTGCAGAAAGCAAAAATATGGCCATCATTGATCGAAACATGTACTCTAATATGTTGCTTCTGGAGGAGTTAATCATCTCCTGCGACATTATTAGCCACTTCCCCAACCCGCCACCGAATATTAAACGACTTGCCATAGCCACTGATCATTTCAGAGATGCAGAGTGGACCTTCTACCGATCTTCGCCATCACTCCAATCACTGGTGCTCTTTTGGCCAGATGGAATGATAGACAAACACATTGACTCTTTCTTCGATTTGTATGAGGGAAAAAGTCTGGACATCATTCTTGTTGACGAGTTTGGACATAACAAGGCACAGTTCGGGATACGCGGCCGAGAATCAAATGACACGGTGCGGATATGGGAAGTTGATATGCCGTCGGATATGGGAAAGTCATATGACCAATGGATATGGGATCAAGGTGCTGCAGGTACATTGTGGGACCAGAAGCAGCGACGTATGCCATCATTGTCAGAAACCAAAGGAGATTAGCTGGATCAGCACACAGCATTTTGAATACCACAACATCGCATGGCTAGATAGGTGATGATCATATTCAACAAGTTGTGTGCGAAGCCCCCTGCTATACTTGCCTCGTCACCAGTCGCAAACAACCACTGGACATCCTCTGCTTCAAGGTATCCCTCTCCAACGATTGTCGCATATTGAGCTCAAGCTCACCAATGTCCCATTCGGCACGCAAACTATTACCCCTTAGTAGATCCGCTCTCCCGCCACCCAACCAAACAGAAAATAAGCCGACCAACTCTGGATTGCATATCTCGAAATGACCGTGTGTGAGTCTTGTCCGTCTCACGTGCATCGGCCCTGAATCCAGCGAAAATGCTTTCATCATTGGATACTCAAAGGCCAGAAACTCCAAAAGTCGGTGGTCGATCTGTTGGGCGAAGTCATGCGACGAGACCCCAGGACCGACGCAGAAATTTGCGCCTGAAGTTATTGAGATGAAAGTACCGGTCGGAGACGGACCAAATGTGCGAAGATACTGGTGGGCAGTGAGATGTGTACTGCGAAAGTTTGTCATCACATCAGCCCACCACAAGCCGTTCTCATCGGTTGTGTCCAAGTTGTCAAGATGTGTAGTACCGACGTTCGCAATTGTTACATCCAATCTACCAAGGATATCTTTTGTAGCTGAGAAGAAGTTGTTTACGTCGAATGAACTTGTAGTATCGCAAGTCATGGCGATGATTGGGATGTTGGAGTTGATGCGTCTAATCTCGTCTGCGACAAATTCGAGGTCCTCTGCGTTGAGGCTGCTGATTGCGATTCCGGCGGCCTTTGCTTTGGCCCATGATATCGCAATTTCTCGGCCGATTCCGTGCGAAGCATTGGTGATGAGGGCGTATTTCCCGGCTGCGCTGCGCTGTACTGCTTCGAGGGCCGGGTACGGTTCTCGGTGGCAGACCATCGTCGGATGAGCTGTCAGCCCTGGCAAACCAGAATGTAAGTATCTCGTATCCATGGCTCGTCGAGATGTTCCACAAAATAACTATCAGCGGCGTCAAAAGATTGGAAAGCAAAGCGGAATCTCAGCATCCCACTTTCCTTTACGTTCGCGCACATTATATCTCACGCCTGCCTCTCCGGTGCTAATAGTCCAGTCAGCACTTGCTCCCGGATCGATCTACACCACAGTAAGCCCTGCAGCAATAGAACATACCCAAAGCAACTATTGTCATTCCTTCTCACCCTGACCAACAGGGCGCCTGACAAGCAACCCTGCAGGCCAGCAACCTCAAAGGCAACAATCAATGAGCCGTCCCCGCAGCTCTAAAGCTCAGGCACAAATCTCACACTCCCAAAGCGCTATTTCTCCGCGAAAGATGTGCGTCCAACTCGCTGCAACACACCACTCCACATCTCACGTCGTCCTACCCAATCACAGAATAGAACTGCACGACGCCACTGCAGTTGGAAGCCACGGACTTAATCAACAACCAACAAGGGAAGCCTGGGGCATTGATGAATGAGAACCAATGGATTTTCGGGTGTTTGGCCCTGGGGGGATTGCGTGCAGCTGGGTATGCAGCCACAATGGGGCTGAGAGGGGAGGGGCGAGATGGCAGGGGTGTGTTCGGCGAAATATGGCCGGGTGAGGAAGGTTGCGGGGAGAAGGAATGATTGTGGAAAACAAGGAAAAATAGTTACTTGTACGTGCTGTGCTTTGGTTAGGCTTGTGTAGCGAGTGGTAATGACGTGTTGTAGGAGAGATGGTATAGTTAGTAAGTCTAGCTTATTTAATAGGAGAGGTATGTGTTGTGTTGATTGGACGCGATTAGTTTGGATCCGATCTTAGATTCTCGGAAGCTCTTAGTAGAGAATAACGTGGCTCTGATGTTTGGCGATTACCAGAAAGTTAGAATGTACGACTACCCTTCTTCTGCTGAATTTGCCTACTCTATTTTCTTCTTACGGATCCAGCCAACCGCACATCGTCATGTTGCCCTGATATCCCATATTATCGTAATGATAAATACTGTTCACCGAGCTCATTTCCCTGCATTTTTTTTTGCTCTGGACTACTCCAATGCGAGCATAGAAGCTAGTCTCACTCCATATACGTATATACGCTGCTTCTGTTCTATGTGGAGCTATGATTTGATACAAAAATCAATTGAGCTTTGATCACTAGGAGTTGTTTTCTTCAAGTTTTCCATAATTACAAATACATATGTAGATTCTGTTATGATACCCTCTATGAGCCTGAAAATTTTAGCCCGCAATAATAGTAGCCAAAAGACCTGGGATACAAGCATGCAGATTCTAAGACGTACTAAATTATGATGTGAGAGCATTTCGCAGTACGTGTTCTGTTCTGTACGAGAGATGTTCTTGGTTCTGTCACAAGTGATACTGCTCAGGTTGAAAAACATGAAGGAGTGTTACTTAGGTGTTGTACAACTGTAAAAAATAGCAAGTCACTGAGGACAACGTTTAGCATCAAGATTAATCATTATCCGATTTCTAAGATTTTCGCAATATAAGGTGTCTAAGGTTCAGTACTGAACAAGCTTTCTGAACCTTTCTCCTCCATTGACTACTGTATTTTTTTTTCAGAAATATCCTTGTGGCTATTTACTCGATGTATAGCCTGAATCAGTTAATACATCTAATCTTATGTAGAAGAAAAAAGCGAGCGTATATCTCAAGTCTAGCGTACTGGGTTGATGTTTCCTAAGAAAGATAGTAGGCTGCTCCCAGATCTGCCAGGTTACAAAGAAACGCAGAATCCGAGATATCATATAACTTAGAATATCGAACTTGATACTGATTTAATCGATGTCAGTACAACAAGAGTATAGGAAGCGATCGCGCTACAAATACCTCTGCCTCTCGCCATTACAAATTCTTGCTCAACGTCAGCATCTTCACTCATGGGCATTGACGAAAATAAACATCGAAGCAAAATATACTCTTAAGCTTCGGCTAGGAGCTTCGATATACATGCTATGGCCGCGGGTTGTGTCACTGATTTCTGAGCAAGTAACAAAATTTACAAGTAATAATGATAAACCTGTTGAGATTTGCTCAAACTACATTGATTGGAAACGCCACAAAACAAAGCTACTTAAAAGGGTATATACAAAAACAATTCCAAGGCTTCGACCGCCATTCAATGTACCATAGTTTTTCCAATTTCGCTTTCCCAATTCTCTGCTCTCTCAAACCCATTGGAGTGAGTCTGATAGTCCATCATAGCCTGCACTACCTCGTCTCTCGAGGTAACAACGAATGGGCCGTATTGCACAATGGGTTGATCCAATGGCAACCCAGCAACCAGCACAAATCTTGATTCTTTCTCGGCGCCCTCCTCGACTGATATTTCGACACTGTCGCCGTTACTCTCAAAGACGACATTGTTGTACTGTTCGATGGGTCGGGAAACGCCGTCGGATGAGACTATGATTGTGCCGTTGAGTACGTAGGCAAACGCGTTCCAGCCTTTGGGTAGCGGTTGCTTAACTTTGCCACCAGGTTGTACAGTAAAGTCCAGCAACCAGACGGGTGTGTAGGCCAGCTCCTTGAGGCTCTCTACGCCATAAGCCTGGCCACTAATGACCCTGACTTTCACCCTGCCGTCGTCTGCCGTCGCCTGAGGTATTTCCTTGGCACGGAGATCTCGATATCTCGGCTCGCATGACTTCAACTCTTTAGGAAGATCAACCCATAGCTGCATGCCAACATTCGGAGCACCGTCTTTGTTCTGGCGGGGCATCTCGGCGTGTACAATACCGCGTCCTGCGGTCATAAACTGCAAATCCCCTTCTTCGATGGTACCCTTATTTCCTGCAAAATCTTCATGATCCACTGCTCCAGACAGCAAATACGTAACCGTCTCCTGGCCACGATGCGGGTGATCAGGGAAGCCTGCGCCTGGGGGAATGGCAAAATGATCAAGCATCAAAAAAGGGGAAAAATTTCGAAGTTTGGGCGTGCCGACACTCCTCCTCACTTTGGCGCCAGCACCCTCGGACTGCTCGATTGCGAGGAACGATTTAGCAATCTTGCGAGGCGCATTGGTCGTATAGACCTCGTCAGGTATGACGGGGAGACCGCGGAACATGGTAGACGACATATTTTGGGTAGGGATGCGAAATGGATTCGTGATGTTTGTGAAGGTCGTAACGTGTCTAAGAGAGCTCGTTACTCGTGAGAGCATGTACTCGTTGTTGTAGATAGCAAGTGTGATGGCGACGATTGCGAAAAAGATGGATGTGAGGATCTTCATGGTGCCGGGGGACGCGCTATATAGCGGAGGCGACAAGGGCGACTAGAATCTTCGGACGCGCATTCGATGCGCGTGTGAGTGGATGACATGGTGGACTGGGTGGCTTAGTTGATGTTTAGCAACCAGCGATGGTTCTGCTGTCGCTTGGCAGGCGTCGATGCTTTGTCGAATATGACCAAGCAATGCGAAATCATGGTGGGGCACTTTTTCGGGACGTGCAGCTTCCGATGGCCAATCGGAACCGACACCATTGCGGAACGCCCCCGCCATGCCTCAACACCTTGCTTTTACTCTATCCCCACCATTTCCCCTGTCGTAACGTCGCAGTGGCCATGGCAAGGGATCTCATCTTTGTGTTGATCAACATGGTTGCGTGATGCATCTCGGTATTCACTAAAAATCCAAATACAAGGTAGGAAATGCTACAATAAATGCTGATAGTTCAACTATCTGTGATAGCTCTGAGCAACATTATGCATGGACTTGAATTTCAAAAAAGAAACGAAAAAAAGAAATCTCATCATAGATGATAACCTTCATTTCAAACTGAGTTGTTCTTTGAGAAATACGAACCGCGAGTCTCTCAAGCGCCCTTCTTCCTTGCCAACAGTTGACTTTGGACCACGCTGTTGAATGCTAGTACATTTTTGAGATAAATTGTTCTGACCTCGTTCGTGAGGCTGATTCGCAGTCGCAATTTCAAGTCAAAGGGAAAGACTTGACTGAAGAAGTTGGGTATGATGGGCGTTGACAAGAAGAAGTGACGTCATCTCCGCAGTTTGCCATAGTACGTGGACACAAAGGTAGTAGTTCTCGTTGTCTTAATTCTCGATTGACTAAGAAGATCCGAACTAACCTGTTTTGCCCCAGATTTGATCCAGAGTTCTTTTGCAAAACGTTTTTGCAAGTCTTGATTTCCGGGCATTTCACATTAAGAATCTAGAGGTTGCAAGTAGAGCAGATTGCTTCACAAGTCACGAACAACTTGTCCCCACAAACCTGAACACTATACATGAAGCCTTCTTATTAATATTTCTGTGTTTTCAGACTGTTATCTAGTGAGTAAAGCTTCCAAGGGAGTGAAATACATACATCAGCTGCTCCTTCGTATAAAGAGCAGTGATCCCATCATAACACTTGAGTCACTGTCATCACAAGCTATTTCGCTTGGAAAGAGGATTTAGTATTGTGTATTGATAGAGGTAGGAAGTTGCTGAGAAGCAGCAGACTGGGCTCCAATATCCAAGTGACGAGGCTTGGCCGCCTCAGCCTTACAAGTTCACCGCCGGACAATCTCATCTCTGGAGCCAAGTCTGTTTTCTTGAAGTTGGTAATCAAATCGCATAAGATTCATCTACAACAAGTTTCTAGGACATCCAGTATTCGGGCGACTCACATGATTGTGCAGTGTGTATCACCATCACGTGATACTCTCGTGTGTAACACCTAGGTTCACGCCGTCCCATTCAGCATTAGCAATCTCTCATGAACGAACAGTTTTCGTATTGCCAGTGCACCCTGTCATCAATAGGTGTGGTCATAATACATTTTCAATCATACATAACCTTCTGCTGGCTCAGTGGCTGTATGGGGAAGGTGTCAGCCTTGTCGTGCCCCGCACTCTTTATCGCGGTTGCCTTGTGATGTTCAGCCTGCTCAATTTGTTCTTTCTACCATCTCTCGACTTCTCAAGCACAATATATTACCTAGCATCTTCATTCGAGTCACTTGTAGTTGTTGTATTCCCTCACAGAGTTATATCAGCAATACCATCGGATACCCCGTCGAACCTCTCCGCCATTCGCTTAAACGAACGATTAATCTTGAAGTTCATATCGCCACGCTTAATGCTCTGTAGATTTGTGCTACATCACCTCTTGGTCATACCCAACAGCGATGAGGCTACTCAATACCAAAACACTTGAACTAACTTCTTTCATTGGTCAAATACCGGACTACGTTATCTTGTCCCACAGATGGGAGGAAGGAGAGATAGTCTTCGGTGATGTCTCCAAAGTCCCTCTCAGCAACCGAACCAACCCAGCTAGAACGAAGCGAGGTTTTGCCAAAGTTGTAGGCACTTGTACCCTCGCAAACAAAGACGGCTTCGAATGGGTCTGGATTGATACCTGTTGTATCGATAAGTCCAGTTCAGCGGAATTGCAAGAATCAGTTAACTCAATGTTTCGATGGTATCAACGAGCACAGATTTGTTACGCATATCTCAGTGATGTTGCAGACGAATCTTCTGGCTGGGGTGAAGCGTTCAATAGAAGCTTGTGGTTCACTCGCGGATGGACACTACAAGAACTGCTGGCTCCTTACACTGTAGAGTTCTATTCGGCAGACTGGAAACCCATAGGAACCAAGTTTTGCCGATCCAAACAAGTCGCCTCAATCACAGGAATCGAAGTTACGGTTCTAGAGTCTGACTGGGTGACTACAGAAGACAAATTGTGTGCTGCACAAAAGTTGTCCTGGGCTGCACACCGACACGTATCCAAGGTGGAAGACAAATCATATTGCCTGTTTGGACTCTTCAATGTAAATTTGCCGCTCTTATATGGCGAAGGTGAAGTCAAGGTATTCCGGAGACTGCAGCAGTCTATTTTTGAGGAAAGCGCCGACCATAGTCTTTTCTTATTCACCCGGAGCCGTTCTCGTACCAACACACCAATGCTGGCGGATTCGATCCAGAGGTTCTGCACAAATAACACTTGTGGTGTGTGCAAAAACCATGCGCAATGCTTTTCTTCAGAAATAATACGCTACTCAGAGATTGTCTCAAATCGAAGTCTTTGGCCAGCCGGTTTGCAAGATGCCCATTATATCCAGCTATTGAGGCACAGTGTTATGATCAAGCTGCCTTTAGTGCAGTACAATAGTCTTCGCAGGGAAGAGCGAAACTCCCACAATGTACGCCGTCCATCTCAGACAGTCATCGCCATATTGCCTTTGTCACCGCGGCGCGATAAACATTCACTTTTTGGGATTTTACTTCAACAGATATCTTCAGCAAGTTACGTACGCTTGTCAGAGAAACCTCTCCTTCTGCAAGAGGATATGATTGGGGCGGACCCCGCAGAGCTAGGAGCCTACACTGTTCACGATACCCACCCCAATCTCGGCATAGATTCGATCGGAAAGATTATCCCTGATTATATCAACCTGAATTGGCTTGAGCAGTACGTGAAAATAAAACTCCGCAGCGCCACTATAACAGCGGAAGAGTGGCATGGCAACACTCAAGGTTATCCCGCTAGAGCATGTATTGGTACTATAGCGCAATTCCCACTACCAAGCCATCTCCAAAATCATTTCTCAGTTACAGTTTCCTTCCGAAGTGTCAGAGGTCCAAGGTTGTCTGGAACGATCATCTTAGGCAACTCCGTCACCCAGATGGAGTTGCTCGAGATAAGACTGTCTGAGGGCCCGAATGTTGATTATCATTTTCTGAAGCGAAACAATCAGAATCAACGCCATATGAGGATTTGTGCTCCAATACCCAACACGGACGATTCCCTCGATATCGCTCTTCGCAAGCTCCCAGTCACCGAAGTTGAGTTTTCAAAAGGAGAAAATTCCAAAAAGTCTTCGCGAATCGACCCTGCGTCTACTGTGTGGTGTGACTTTGGTATCCTTAGATACCAATATCGCTTAGATATCAATCGTTTGTCGGCAAAGAATACAAGTCAAATGAGCTCCTCACAGCCGGGTCTAGGTAGATCCAGGATATAGATTGATTGGTCATCTTACCCCCCTAGGTAGAGAGCTACCACGACTAGTCTACTGTACAATACTAAATCTTGATACCTGTTTCATCTACTCTCCCTCACCCTAACCCACTCTACACAGCCATTCCAACACCCCCAACAACCTTTGAGCACTCAATTCCCCCACCTTGATCAATACCAGCACTTTACTCCATACATCAGGTATTACAAAACTCCAGAAGTCCAAAAAAAAGAGGAACAAAAACAGCCACGATGTAGACTTTTGGAAAATGGTGATAGATTTCTCCTTCTCATCGGACTAATATCTCGAAATGCCATGTAAATATACGCCTACCAATGCACTCCCCCACCATGTAGACACGTCCTCATACATCAATGATATACAAACCTTTTAAAAACCGATCCCTCTTGAAGGAAAAAAGGGGGGAAAGAAAGAAACAGAGCCTAAACACTTAAGGCCGCCGGCACCAGAACCTCGTTAGCCTGCGCAATCCCCGCCTCCGGTTCGACCTCAGCAGTCGATTCCGGCACTTTAACCCTCTTAGCTTCCGGTTCCTCGCCCTCCCTCTCCTTCCTCTTCTCCCCCTGCTCCTTAACCTCTCCCTCAGGCCTAGTCGCCTCCTTAACCCTCGCACGCTTCGACGCTCTAGACTCCTGAATCGGAATGCCCAAGTGCTCGTCCACTTTCTGCGCCTGAAGCAGCAAATCATCTACTTTGTCAAGTCCTAGAGCTTTAATAACATCGGTGTAGCACTTTGACTTATTCATGGCCGCATATGCTTTTTCTTTGCCAGGAATCATTTGGCCGAGGAGGTACTTTGTGTTGCCCCATCTGTTAGCGACTTGGAGGGCAAAGCGCATGTACTCTGTGACTACGGTTTTCCACTGGGAGCGCCATTCGTGGGGTCCACCTTCTGCGTCGGGACGGAAGCAGCTGGGATTTTTTTCGGCTTCAGTGGCGATCATGGCGCCGTCAACGGAGAATTCTTGCATTAGTTTTAAGGCTTCGGTGCGCGAGGTTACGTCGCCGTTCATAACGCAGGCGACACCGGCTTCTCTGCAGATTTCGCCGATCATCTTGAGTTGGTCGCGAATTGCTCGCTCTCGTGGTCGCATGGGCGTGGTGCGGCAGTGGACGGTAAGACCGGTGATGCCAGTACGGACGAGGCGCTTCACCAGGGCGGCGGTGTCTTCGGGCTGGTCGAGGATACGGATCTTGACGCTGATGCCAATCTCGAATGGCTTGCCCACCTCTTCGACGAGCCTTGTGAGGATGTCACAGAGCAGATCTGGTGTTCTCAGAAGCGCTGCGCCCATTCCACCAGAGGTGGAGAATGGCTTGGGGCAGCCTGAATTGACATCGATCCCGGCGACATCTGCTGCGACAATCTTGGCTGCCTGAACTGCGAGCTCAGGATTCGCCGTACCAATTTGGTAGATGAGCTTGCCCTTCTCCAACTCGGGATGTATGCGGTATATGACGCTCTCACGGAGGTCGGGGTCGAGGGTCGGGTTCTTGATCTTGGACGTAGGCAGGCGTGTGAACTCGAGAGTCGATGTGTGCGGGTTGAAGCGCCTTGTGGTACCGATGATGGCGCGATCAATTGTCTCTGGACCCCATACCAGGTCTGCGCCGTACTTGAGGGCCAGCAGTCGTGAGGGCAATTCACCGGAGCGCACCATTGGCGCAAGCACTACTTTGCCGCGGTAGTCGACGCCATTCTTGGGGATGGGCACGCGTACGGGCTCGGGGGAGGCCATGGCTCGTGTTATTGTTCGCAGGAAGGTTCGGAGCATAACATGCCTTGAAAAGAACGAGCTTTCACAAGGCCGAGTGCGAGGGTGGGGGATTTGACGGCCGGCGGCGATCTGTACGGTGTAAAAGTTGGGCGCAGGGACCAGGGCCGAGGGGCGATTAGCGCCACAAAACTTATCGATTGCGGGTGCATGGAGCAGCAGTAGAATAGAGTAGTACATCACAAGCCAAGTATGCACCCATTTTGAAATATATCAGTTGCCAAACAGAAAAGTATTAGATAGATTTTTGCTTTCCAAAGCACTCCAACTATAGCTTCGACTTGGCAGCCTCGGGATCTGCCACCTTTACCAGAATTTTGCCTATAATTGTCAGTCTCCAAGTCCGTATGCATCCAGCTGGCAAAAAACAAAACATACCTGTGTTCTTGCCCTCAAACAGTCCAACCAGCGCTTCTTCAGCCTTGGTAATTCCGCCATCATAAATAGTCTCCTTGCGCTTGATCTTGCCCTCCGACAACCATTGCGCCAGCTCCTTCCTGGCCTCAGCGAATTTGTCCGCATAGTCGAAAATAACGAAACCCTGCATACGAATACGCATCGAGATGATCATCATGTAGTTCTAACACGCAGTTAGTACCGTCCCAAGCCCTCCCCCGAAATTCTATCAACGTACCTTGAGTCCGGCCGGCTTCTTGTTGTTGTAATCAGAAATAGCACCGCAAATGACAAATCTCGCATGCGGCTTCGCACGGCTCAACGCCAAGTCGAGAATCTCCCCGCCAACATTATCAAAGAAAAGATCAATAAGTCCCTTGGTCGCAGCGCGGAACTTCTTCACAAAATCCGGGTCCTTGTAGTTGAGCGCCTCGTCGAATCCAAGCGTGTCCTTAAGCCACGCAACTTTACTGTCCTCGCCCGCAAGCCCCAGAACCTTTGCGCCCTTGAGCTTAGCAATTTGACCCACTACGCTTCCCGTTGCACCCGCAGCTCCGCTCACAACAACAAAGTCTCCTGGCTTAACCTGACCGACGTCAAGGAGACCAAAGTACGCCGTTAGTCCTGTCATTCCAAGGACACCCAGTGCATCCGTTGGTACGGCGCCTTCGGGAAGGTCTAGGGACTCAACGTCCTTTCCTGGAATAATGGCGTATTCGGCCCAGCCGCACATGGCTTTTGCGTAGGTGCCGACGGGGAATTTTGGGTTTTTGCTGGCGACGATGAGGCCGATGCCCTGTCCACGCATTACGGCATCGATCTGTACGGGAGGGATGTAGGAGCGTGTGGGATTGAGCCAGCCGCGCATGGCGGGGTCGATGGAGAGGTACAGGGTTTGGAAGAGGACTTCGCCATCTTTGAGCGAGGAGGCCGAGGGGACCGGGTGAGACTTGGGTGTGAAGGTTTTGCCAGCTACGATGCCGTCTGTAGGTCGCTCGGCGAGGTGGACTGATGTGTATGAAGGCATTTTGGCTTTGATATCAAAGAGAAAGGATTAGAGGAGAGAAGATCGGGATGCGTATCGATTATGTAGTACCAAGCTTCCGAGGTTGAGATCTGCACCGCGTAGCTATCACAGCAAACGTGTCAATAAAAAAGGACAAAAGCAATGGTGAGACAATAAGAGAGGATCCCAAGGTACGGGTCGCCCGCCATTTTGTTTGTATGCAGTCTGGTATCCGCACGTATCAGGCCGGACCAGCCACATTGGAGCTGGTATGCAGAGCATTGCGGAGAAAGGTGCCGAGGTTCGGATGGGAACTTCCTATTGCGGACGCCGGGGTAGGTGCGCCGGTTGGCGCTGACGCTTAAGCGCCGCGGCTATCAGGTAATCACATTGCTGTCTGCATATAGAAGGCCCGAAGAAAGAGTTCCTACGAATACAATGGGCGCGGTGGAGAAGAAGTACTGGGGTTTAGGAATGCAAGATGCGGTGTGTTGGATTATCCTACAGATTGAACTGCTACGTGCATGATAGCAAGTCCACATCGGAATTCTGGGAACGTGCATGGTATATGGACATTCAGCGACATTATGTTTTGGAATAACCAAAAAAGGCGTCATTCCTCAGCTTCCTCCTCCATCTCAACGTCTCCCTCTTCGCCTTCTTCTCCGCCTTCGGCCCACCACAGTGTCGGACCAAGACCTGGTTGAGCCATGGAACCCTAGACACATAATTAGACGTCTGGTTACTCGATAGGTCTTCATGTACTTACAATCACTCTCCAGGCCGTGGGTCTCTCTTCAATGATCTCGCCCTTTTCATCTTTTTCTATAATCGTCGGCCGCTGATCAAACCACTCTTCGTGCTCTACCCTGAACAGCACCGGCTCTCCCTTGTCAAAGAAGAGCTCTGTTCCCTCCGAGTTCCACACCCATACATTCTCTGCTTGCGAAAATGACGAGTTCTCTGGGAGATTCTGATACGGTATAAAGATCTCTGAAGTGAATTCCAGATCAATAATGATGCCCTCTTGGTTCGAAGTCTTTATGCGTCCATAGATAATCTCGCCGCGAAAAGGGCGGAACACAGTCATGCGAAACTCGACTGCATTTGGCGTGAGTATGGGGAGATTAGCAGGCGAGTGGTGACGGACCATTGACATTTACAAGTCCAGTTCCGTGGCCGATGAGACCCTCTGAAGCCGAGAGTAAATCCCACATACAGATACAGAGACCAATATTGGGAATGATCCTGTTGCTATACTTATCGTTGATGACATCCTTGATGGCTTGCGCGCTAGGCTTCTCAAAGTCCTGCGGCTTGATTTGGATCAAGTCTTGAATCGTGGTCTGGGGGTGAGTTAGTGTTTTCCTATGAAAATACACCCGTAGCAACTGCGTAAGTTGAACAAGGGTAACATGTGACTGTGAAGGTAATAATGCTTTGAAATTTTCTACACTCCATAGTAGGCATATCTCAGGTTCTAGGGGCACGGTCCGAGCTGAACTTGACTTACGAGTATAAACATGTTTGCAACTTTGGAGGCTTCATGGATTTCGGTGTAGTAAGCGCTCGTCACCTATACATTGTGATTGAGTTGTGAGAGTCAAGAATCAGAGGCGCAACTTGCGCAATGATTAGCGTTGAGCTAGCGCTATCGATAACAACTTTTTGGATTGTCGTCGGACCCCCGAGGCGCGTCTCATCTCCTGCCGTAACCAACTTTTCATTTTTCCTCACCAACTTCATTGCGCTTTCCCTTTCAGCGATAATATACCCAGCGCAATGAATCAGATATAGTTCTTTTAATCAAAAATCTCCAGTTTGCAATAATGTCGTTCAAGTTTCCACCGCCTCCGCCACCACCGCCCAAGGCTACGTCAAACGAGCAACCATACCCAAGCCAACGAGAAAGCCACAACCGAGGAGGAGGCGAGAGAGGTCGCGGAAGAGGAGGAAACCATAACAGAGGTGGTGGCTTTCATAACGCTTCCGGGAACTCACGAGGCGGGCATGGACAGAATCGTGGGCGAGGAGATGCGCGTGGTAGAGGCCAAAGGGGAGGTTATCAAAACAACAGAGGGGGTGGATTCCACAGGAACGATACCAGGGATGGCCTTGGAAACGACCATAGCAATGCGCCGCAGAATGTCACCTCACTGGAAGCACATGCTAACCCCCAGTCTTCACCATCCGCATACAGCCAGCCCGATGCTCAGTATTCTCCGCCCAAGCATGCAGGCCAGAAGCGAAAATTAACCGACCGTAACGGTAATGCACAGTCACAAAGGAACTCCCAGCAACACAGCTCGAAACCGCCCCGAGCCAAGGCTGCCGTGCCACCACAGGTACCCAGCTTTGGCTTTTCGCTGCCGCTGCCCTCGATCCCGAAACCCGACAACAAGAAGCGCAAGATCGCTCTTGGGCTCTCACAAAAAGTCGAGCAAGATGAAAGTAGTGGTGAAGAGGACATTGACGAAGAGGCGGCATTTTCTGAGAAACTCAAGGGTGGGGGCTTCGCTTTTGAGCATGAAGGAGAGACCATCACAATACAAACAGGCGCTGAAGTCGCAGCATGGATCAGGGATCGCAGAAAAAACTTTCCAACACAGCAGAGGATCATGGAAAAGCAGGATGAGGCCGCGCAGAAACGGTCAGCAGAGCTCGAGTTTTTGCGCAGGATGAAAGGGAAGCCACCAAAAGAGAACGAGTTAGTGACACACATTCAAAAACAACCAAACAAGGACCGTGGTGAAGCAAAAAATGATGGCGCAAAACAAGAGGCGGAAACAAAGAGACAAGAGGAGCTGGCTACGTTGCGCAAAAGGTTGCATGAAAGCATGGTGAAGAAACAGTCGACACCAGCGACGGTAGACCTTGGGCTGGGATACGATAGCGAGACAGAGTCGGACGAGGAGAGCTCGGTCCTCTCTGAGTCGTCAGTCGTGTCCAGTTCGGAAGAATCAGAATCTGATTCCGGTTCTGATTCAGAGAGCGACGAGGCACCAGAAACTGCGTCATCAAAAACTGCTCCACCGCCAATAAAAGTTCCACCCCCTCCGCCTGCGTCGGCGCGAACAGAAACAAAGAGCAACAAAATGTGCACGAATTGGAAGCGAAACGGAAGGTGTCCATACTTGAGCAAATGCAAATACCAGCACCCACCCAAGGACGAGGATAATAAGCTTAAGGGGTTGTATGAGCGCATGGTGGAGCAGGAGCTTGTCAAGGCGGACCAGCTAGCGCTGGATGCAATCAAATACCTGGGGCAGAATGGATTCTTGGGGTGAGCATGTGAAAGGTGTCTGGCGTTTGATACTATTCTCCAATGACATAGGTACATCCTTGGCTGCCAACCCAAACTTCATGCACCTTTTGTGCATCGACATCCCAACGCGCGCCAGGACCGACGGTTTCCTTCTTGGCATCAGGCTCGTCAGGGTAGGTGTACGTCAGGGAGCCGTCCAGGACAAGATGTGTGGTTTTGCCGCTGTGCTTGTGCGGCGGGTAGTGAGCATTGCTACGCGGTGGTCAAACAGATGTAATATATGTAGGGAGACGGTAATGCAAACTTACGGGCCATCTGTCCAGGTGAAGACATGGCCAAAGCCCCACGACCGAACTTCGCTCTCTGCTTCTTTCCGTGACCGTGCCATTGCGGATGTGCTATGTATAGTAAGTGTTGAGTGGGACGAATAAGATGGACGTTTCGAAACGGTTGTTGGACCCTGACAGCCTGGGTGACGTCGATGGAGCTTGGCAAGGCGGGTGCGGGATGGCAGCGATCAACGCAAACAGGGCATCGTTCCTCATCCACAAGCAAATGGCTTAATGCAGTATTTCCATGTCCAATGCCGCGTGGCATTTATCCATGGGTTCACGCGCTTGTCTTGCGCCCCACCAGCTGGATCATCAAACGCCGATGCGGCAGCCAAGGCAGGCTCGAGCTGGAATATGAGGAGGCCATTGCATCCATGCCTACTGCATGACCACCTGCCTCTCCTCTCTTCTTAGATACTTCTGCCACACTCAAATCTCCTAGACGCCCAAATTGTCGGTTGCATTGCAGTAGACGAGCATCAATCCTCTCCAAGGTATGTTGCGCACGATTCAGGGAACACGCAAACACATACTTGAAAGGGAAGCGCTGACATCGTTGGAGACAGCTGAGCTTCCTGCAGTCCTGCATTCCTGCAGTCAGCATTCCTCCCACAATTCGCCAGTCCTGGATAACTAGGCACCACCGTCGCCTTGCGCCTCTGCTTCTAGTCTTTCTCCAATTGTTCCTTTTAGTTTCCTACCCTCCCATCCACACGCCTGGTGTTGCTGCCCCCCAACACCCCCACGATGCCGGACCCCTCCAAGGATAGCAAGCTGGGTACGCCCAAGCTCGACAACCCCCAGCTCCAGGCTGGAGGAGGAACAGCTGCCGTCGCCCCCAAAGCTCGTACCCTTGATGACCTGTCAACCCTCCAGAGCTACCTCCGAATCGTATACAACGAGATCCTGGGCCGTCACAATCTGCAGACCAAGGACGGACAATTGAGCTGGCTCAAGGAGCAGAATGGCCCTGGCAAAGACTTCGAAACCGCAGTAGACAGCCACCTAGAGCTCCTGGGCGACGGCTCGTTTCCCTCTTTTGCCAACTACTTTGCCTCAGGACTAGGCAACGTGATGAAGCCTGCACCACCTCTAGATGAATCGCACCCGATTTCCAACTACTTCGTCTCTTCGAGCCACAACACATACCTCACCGGTAACCAACTCTCGAGCGACTCGAGTGTCGACGCCTACAAAAACGTCCTCATGCGAGGTTGTCGCTGCGTGGAGGTGGACGTTTGGGACGGTGATGAGCTCTCCGACTCAAGTTCAGATGAAGAAGCCGCTAGAGGTAATCCTGGTGCCGATGAAGCGAGGAAGGAGAAGAAGAAATCCAAGACTGGTCTGAGCATCCGCAAACGCCTGGGCTTGAAATTCGGCAAGGACAAGTCAGACGAAGAAAAAATCGAGACACCTTCACCGCCGCCGCCGCCTCAAAATAACGCGCAAAAGATCGAGCCCTGGCACTCTACTTCATACACCTCCCGAGCGGAACCAAAAGTGTTTCACGGCTACACTTTGACCAGTGAGATGACCTTTCGATCTGTTTGTGCAACCATCAAAGAATATGCGTTTGCAGTATCCAATCTACCCCTCATTGTCAGTCTGGAAGTACACTGTGGTCCTGAGCAACAAGAGATCATGGTCGAGCTCATGCAAGAGTACTGGAAGGGCATGATGCTTGAAGAGCCATTGGATCCAACCCAGAGCTTAGACACGGTCGGTTTGCCTGCACTCAAGGAACTGGAAAACAAGATTCTCGTCAAGGTCAAGCGTGGTCATCCCAAGGTATCTCCTCCTCCTGAGCCACAGGTTCCCGCAGTTGGTGGGTCAGTGCCACCGTTAGAACACACTGCAAGCCTGGACTCTGTAAACTCAGAAGATGAATTTGGGCCAGACGGCGAGAAGAAGCCGCCAGCGCCAAAGCCCAAGGTCATAGAGTCTTTGGCACGACTGGGTGTATATTTTGGTGGCTACTCATTCAAGGGCTTAGACACTGCCGAGGCGAAGATACCTACCCACATTTTCTCGCTTTCAGAAGGTACACTGATGGATCTTCACGAGAGCAACCCTACAGGACTTTTCGATCACAACAAGCACTACTTTATGCGCGCGTATCCAAAAGGCCTCCGGCTGACGTCTTCAAACCTTAACCCCTCCGTCTTTTGGCGTGCGGGAGTCCAGATTGTAGCTCTCAACTGGCAACGCTGGGACGGTGGAATGATGCAGAACGAGGCCATGTTTGCAGGTACTCCTGGGTGGGTCCTCAAGCCAGAGGGATATCGCAGCACAAGCACTGCCGCAACACAAAAGACAGCCATCCCCCACCAGAATATGGATCTAAGCATCGAGTTCATTGCCGGACAGAACATTCCTTTACCTCCAGAAGAAGACGACCCCAAAGACTTTAAGCCATATGTCAAGGTCGAGCTACACGTCGAGTCGTACGAAGAGCGCAATGCCGAACCCATACAAGGCAATGGAAGGAGCCAAAAGGGTGAATACAAAGACAAGACCAAGACGGCCAGGACCCCGAATCCCGACTTTGGTCGCGAAGTCATCAAATTCACTGGCGTACAGGGCGTCACGGACGAATTGACTTTTGTCAGGTGAGTTTATTTTTTCTTTTCCCGCTACGTGTACACATCGCTACGGGTGACACGCATCGCCTTTGCGCATACCGACCCAGGCCCGACCTATCGCACAAGACGTCCCTGCATGAGTATCCAGGCCTGATCTGGTATTCGGTGCGCTTGTGTGCTACGTAGGCACGGCCTGATGGTTTCACGGGCGCTGAAGTGGATGTGGAGATAACGGTCGTGGTATATTGCTGGGACCCAATCTGCCAAGCTGCAGAGTGCCGTGATTCCGGTATCAGGCCTCGTCATTTCCTTCACTATGACAGCGCTTTTGTTGTGCCTTGCTCGGCTCGTGCAACGAAGCCTGATTCGATGCAGGAAATCAAGCACTAATCGCTGTGGCACAATTGATGTCATCGTTCCTGAGAGCATACAACGAAGTTCCTGTAACACATGCTGACGTTATGTTTTTACAGATTCAAAGTCATGGACGACGAGCGCATCAGCGACGACCTAGCTGCATGGGCTTGCTTCCGTCTCGATCGTCTACAAGCCGGTTACCGCGTTCTTCACCTCTACGACGCAAACGGTGTGGTATCCAAAGGCGCACTGCTGGTCCGCATCACGAAGACGGTTAGTGCGGCTTGAGTTATCTCATGACCGTAGAGTATCTGTTACTACTACTATTACCATTGTTATTTCTTACCGTGTTTTTCTTTTTCCTCAAATCATGCCCTGCTACATACTTACATGTGGCCTGTTTAGGTTCGGTGAGGGGGGTTTGACTAATGCGGATATTTTAGTTTTTTCCGGTCGGCCCCCGGTTTGGGCGTGGAAAGCAGTTTTCGCATGATAGTCTGCATAAACATCAGGGACTCGGGAAGACGCAGTCGTTGTATCACCCGAAGAAAGACGAGAAGAAGTGGTATCAGGTTGGGCGACAGAAATCTGTTCGACTCTGAAGGTGTGAAGGTTTAAAGTGAGATGCGATAATCTTCGAGTGGTGCTATTAGCGGGATAGTTTGTAGTCTTTTCTCGACTTTTCTAACTGAGTCACCTTACATTCACACACGCTCAACCTAACTTATCACTGAATCGATTAGGACCCCAGCAAACTTTTATTTCACTGACAATTTCGAACTCGCACCCAGCCAACGTACAAGTACACATTTCCAACCGGCCAACAAACTACCCCATCTGCCCCGAGAAAATGCAAAACCAAACGACCATCCCAAACTCAAATGCATTCACTCCCCACCCCATCTCTTCCGGAACTTGCAAACAGAAAAGTTCTTTTTTTTTCTTTACCTCCATATATCCCCAACCCCATTCCCTTATTCTCAACCCCGATGTATAGAGCGAGACAATGAGGGTAAATCCTAGTTCACCGGCGTCCCACACTCGTGACAATTCTTGCCCGGAACAACCCAGACGGTGTCGCCGCGTTCGAGACAGGCGGGGCAGCGGCGGCCGGGGACCTAGGTGTTGTATTTAGCATATTCATTTTGGTGGAGAGAGGGAAAATGGGCAAGGGGGAAACGTACAGGCATTGTGGTTATACCTTCTGCGTCGTTCATGCAGGGGATTGAGATGGTGGAGAGGGGGAAGTGCTTGCACATCTTTTCTTCTTTCTATGTTTGGGTTTTTGCGGGGGGTGGTTGGAGGAGGGTTGGTTGAGCGGTTAGGGCGAGGATGGAATGAGTGAGACTGAGGGAATCAAACAGAAGCGGTGGATGCAGATGGTGGTGGTGGTGGTGGTGGTGGTGATGGAGTAGTTGGTTTTATATACTCATGCTTTATAGACTCTGTATAACGGGCTATCTAGGAATAGAAGGATACATGTACAGTGTGTATTGTGGCGTTTTTTTAAGCCGACATGGATACGCAGCTTCCCGGCTTGGGATTGGGATGAGATGTGGAGTTTTCTGAGTTTCTCGTTTGTTCGGGTATCGCAGGTGCGCATGTGCGGGGATGAGGTGGTGGAGCCTGGCTTGCCTTGATTGACGGGATAAAGTGCTGACGGATGGATGGGTGCGGATTTGTGGTACACAAGTTCTGCTGGTAATGCGAGGCGGATATGTGAGTGTTGTGATCCCTGCTGATTTCCCCTTGAAAAGCCGCTAGATGCGTTCGAATTGAGGTTCCATGCTGTGGCACACCGATGGAGACACTGGTATACGCGGGTGTCACGAAGGATTAACGGTTCAAGCGGAAATAGTAAAGGTATCAGCTTTGTCCTTGTTCACTAGTATGTCGTCAAGGTTGGTGCGATACAATTGTACCGCGCACTCTGGTCTTTTCTTTCAAACAGGGAAAGAATGCAATGGTTGCACAAGCATATATTAGATCATGCGGATATCAATGCACGTACCGTCTGGGCCGTTCCTCTCTCTAGATTCCAAACTCTGTTTCGTTCGGTCAGTGGCCTCATGTATCATTGTACCCGTGTATCTTAATTTCATCGGTGGAGAAATGGGAAAAGCGGGGTGACATCTCATTTGCCAATTACGCTGGTATTCGGTACCAAGGTTGTTAGAATCAGTGATGTACTGAATAGTAACAGTGAAGGCGAAATTGCACGTCGTTTGCGCGGGTGAGGCACGTCGATTCGCCATATCATATCAGGGACCTGTGTTTTGTGCACGAGTAGTGGTTCCAAACGCGCTGCCTTTTCGTCTCCGTGCTGTCCAGTATTGCTGATGCAATGGATGCAAGCATAGCAGTGATTAACAAAGGAGGGGAAGAAGCGGCTCGCGGATACTATTGCTCGTTTTCTGCTTTTTGGCACAAACGGCGCTACCCTGGCCCACACATCTCCTCGGGTTCATGGGTAGTAAAGCTTAGGAGAGCTTACTAGTTGTGCAACGTGGTATGTGCACCAAAAGACAGGGACTGTTGCAGTACAGAAAAATTGATCGGATCGCTGGTACTAGTATTGTGCTACGGGTGTTTGTATGTGTGTGTAGTGTGACCCTGCTGCTAGCCGTTCCCCTGGGTGTCTAGTCGGCAGCACTGGGCCGTTGAGTGTAACTATAAGGTGGCGATGGTAGTCGTCGGAGGGACAAGCAACTGTGGGCCGTATTGGTGCTGCTGCTTGATGGGTTTATTGCGATACGCGGATGCAGTGCTATCTTTGCGTGATCTGGTTGTCTTCTAATAAGAGTGATAGAGGGAACACGGTTTCTGTACTATGATACAAGTCAGATACCTATGCTGATGCACTTGGCATTCAAGTAAAGGAAGGAGCACCCTTGGACCCCTCACTGCATTAACATCGCTATCCCAGCGCTTAGGTGAGCTAAACCGACGGGAATGAAGATCCACTCAGGTATATTTAAACATTAACCCTATCTACTCGCACACAATATCCAAGGCAAGCAAAGAGAGTTGTCAGAAACTGGGTTGTTGAACAGATGGATTGATGCCAGATAGTTCGCCCATCTCCCATTCATCTGCTTTCTACATACCCCCTCCCTTGTGCCCTTGGACTAACCCACGAAAAAAAAGAAACAAAAACTGGTGCACATGCACTGTGCTGCACTGCACAGCACTCCAACTCTCACCAGGATGAGAGGGTGAGAGTGGCCTACACAAGTGTGTATGTGTGTGTGTGTGTGCTGATGTAATGCCTTAAACGCCATAGTATCCAGATATGCTACAGATGCCTTTTGAGCCCGGGAATCAAACTTGGTCATGATCGTCGTAGAGTGTAGTGAAGCGCACGCTGGTGTATGCAGTGGCATTGGACCAGTTCACCACAAATGGTGAGCGGTAACAGGGACAGCACTAAGACTGACTGGCTGTCTGGCGCTCGTGCTGTGTCATGACCCACCGCATCTTGTCGCGCGTCTCGACCATGGCGTCTACCAGCTTCTGAGCCTCGCGCTCCTTTTCTGGCAACGCGCGTCGCAGCCTCTCTGCTTCAGCGATAAGGGCGTCCATTTCCTTGCGGTGCTCCTTCTTGTACAATTCCATAAGGTTGGTGAGCTTGGCCTCGGTTCGGTTGGAGCGGGATGACTCGTGCTGTAGCTGATCGCTTATGATAGCCTGGCGCTTGATCTTATCGGCGTCCTCTAGTCGCTTGCGTCGCAGCTCGTTCAGCTCCTGGTTGATGAGGCGGACCTTGTTCTCGTAGCCGTCGGTGATGCGCTTGAAGCCGTCGCGAGCCGTTTCGAGGTTGGTGTCGGCTAGACCCTTCATTTCATACGCCTGTGCCAGCTGTCGCTGCGTCTCTGACCTAGTGTCACCCAGCATCTTGAGGGCTTCCTCGGCTCTCTGCTCTGCCATCTTGCGCCGGCGGATCTCGGTGTCGAGCGTGGCCCTGAGCTCTTCCAGCTTCCGGTCCTTCCGCTCTATGGCGCGCGCATTTGTGTCAGCGAGGACTTGGAGGTGCTGGTACTCGGCACGCGAGTCTTCAGCTCTGGTTTGGGCGGCGGACACGCGCTTGGCCTCATCTTCTCTGGCCAGCTTCTCGGCAAGCAGTTCTCGGCGCAGGCGGTCGTTTTCTTGGGTGATCTTGTCAATGTACTGTGAAGTTTTTGAGTTTGGCGTGCTGTGGTGATTTGGGCGGGCCCAGGAGTTGTTCTCGTCGGTAGCCATTGGGGCCTTGTCTACGGCGAAGGGACCTGAGACGTTGCGATGTGACGTATACGATGGCATGACAGCCGGGGACTTTGAGCGTAGGGGGGTTGCGTTCGCAGTGCGAAGAGCGTCGTCAGGCCAAGCTGCACCGTTTATGTCATTTCTCTGGAGAACGCGGCTGAAATTGAGTTCGGGCAGATAGGGAACAGAATCTTTGTGGCACAAGTCAGCATAAACGTGGGACAGTGAGCGTCCCGTCGGATAGAGGCGAGGCGGAGGCAGGCAATTGCGGTGTTGAGGCGGCAATGAGAGAGGTGATGGTGGTGTTGACGCTCGTTCCCCGAGATACGCCATGTAGGGCACAGGGCACAGGGCACCACAACGAACGACAGGGGCCCCACTTCTGGCGCTAAGCCTTACCTGGAACCGCAGTCACCAAGACTCCCTTTTTGCGGCGAAACATGATCCATACTACGCTTCGAGTGCGAATTTCCATCGGCCGTGCCATCTATTTTGTAATCAGTCGGGCCATGTTTGTTGAGAAACACCCTTTCCTCGCCCCAGCGCCTCTCTGCCCGCTCATAGGGCGCCTGCATCAATGCACCGCATAGACGGCAATCTCATGGGAGATTGTTGGCGACAAGAAGACAAAAAAGCATATACCCTGTGGCTCCTGGCATTGTCTCGTACCTTTCCCATGGCTTTCTCTGTCTCGTACTTGTGTCTATCTCTGGGTACAACGCGTTGTCTCTGATTCACTTGTTCCGGTCGGTCTGAAGGGCGAGGTGGGCAATGGCTGAGTGCGATTCTTTTGTCAACCAGACCGTGGGCCAGACAAGACTCATCTATCTTTGTACAAGGCCTGGACTAGCCATCTTCAGCTGCCTGCTGTCCTTCCTCCTGGCCTATTTGCCTCCATCTTCATCGCAGAATCATCATGGGCATGCAGGGTGCGCCAATCACCGAGGACCCTCTGGCCAGGTACGGGCCGCTATGGGGCCGGCTCCCCAGCAACAGCCTTACTCCAAGTGACGTGTGCGTGTCCACCCCTATGAAACGCGCCATATCAACCTCTGCAGCAGCGTTTTGCCATGCTGGAGTTATAGAGTTTACGCTTGCTTGTACCTAGGATACACATGCCATGTCTCTTCTTAGGAATGCTAAACATATATATCCAACCGCCATCTATCCCTTGCAGACGGCCATATCACAACTCCCTTTGTCCCTCAAACAAGACCGATCAAACTCATGCGCCTCATGCTCCTCTTCCAACATACTCCACATTAAGCCACCCACGTGGCTCAGCTTCACCGCTAATGAAGCCCAGCCAATGTCTTGCTTACACACAAGACCACATGCGGCAACAGGACCGATCTAAACATGTGCCTGGTGTTCCATCGCGCTGTTCAAACTAGTGACGAAAGATGTTAGACTCACAAGCTGTCTGGCCAGTCTAACATCTGTTCCTTTGCGTCTCAGACACAATGCCATTGCGCAGACATGCATCCGACGACAGATGACGAGGACTAGTCTCTCACCACCCTGCCTTGTGTGTTGTCTCATTGTCTCATTACAGTGACTTGGCCACACCTTCACATGCTATTCAGTACCTTCGACCCAATCACCTGGGGAAGCGCGTAACAAGTTAAAGGCGGATATCAATTTCCCCCGACTATGTACACTGCCTATGAAACAAACTCCAGACCTACATGACAGAGTCTAAAACATATCGGGAGCCTTCTTCACCCGCATCTTGCCCTCGAATGGCTTCTCCGAAGAAATGTCGTTGTTCCTCAGCTTCTCCAGCTTCCGCTCATTCTCTTCATAGGCCAGTTTCTTGTACTTTTCAATCACCTTGTCCATTTGGACCTGGCTTCCAGCAGGCACATTGTACGGAGATCCCACGTTCATGATCCTGCCAATTGTTAGCATTTACCTCTCTTTACAATCATGAATCCTGTATTTTTATGTCCAACTCCATTCGTCCCTAACATCGCATATTCTCCAATGTGCCAGGACAAGACGTACTCTGGGAACTTCATCTCAACGTGCTCCTGGGGCTTCGTGTTCAGAAACAGCACACGGTCCTCGCCCGCCTGCTCAATCATCCTCACGTGCAAATCGTTCTGTGCAGTCCACTTGTCGTGCAGTCCGGTCGTAGCATCGGCAATCAAACGGGTAAAGTATGGCTTGCTGTCATCGCCGTCGGTGCGCGAGAGGCTGTATAGGGCCAAGCCTGCGGGGATAACGCCAATCGTGCCATAGAAACCCCACTACAAATGCCAATTGCGTCAGCATATCTCCTCTTCATCTCTTGGTGGTCGTCCAGAATGGTATTGTAGTATTTTGAATACATAGTTGAGCTGGGCCGGGGCAATGGGGAGGGAGGGGACATACGCCCATGGGCTCGTCAACGGCCGGGCTTGCATGGCCATGAGCTTCATCGTGTGCGTAGCGGCGCGATTGGCGCGATAGCGGAGTTCGGCTCGTGCGGGCAGCAGCCACTGCTGTCCGGCGGAGTGACTGCATCGTGTGAGTGTAAGGCGGCGTTTGAAGGTCGTCGGCCGTTGTATTCGCGATGATGCTGAGCTGCGAGAAGCCGTTTTAGTCAGCAATACTAGCGGCTTGGCACATCGTGCACTGCCAGAGTTGATCCATAGTTCCTTGAACCGTTTCTTTGACGCAAACGCAGTATGAATTCTTCGGGCCAGGAATCACAGATAAGAGAGTCGCCCAGCATCTCCTCAAAACTACCATAACGCATGTTTCAATCAGTGCCAGCATCAGACGCGCAACACACAGCTCCAAGCGCTTATTACCGTGAAGGCACCGCGTAAGCAAGGTACAGTGAAAATCCCCCGAAACTGGCCTGTAAGGTACCATTACTCTCGTAAGCCATCTTCCATATGTCTATCGTTATTTTTGCAATTTGTGCATCATCACATTGTATGCGAATGTACCGCAGCGTTACGGGACAAATACGACGGACTATGCCGAGATAATTTTAGATCCCCCACCCCTATACGGTGTTGCAGATTTGAGTTACACCTCCGGCCTCTGACCGACTGTTATCTCTGTGCTAGATACTGATACCCAAAAAAAATCAGCCTGCAGTTGTGGTGCGCTCGTTCGGCAACATCACGCGCCAAGATTTGGTGTGTTGCGAAGCATCACCATCAGCCGCATATCGCAAGCTTACTTATCTGGCTGGTATGATCAGAATGTTTCCCGCAAGTCCTTCAAATCCAATCTGAGCACATCATGTTAGCGGTGTGGATCATGCCTCGACTTCCGCACAGCTTACGGGTCAGCTTATGTCATTTCAATGCCCCGAACTCACAGCCCGGTCCCATGTCGCATCGCACCACCATTCAGCGTCCGACGTATACTTACTTTTATTTTACTTTTTATCATTCGCATAGGATAGTCCACTGCGAAGCAGAAGAATTCAGGTACACCATATCTTCAAACGTACGATCAAACATTGACGCCTGTTCAAGGATCAATCCAGTCTATTAGCGCCCCGATCCGCTTATGAGCTTGCGTATGTCATGATGAAGAAGGCAAGGTCCTAGGTTGCTAGTCGCTCCACTCGTCTCGCTCGGTTTTGGTTCCAGAAACCCCCCCGAAAAACAAACTTTCATTAAGCTTTTTACTAGTCAGAAACGCCAAACGCGCCAATAAGCATCCAACGTTGAACTTGATGCTTGATCTACTACGCTGGAAATCTCAGTGCAAATCCCTGACAAAGAAACAATTTGGACACATACCCTTCTCACCCGTGCTTTCCAAGGACCTAGTAGTAGCTTTCAATAAGAACAGTAAGCATACCGCAAAATCAAACTCCGTATCGGATTATTCAGCTGGCGCAGGGCACCCGCTAGACGCCACTACGACTAAAATACTTCTCGATACGACGACCTAAATTTTCAGGAAACATAGTTTGCCCCTTTTGGATTGATCCATGCTTCGTATACGTATGCATGTTACGACGGATGTTGGTGCGTACGTCAAAAACGACCCCGCCAAAAGAGTCCGGGCGTTCCGTGCAGAGCCTGAGCCTATCAGCGAAATAAAAAGCATCGGGTTCTTGAACTTGGCTCATTTATTGTACCAAGTGTACATGTTTTGAGACATGTATGCAGCAGTGGATGTCACCTTATCATGGCATATAGTAGATCCAGGAACCCGGTACGACTAGGAGATTACACCGGAAGCCAGACTAGGGGCGCATGGCTTACGCTATGGCGCGACTGTGGCTTTGTGAAATACGTCCGTATCGCCACCAGCTGATGTGGAAACTATCGTAAAATCTATGGCTCCCTGAACCTTCAGTTCTCATTTCTGATAAGCAGTGTTCACTTTTGACCGATCCGCCTCCTTGCCAGATTCACATCGCAGTCCTTGCACCATGCATCGAGCGGCGTCGCTCGTCCCAAAGATCCTATTGGGAATACTGTCCCTCTGCATTTTCTATCAAATTTACTGGTTAGAGCCAGAACCAGTTGCATTGCAGCAGAGCGACATTTCCAAATCGACATGGTTCCAAGATGTGCAAAAGGCACAACCACAAGACGCCCAGGGTATGAAGACTTGAGAGCAATTATAACTACAGAATTACAACTGACAATCTATCAGCATCAATTAGTGCCACTCTGGCAGCATCCAATGTGTTCACTCCTTCACCATCGAGCACACTTACTCTTTCACTATCCGCTACATCCGCTCCTTTAGTCTCCAGTACATCCGCTTCATCTGCTTCCAGTACCCCTACTCCATCGCTCGACCTCAGCAAAACGCACATCTCCTACGGCCACACACAATGCATGCCAGATTTCGACAAGCACTGGAAGGGACAAGCAGTCATACGCAAAGAATCATGCGCAAAGCATGCCCCCTTTGAAACCAAAGAGACCCGCCGAGTCGCCCTCGCCTCTATCACAACTGGCAAAAAAGTAGAAGCCTACCAACGCGCAGTCCAATCCCACATGCTCCACGCCGCCGTTCACGACACCTCCGCCCACATCCTCTGCGAAGACCTCGCCGACGGCGCCTGGAACAAAATCGCCTTCCTCCTCCACCTCGTCCAAAACGAGCTGCTCAAGCCCAACCACACCCGCTTAGAATGGATCCTCTGGATCGACCGTGACGCCATAATCATGGACCCGTGCCGTCCCCTCTCGAGCTTCCTCCCCCCAGACACCCCCGAATACGCAAACGTCAATCTTATCGTCAATCGCGACGCCGGCGACCTAAACGCCGGCTTGTTCCTCTTCAAAGTAAACGAGTGGTCCGCCAAACTCTTCAGCACAATCCTCGGATACCGATACTACCGTCCCAACGACCGTCTACCCTCTGCAGAACAAACAGCCATGTCGCGGCTCCTCAGCGAGCCCGGGTGGTCTGAAAAAGCAGCCTGGGTCCCCTGGTACTGGTTCAATGCGTACCCAGCGCCCAACAACAGCATTGTCGATTTCGCAGCGGGCGCGCAGCCTGCAAGTCTAAAATGGTTTCAAGCCCGCAAGGGACACTTTGTCGTGCACTTTGCGGGCGACGATGGCAGAAGCGCGCGCATGCTCGAGTGGGAGGATGTCATTGAAACCATGGATGTGTGGAGGGAGGGCACTGCGAAGGTAGATGTCACGGCAGAGGTTAAGAGGTATTGGGATGCGTTTAGGAGCGGCGCACTGAAATTGTGGCAGAAGACGGGGGATCCGAGGGATAAGGTGAAGGAGGCGAAGGAGGAGGAAGAGCGGAAGAAGAAGGAGATGATGAGGGTTAAGGAGATGGAGGAGTTGGAGGAGGCGAAGAAGGCGCTTGAATTGAAGGTTGTGGAGGATGTTACGGAGGTGCGGCAGGGGGAACGGCTGGAGATTGATGAGTCGGCGGATCCGGGGGGTTTCCGCAGGCCGTATGAGGAGGTTGCTGATGGGAGCGCAGACGATGACGTCGAGCTTTCCTAGGTGTCGCGTTACTTTCTACTTTTCTTGTTCTTTCTCATGTTTGGCAGCTCGTATGCCCCTTTTTTTCTTTCTTTTTTTCCCCACGAGTTGAGACGATGTACCGGACCACGAAGGGAAATCCTGCCTTGGGTATCAGGCGTTTCCCCCCTTTTTTCTTACGCTTTTACTTTACGATATCCAATTAGACTTCAGTTTTATTCTGGTAATCAACGAGATACTTGGTAGGGCTGATTTGTGGCTTCGCTCCGTTGTTTTAGGATGCTTTTTAGTATACTGGTCGCTGGGTCGTTGGCGCCACGCTTCTGCAAGGTGGGATGGCGGGTTTGTCCACGTTCGTTCTGGACCATCGCCCCGTCCTTTTTTGGTCGTTTTCCTTTGTTGTTATTCCTTGCTCCTGTGATACGGTTATGCGAAACGGGTATGAGGCGTGCGCAAAGTATCGTTTGAAGCGCAAGTCTTGTTTATGTCACATGTAGTGATTGGTTTTTTAATTTTCAAAGCTAAATCGCATGTTCAGAGCTACTCAGCTTACCCAGATCCGAACTTTGGAGATTCATCAATGAGACAGTTTCATTGAGACGAATGGTTTCTCGCCAGGTATCCAATGTCGTCTTGAAATCATACGCCTCCCCTGGCACGCGTAGGCTGGTACTCGAAGGCGCGTATTTGAATGCTCGAGATCGAAAAAAAAAACTGCCGTGTGGCAGAATTTACTCAATCTAATACATGGAATTGCATTTCTTCGATGAAAGACTCTCTCAGAAGTCGATATAAGAGCCCACTTAGCACTGCGTGAGCGAAAGCAAATGCACATGTGAGCTCGCTGTCGAATACCTGATCAATATCTACAGTTCATAGAAAACCTCGTAACATACTTTCACCATACCCGTTTGACTATCAAGATGAATTTCTCCCATGACTTTACCCAATACGATCTTGGTTTTGAGATCCCCGTAAGAGCTATCGAAAATTAAAGGTAATTCGATATTGGATTTTCCTGTAACGTGCACTATGATTGCTTTCATGGCTGTATAATGACTTGCATCGATCCCACAATCAATAGGTAACACATTTGTATACTTGATGATTGAGAAAATAGAAGATTAAGCCAAGGTTGTCTTGTTACAAATGAGGAAAGACCTGTGACCACGTCGGTGTCTTATACACGCCTCGTGGCACTTCCATTATACTCACAAAAGCCTCTATCACTATATATGCCCTGCTGACAATATAACTCACACCACACAAAACACAGAGAGTCGTAATGAACACCGTACTAAGAATGCTCAATGTCCGCTGGTTGTAGGCGTTCCAGATCCTGTCTATGAGAGGGAAAACATGGGCTAAGAGATTGGTCACCAGCCAAAAAGCGGCACAGAATGTTACCCATACCGAGCTCATGCGCCAAAACAGTTGCTCCAGTGGAGTGGGGAAGAAATAATTCCACGCCGCTACGTGTATGCCGCCGTATGCCATCGACGCACCCCAAAGTACCATTCCCATGACGAGGGATTGGGTGCGTCGGAGTAAACCATCGTTGGGCCAGTCGATGGCGTATGGTTGTACCAGTTCTGTTACTTTAGACACTTTGTATGTAGGCTTTGCGCATTCGCTCTCGGATACTGGGTGAAAATGGTCTTGAAGAACTGGATATAGCTGAATAGCTTCTTCTGCAAGCCTTTGCAGCTCAGACGTAGCTTCTATCGGAGAGTTGCATGATGCTGCTTGGGCTTCTTGGTTCGCAATCCGGATATCGAGCCGTGGCCGCAATCTACTAGCAGTAGAGAGGCGGGTTGTATTCAAACTTCGCCTGTCGCCACACGTACCGGTTGATACATTTTCGTTTTCAACGCAAGCCAGCTTTGCCAGTTCGGGAGTGGCTGATCTGAAGAAAGCGAGCTTGCTTTGTGGTTGCTTCCCACTCATTCGGCTTGCCATGTACATGTAGGCGATCAAAGGCATCCAGTCTCCCTTTAAGATGGTTGGGGAGGTTACTTGACGAGGTTTGTGCCACCATAAGATGTACATGACGAGCGCACAAACAACATGGGCGACGACGTGTACTTCGAGCAAGGTGGTTGGCAGTCCGATGGCAGTGCGACTGATAACTTGGACGATCATCCATCCTGCTTGGATGCACACAAGGAGTTTTGCAAGACCGTCTGCTTTCTTCTTGTCTTTGATCTCGTCGAGTGATATCTCTACAACATTTCCGCACTTGGTGAGTAGTGCGACACCTTTCGCCGTTAAGGTGAGGCGCGTCAGATCGTTGAACAACGTTGAATGTCGGTCGGTACTGTCTAGCTCGATGGCGAAACCACCCATACTAGCGTAAAATCCATGTGTGATAGTCCATGGGGTTTTGGGCGCCCCAGATGAGTTTCAGTCACTATTGTATTCTGGTACTGGTTAGCAATGCTGGTATCTAATGATCAATGAGCTAACCTTGTCACAAGTCTCATTGGTGTCCTGCTGCTGACTTGTTACATTTGCTATCTCAACACATAGCTGTCTTGCAGAAGCCAGCTGTCTCCAGGCGGTGTATAGTATCAACTCAGGTGCAAATAGGCCGAAGACACACCATTGCAATTCCCTCAGTAGCACTCGATAGTTGCTTTCGCCTTTGCGTGGTATGTTTAGGTGAACGGCTGAGTAAACACACAGCCCAAGCGTGGCAAAACAGCTGATAAGCAGAGAAATCGTATCTCGCTCATTATCTTCTTGAACAAAGCCTACAGTATCTGTGACGTTGACTTTGTTCCCGCTGATGGCAGTGACTTTTTGGACAAGGAAGAGGACAGAGCTGCACGATGCTAAGGACATAGTCTGGATAGATTAGTGTAAAAGGTGTAGATGAAAGTGGACCTAAGTTGACGGGTAGTCCCGCTTGAACTATCATCAAGCCATCATCCATCTGCAGTGTGCCGCTGTAGGTTGTGCTAGTGTAACTGGGCGGCAAAATAGACGTAGGATCGAAGCCGTGTATCAGATATAAGGCCCATGAAGGATTTCGCGTACTGAAGCACACGTCCCGCGACAGTGTAGCAGATGATGATAGTTGGTAACGATTTTGGTCAAAAATAAACACTGCAAGTATTACTACGCCACAGGACCATGAAGCATGCAGTGCAATGCACTTCGGCATCTGATCCAATCCTGTGCGTAGATTCACCCACTCTCTGTAAGGTACGCTCGGCCTTGGCTGCATGCTCAAGGTCGGCTGAAAGCCATGCACGTCAAGAGTTAACCTCGGCTTGTTGATTGGACGGTCGGCATGAACCTGAGCATGAAGGAGTGGGAGGATTCAGCACCATGTGGGTGTTGGGCGCTTGAAGTTGATCTGTGCACTGACCTTCCCGTTCTTGCACTGGGGCGCATACGCTTCCACTTTCCCAACCGACTTGATCTCTTCAAACCAGAACTCTATCGAAACGTAAGATGGATATTCGTTCTCGAAAGTCCGCCTCAACAGTGACAGTGGTTGCAGAAAACGCAGTAGGTAAAAGATCACCACGAGCATCAACTTTGAGACTGACACCCGCCAGGCTGACCCACGTGATCGAATGAAGAGCAAAGAGCGTACATCACTATTGACATGGGATGAGATACGTACGACAACCACTTGAAATATTGTTACGAATAGCTAACAGTCTTCATAGCCGACTGGTACCAGTACGTACTTTGATATATCATCTATCTTAATCATGACCTTACCAAGACAAGGGACAATGAGTATATTTTGTCTAGTTATAGGTACGTGTTCAAGTATCATATTGGCATATTCTTCAGTAACTGAAAGGGAATTCAGGGAAGTATCCCGGTCTTACCAACGATCTTTGGGAAGTATTCTTGGTATTCATAACGAAACAGGTAGGGCTGTGCTCGACCGGCCGAGAAGAACATAACTAAAACATCGTCTAGTCAATATATTCTCGCATATAATAGGGTCTATCATCTTCTTTACTCTACCCATGCCCATTTACTGGTCTTTGCAACCAAGATACGCCACGGCAACTACAGCAGATTTCGTTGTCTTCTCAACATTCTTCTTTGGTGTTGCTATATGTTTTGTATTGTCGGCCATGTAGGTATTCTCGAATGCCTGTCTTGTAATACCTGGGTATTCACGTGCAACACAGCTTCCACATCTTCAACAACCACAGCCAGAGTGTCTACATATTTGGAAACCAACTCGATTACGTAAGAACATCTGATCTATCATTGGCAACCGACAGCTCATTTGAACAGCTAGGTATTGTTATCTTGATGTGGGGCTCCACAATTCCTTGCGTTTATTACGGCTTCTACTGCACACTACATCTACAAAAGACCTATTACACCCTTGCATCAGTCTTAGCGGCCGGTTGCGTGTACGCAACTCTTCACCCTGCTTTCCGTCATCCAAAATATCGCCCATATCGTGCAGCCGTGTATGCGGGCCTTGGGCTATCGTTCATTATTCCCATCGTTCATGGAATCACGATATTTGGTTGGGAAACGCAGATGTGGAGAATGAGTCTGGACTGGATGGCATTGATGACGACATTCAACCTTACTGGTGGGGCCCTGTACGCTATGAGGGTGAGCAACTGAATCCGAAATAATTTAGTTCTGCCGTGAGAGTATGAAGCTGATGAAGAATAGATTCCTGAGAAGTGGTATCCTTATCGATTTGACGTGTGGGGCGCAAGCCACCAGATTATGCATTGCTTGGTTGTATGCGCAGGCATTGCCCATTTATATGGTCTCTTGAGGGCATTTGACCATATACACGGACACGGAGATGCTTGCAGCGTATGAACCGGACGAACCTGACTCTCCCGCAAGAAGATCTTATCTCGTAAAATACAATATTACATACGGAATGTGCAAATGTTACGTTACTAGTGGAGAAAGTGACACCATGCATCATGGCATTAATGCACGGCTGGGACTAAAATACGGAACTCTTGGTTGGAATGTGAGTATTTAGGCATAGCATTTGAACATCGCACTAGGTTGAAATTTGTGGACCAAACCTCCATATTCTAGACCTTCTTTTGCAAGGTCAAGGGTACGAGGACTAGCGGACCGTGTCGTACCGTTGCCGCACGTAAACCAAAGTCGTCATGTTTCCCGAGTCCACTTTGAGCATAGACCGAGAAATCGCGGGACATAGACAGAATCTCCTGCGTATTCATGCCAGGATGACCCCGCGTCGAGTACTAGTCTCTTGTAGCGCCAGGTCGCTGCGTTTAGTCAGTTTGACTTTGTTATCGCGACACCGCCTCAAGCGCGGCCTTTTATCTCGCACGACCACGGTAATCGACATGTCTAAACAACTAGCTACATATTCCTACACCTATAATCTGACGAGGCGAAAAGATTAGACATCGCCCATAGCTTACGCCGCAATATACCTCGGTATCTTTCGGATCCACATAGCCATGCATGTAGTTAGTCCAGAGTGGAGCAAAAATGCCATTTCACCGCGTATACCACCGTCGTTAACCCCAGCAAGATGGCATCTTGCATTTAATCAATCCTAGCCGCATTCCACACCTTCCTTCTTCCCCGCCACATCTCTTTCCCCCGGTTTACATCACATTTCGCATCGGCACCTTTACCCTTAATAAAACTCTATCTGAACCGCAAGCCATGTCTCGCCCAATCGAAATCATCGCCTTCGTGCAACCCAAAGCCGGAAAAGCAGACAGAGTGCGTTCCGCCTACTCGGAAAGCTTAGCCGTTACCGAATCTTGACATTATTAACATGATATTGCAATGAATAGGTCCAGGAAATCCTCACCGAAGCCGCGCAAATCGTAAAGGAAACTGAACCTGGCATTCTGCGCTACCATCTCCACCGCGAAATCAAAGGCGACAAACCGAGGTTTGTCATGCTGGAGAAGTATGTCATCCTATTTCCATTGCCTCACCATCTCAATTCTTGCTCTTTCATTTCGGCATTTCACCGCTACTCTCCAAAGTGCACACGCTTCACACGTTCAAGCTAACGATGTCTGCGCCAACAACAGATACGAGAACCAAGCCGCACTCGACTTTCACGTAAAAAGCGACATCGGTGTTCGAGTAGGCAAGGCGTTCAAAGAAGAAGATTTGGTCGAGAGTCCAATGAAGATTATTTTTGTGAAGAGTGTTGGAGGGTACGCTAGCAAGTTGTAAATTGCAAAAAACAACATCATGCCGGAGATGTTTAATCAAGTGTTATTGAAGCAAGCGATGGCACAATATTTTGAATGAACATCATTGATTTTGAGATTCAAAAAGATGAAAAGAAGTGAATATTCTACTCGATGTGGTCAATTGGTAAAATATCTACGGAGAAAAGAAGGATGTTGGTAAAAGTGCCTGATCAAGAAAAAAAAAGCACGATAACAATAAACCTCCGAAGCGTCATTCGACAACTTGGCACATCCCCTACTCTTGGCCCTGGCCTTAATTCCCGCCATACCAATAATCCCCGAAGAACTCCACACCCTGGCCCGTCCGGTTAGACGGCGGCTGCGGCCACTTACTCAGCGTCGTTTCACTGCCCGTAAGAGAAAACTTGACGCTGGCAAGCGGCGCAGTATCAATCTGCAACTCGTAGTTTCCAGGATACAAGACCTTGTTGCCGGACTCATCCACACGCGCAAGAGACGCAAGCGTGAGGTTGAGCGAAGCGGTGGAAGAAGAGCCAGCTGCGATGTTGAAGAGGCGGTCGTAGGCGACGAGAGATTTCTTGGGGTAGGGCTTGGGGCCGAAGGAGCCGGCGAGGAAGCCGAGAGTGACGTAGTCGGATGCTGTCTTTCCTGTGTTGTGGACATTGACGGTGATGCCGGTGAAGGGGCAGCGCTCGAGGAAGCCGCCGGTGCCGTTGCAGCCTTTGACAAGATCGGAGATGGCGTAGGTCTGCTTGGGCTGGTTGCTGATGCTAGCGGAGAAGTTGGTGTAGTGCAGACCGTAGCCGAACTCGAAGATGGGCTTGCCGGTGTACCACTTGTAGGTACGGCCAGGGTTCTTGTCGCTTGGGCGCATGGTCATGTCTGTCATTGGTACCTCGGAGACGTATTTAGATGGATACTGTGTTTGTGGGAGACGTCCTGCAGGAGCAGCTTTTCCAGTGAGGATGTTGACGATGGCAGTGCCACCATCTTGACCGGGGTATCCAGCCCACAGGACAGCAGAGATCTTGGGGTTCCTGATGAGTGGGGAGGTATCGATCTGACCACCTCCCATGATGACTACGATAACAGGCTTTCCAGTGTCGGCGAGCTGGCCAATGACATCAAGCTGGCTACCTGTCAAGGTCAAGAAAGAGCGGTCACGATCTTCGGATTCAATGCCATTGTCCATTCCGCCGACCCAAATGTGGACGTCACTGGTGGTGATGACGCCGGAGAGGGAAGGCCAGTTGGCTGTAGTAGGATCTCCAGCACCACCTGGAAGGCCGCCTGCATATTTGACGTTAACACCAAGCTTTTGAAGGGCCATGTATGGACTAGTCAAGAATTTGGCGACTCCGTAGTAGTTGCCCTGCATTTGCGAAGTGGCGTTGGCCCAGTCACCGTAGATACCAATGTTCTTCGAGCCGAAGTTGATTGGGAGAACGCCGTCATTCTTCAGCAGAACAATGCCCTCCTCAGCAGCTTTGAGTGCGAGTGCCTGGGAAGCGCTAGTCGCTACCGCATCAAAGCCGAGCTGGCGATAGGGCTGCTTCTCAGGTGCATCAAAGTAACCAAGTTTGATGAGAGAAGAATATTGGCGAACGAGGGCTTTATCAAGGGCAGTCTCGTTTGTGAGACCCTGCTTGACAGCTCCAGGTAAATGAGACTTCATATAAGTACCGCAATCAAGATCAGTACCCGCATTCAGAGAGTCGGCAGCAGCGCCCTCACGAGACGAAGACCATTGGTGGGGCAAGTACACGTTCTGGATAGAGTCACAGTCAGATGTGACCCAGTGCTCATCACTGGACCAGCCCCAGTGCTCGCGGAGAACTGTCTGCAGCAGGTAGGGGTCGGCACATGGTGGCGCACCGTTGACGGCGTCTGGGGTAGCATTAGTCACAAGCTCATTTGGATTACTAGTTTCCACAACTTACTGTAAGAACACATAAAGGCACCAACATTGGCCTGGACACAAGCCTCGAATGGAGCTAGGTAGTACTCCACAAGGTCTTGCTGTGAAATCTGAACATCATTCTGGTAGCGGAGGTTGCCGTTCCAGTTTTCGATATCGTAACCAGCATAGTGCTTGCAGGTAGCAACCACACGCCTGTATGGATCCGTTTCGTTACCTTGGAGTCCGTGGATCAAAGCCTTAACGTAAGAACTAAGGTGGTACGAATCTTCTCCGGGAGTCTCCTGTCCACGACCCCATCGAGGGTCACGGAAGGGGTTGATGTTGGGCGTCCAGAAGTCGAGACCCGTTCTGTTGGCATTGTTAAAAGCCCGCGCCTCGGTAGAAATAACCTTTGCAACCTCGGTAATCAGGTCGTCATCGAAGGCAGCACCCATCAAGATAGGCTGGGGGAATGAGGTCGAGTAGCTGTAGTCACCTTGCTTGGCGAAGCTAGTAAATGGACCAGCAATGCCGTGAAGTCCTTCGTTCCACCATTGGTAAGGTGGGATACCGAGACGGGCAACGCCAGGCGCAGTGTTAGAAGTAGCATTGATCTTTTCCTCGAGCGTGTACAGTGCTACAAGAGATTTTGCACGAGCGAGCGTAGCTGATATCTGTCAGTAGGAAAAAGACTAGTAATATTTTATGAAGGCGACGCACATGCTGAAGGGTCGCAAATGGTCACATTTTTCAGTGGTCCATTCTTGCAATCCGGGAAGTTACCCTGGGCGAGCACTCCAGTTGTAAAAAGTAACAATGACAAGGGACGGGGCGAGATAAACATGATGTCGACGGTCTGAACAAAGATTCAGATGGTATTCAATCCAGATGCCTACTAGCTTGTATCTTATACAAGTGTAAATAGCCGTAGTGCTGACCCTTCAGCAGGACACGGTAAGTAGCGACATCATACCACAATGTCTACACGTCATGCCCATGTCGACTGGGTGGTCCTGTGCTAGGTGCAGTTCCACTTTTGTGCGGCGTCGGGCCAGTATGACGACCGAAGCAACTCTGGAATGCTTATTCTGGAGGGATGCGGTAGCCAAGCCTTGAGCCGACCCGCGTGCGGAGCCCCACGCTACCTGCACTGCCGAGTGAGGGGTTCACGCTAGATGAGGTTTCTTGTTATTCCATTTGCTGTGTATTCTGCCTGAATGGTGCTCTTTCGTCCGAGGAGCGGAAAGTTGAGATTACACAAGTGGCGTTGATGCTTACATACTTACATGGACAACCAAATTATCGGGTTGTTTGCGGGAACAAGAAGCCAGCGAAATCATTGTCATTATTCAACAGTAGACAATCTGCGGGGAGGCGGGAGGGGGCGGAGATGAAAGGAGCATATGCTAATCTCAGTTTGGGATCATGGCATTCAATCACCAGCTATGACCTTGTCCGGTAGTCTGCCGCGTTTCGGCCGTTTGGTGGACAAACAAGATCCGATCCACATCCGTCATCTCATTGGCATCTTTAGATTTATGGACAGACATGCCATTGAAAATGTAAGCCTTAAGACCCCTGTATGTAAGCATACGCTAATTATGTATACGGATCGCCCGGTAGCCTTTCCTGTTTCGACGTAGTAGTAACAAGCCCCAATCACGACGGCCAGTCGGAGTTTTTGACGATCATTGGCATGCCGTCGCGCGGTGAGGCTTCGAAAACAAATTCCTGATATGCTCTGTCTCCAAAGGTCAAATCAAGACTGTTCCATTCTGTCCTGGGGGTCTTGTTCGGCTTGAGATCTGCGCACGCAAAGTCAAAATCCCTCGCAGTTAACAAGAAGACAAGTGTTAGTTCATCCATCGCGAGTGTCTTGCCGATACAAGCACGAGGCCCACGTTCGAACGGGCGCCATGCAATCCGTGTATAGTCTTGGCGTATGAACCGCTCAGGATCGAATTTGAGGGGATCTACCAACAAGCTCATATTAGCACCGCCGTCATGTCTCCCAAGCAATACGGTACATATGCTACTAACCTTCGAAATGCTTCGGGTCCATATGCATGGCTAGCTGAACAGGACAAACCATTTTCCCCTTAGATGGCCATTGCTGACCTTGATAGGTGAGAGTGTCCATTCCTTCACGAGCAGTGTTACCTATCGGATAGAACCTGAGAATCTCTTTAATGACAGCAATCGTATAAACAAGATCGTTCATTTTGTATGGATTAGCCTTGAGAAGGTCGTATGTCGCATCGATGCCGGGAGCGAAGACATGGTCATGCTCTTCGCGCATCTTTTGAACTACTTCTGGATGCACACTCAGTAGCATGTGTCCAAAGCAGACCGTATCTGATGTTGTGCCGCTACCAGCGATAAGTAACGTCTTGACCTGAGTAATCGCATTTGTTAAGAACTCAGAGTCGAGCTCGGTTCTTTTGTTCTCTCCAGTACTTTGAAAATAATCTCTCAGCATAAGGTCCATGATACAAAGCCCTCGTTTCTGGGACAGGTCAAGGTCGCTATCTGAGATGATGCTGGTATTAGTAATGAGGCTTTAGTCTGCAAGATGAGCCACCTACTTTTTACAAAATCGAATCTTTCTTTGATGAGTTCCGCCACTAGCGCGTCCAGTTTGCGCCTTTCGCGATCTCGCACTCTATTGGCAAAGAAGTTGCCGATGTAGTTGAAAGATTCTCTTGATTTCATGGAAGCCCGAACCATGGCTTCGAAATGCTGCAAAGCAAGACTTCCCTTTGTCTGAGTGTCAAATGACCGTCCAGTCGCTGCTCTCGAGATAATATCAAATGTCAGATGATGAGCCAAATCTTCAAGCCGGAAAACCTTTCCCGATTTTGCTTTTTCTTGCAGAATGGATCGATACTTCATGACTTCGGTGGCGACAATCGGCCTCATCTCAGTGATGTTCGTAATGGAGAATGCCGGACTCATCATCTTGTGTAGATGCTTCCAGTGCGGTCCCTCCGCGCTGGCAATGTTACCTTTTCCAATAAGAGGGTCAGTCGTCCTTCTGACGGCTTCATGCTTGGGATGGCTCCGGGTAACGGTGAATTCCATGGCGACGTCAGGATCTATGACGACCAAATGGCTCCATG